TTTTCTTTAAATAGATAACACAAGCAAAGGATTTATTATATTTACAAACTAAAAAAAAAAAAAAAAGGCACTAGTGGCCAGATCTCAGTTTAGCACGTTCAGCGACGAGACCAGCACCAGGGAATGAGCCGATATGGCCCTTATCAACGGGCGATTTCAACATCAAATGCTGTTGAATGGATGAAGATTCAGCGAGACCAGCCACGCCCACGAAATCCTTCTTGCTGAGGGGCTCGTGTTCAGTGGACTCGCCCTTGGGAGCATAACGACGAAGTGCTTCCAGCTCTTCATGTAAGGTTTCATAGCGGAAGCCCACACGAATGTCAGGAACATTGGTCTTTTGCATATCGTTACCCTCAACACCAGGCTTGTGCCAATCCTTACCGATCCAATGGTTCTTGATTTGGTTCTCCCAGCCAGACTGAATGACGGAATTACGAGCCAACTCACACATGTCAGTGGAAGACAACTTCCAAATCTGAGCAGCCACACTGTATTCCTCAATCAAGGGCTCCTTGGTAAAGTGGAATTGCAATGGATCATCTGTGGATAAAGAGATGTTGAGGCCGCGCTGGAAGAATTGAGGAAGCGGGTTACGTTCGTAAGTCAAGAAGAGAGCATTGTTGGATAGTGGGGACATGGCAATACCGACTTGAGCGAGATAGTAGAGATACTGAAGAGCGGGTACTTTACGCAACAAGATACCATGACTGATACCATATGAGGTCAAAAAGGCAGCTGTGAGATGATCTGTATCACCTGCCTCACCACAATGAGGTCTCAACACCAATGTAGTAAATCCACGTGCCTGTCTCCATTTGTTCAGCGCAGCCGTGTTTGCATACATATAGTACAAGTAGTAGCTGTAAGGTGGGTTGACGCTGGATGTCCAGTCCTTGGGCAGGGGAAAGTCTTTGAAGATGGGCTTCTCAGGCTTGGATTCATCATCGACTGTATCGAAACCAATGACACGTTGCAAAAACACATGAAGCTCAGGATGGGAGCTGGGATCTTTTGTCACTTGGAAAAGAGGCTCAAACACATTGGTAATGATGTCCTGGAAGCTGTTGACAGCGTTGGATGCCTTGTAAATGTTGTAGAGACGAGGGATCTGGATCAACCAACGCACGTTGGCAGAGAACAGCTTGTTGTTGACCACCCATTTCGCTAATTTATCCCACTCATCGATGGATCTGCCATAGATGGAGACACGGTATTCCACCATCTGGTACTTGGACGACTCTAAATCTGACACCACTTCCTTGGTAATTTCAGCCAGATACTTGCCCTGAATGTAGTTGTCTGTCTTCATAAAGATCTCTCTCAATCTACTCTCTCCAATGGGGTTATATTTCAAATTGAACTTGTCGAATCTGTGGAAAGAGTCCTTGTGAGCATGCATGTCCAGGGTATCGATACTGAGGTCGTAAGCAGTTAATCCCAAACTCTCAAATACACCACGCAAGGTCAGATGGTGGTTATCACGGTAGATGACCACATCATCGGGACTCTTCTTCATTTTGGACTTGATGAAACGCAACAAATGCTTTTGGTTCATGCTGCTAGAGTGATGGACGTGAGTATCCACCTTTCTGACATTGTAGAAATCACGATGAGGCGTACGCTTGGAATCAGCCAGTTCCTGAAACTCGTTCAAGAGGATATACATTTGCCATTTGCTGTCCAAATATCGAAGTCTACGGAAAGCAAAACTTTTGGCGGGTCCATCACTGATCACGCTCAAAATGAACTCCATGTCGTCGTAAAATTCTCGAGGCGAGGGCACTGCATGAAGAGGTTGTCCAGCAGTCTGATCCAACTCGTTCTTGTAGACTTGATAAAACCCATCAGGACCAACGCCAAAGCTATATACATGAGGACCAGGGATTTTGCACTGAGCGAAATCAAAATCGGAACCGACTGCAGCAACCGGATCGGCCTCGCGAGCCTTCTCTTTGGCTTTGCGACGCTCCAATTCTTCGGGCGAGGGCAAGGGCCATGATTTGGGGGGTGGAGCAGGGTAGATTTCCCAATCGTCGTGATTACGTGGATCATCCATCAATCGTTGGCTGGAGAGAGTAATGTACTTTTCACGTAAATCAAGACATTTCTGAAGATTTCCGTATAATACACACAATTCGGCAGTAATAGCATCATCTAATTCGTGTGTGAGTTGCCATGGCAACGCAATAGTGTTTGTTTCTGAATAGCTTTACCTTTAGCCTCAAATTTAGCGTTTGGATCCGCGGTATGTGTAACGGGTTCCTTTAAAAAGCTGGATTTCTCAGGTACTCGTGGTAGCGTGGGAAGAGCTTGGGCATCATCGATATGCAAATCAGAGAGATGGTGTGCTGCGGGTGAAACGGAAAGGCTCTGACAAAGGTACTTGCTATCATGCTGTTGTCAATGATGGCAGATGGGTTAAATTACGTTCTTAATGAATGTTATGGCAGCAGTAAAACTCACATTTTCAATGGCCTTTAAATGATGGTAATCAAAGTAAGGGGAATCGTCAAAATTGTTGATACCTTCGTCACTTGGAATATCAATTCCATCATCCTGTCTTTTATTATTATTGTAGATAGTATTGGGCATTTCTCTCTCTCTTTCAATTAAAAAAAGAAAAGAAGGTGGGGAGAAAATGGGAATTGATAAGACAAGAGCCAAACGAGTTGAGATTTGAAATGCTCGTTTTATATATTCAAAGTAAAAGACTGGTTTTCCCCAAATAGAAAAGCCATTTAGTTGCCACCAACACCCTAAAATACCACATCAGTATCCAAGTATAGCCTGTATATATGCATGGTAATTTACCTTGTGATCAAAGCCAAACCACCACACTAAAATGCCAATCATCACACAAATGCCAATGGTGAGGAAAAAGCAACACCACTTTTTGGCTCTTGTTGCCTTTGCACTCATGATGGCTCTGTTGACTAGGTTCGTACCCTCCTTCAATTGAACGGCTGCTGTCTCTGCGTTCTGCTCAACTGCATTTACCGTCTCCTGTTGACGTTCCACTAATAATGACATATCCATAAACAGTTGATGAAGTTCCACAATGGTCTTTTCAATGTTCTTAATGTCATCATGTCTGTTTTGTACCTCGGATAGCACGGCTTTAGCATGACCTCGTCTCGTTGCTTGCATGAGCGATTGTGCGAATATTTGAGCATCGTCATCTGCATTATCGAGGATATCATCAATTTCATCTTGTGTCGCCTCAGGTTTCACTAGAATCAACAAGATAAGATTACACGCCAGATAGAAAGTCTCAAGCTCTTCTTACCAATCCTGATTTGTCGCTCTATACGCTGCCTATACTTTTGCTGATAAGCTCGCTCAATGTCTTGATATCTCTGAATGGTGTCCATAAATCTCTTTTTCAGGGCAGAAAACTAGAGTGTGTTTACGAGTCAGCATGAGTAGCTCAATCGACTGTATTCAAACCAACCTGTGTTCTGCGCATCTGTCCATCTGGTGTTTGGCCCTGTCTACTATTGGCATTCTCCAATTCTGTCATTCTTGCTTTGATACTCAAATTTCTGCTTGTCGTGTCTTTCTTCATGTTCTGCAATTGACTCGAGAGTTGCGACCATTGCTGTTCGTTGGAGCTCATCAGTGCTGCTGTGTGAAGTCTTTCGACAGCATCAATGTTTTCATTGATCATTGTAATGGCATCCTTTATCGATTCCACCTAGAGTCTATTATGAGTTGTATGCTACACGCATATACCCTTTCTCCCTCTCTCTCCCTCTCTCTAGCAATTGTACCTCTTCAAAGAATCCGTCCAATGTGTTGATATCCACAGGTTCCGTTCTCACAGGCATTTCGCTCATTTCAATCACTTGTTCGGGCTGAACCTGAGGTGGTTTATTACCATTGTATCTACTGTAATTATGAGCATTGATTGTAGGTGTATTTGGTGTAACTGAAGATGCAGATGAATATGGTGAATTATCAATATTGAGAGTAGTGTGAGTATTAGTAGTAGTATTAAATGTATTATTGGTAGTGTTGTAGTCATTATTATACGAGTTGATAGTAGTGATATCTGCGCCAGAATAGTATCTCGAAGTGGGTCGAGGTTTAGTGGGCGTATTTGTGTTGGTAGCATTGCTATTGTTGGGCGTCAAGTAACCAGCATCGTTGCTGAATGAATGATTCTCCCGAAGATTGCTGCTGCTTAATGTTAGAATGTGTCTGTGTATTTCATAGCAATAAACCTACTTTATGGGCCTGCTCCCTCCTTCAAAAGATTGCTAGTGATCAGCAAGTTAGAGCCTGTGCGGTGTCATGGTCCGCATGGATAGTGATGCTACGTACCCTCAATTCCGCTGTTCTATCGCGAGTAAAGGAATAAGACATGTTATAACAAAGACAAAGTCAATTGACGTTTAATGCTCAGGTAAATGGTGCTGATAACGGGAAGAAGAGCAAGTGAACTGTCAAAAATTTATCCATTCCATCAAGAGCATCAGATGAAATGTCAAACAACTCAGTTTTAGAACCCTACATCCATTGATGGTTTTACTCGAGTCACGACGATCAATGCGAGTGAGTGATGCTGGCACTCTGCTGTTGCCTGGTTTCAGTGTATCATGGATTCAGGAACATGAGGGGTTAGAAAACTAGAATAGATATTTATTGTGTTTCAGTGCTAGGCAATCTTTCATAGGTTTCATACATGTAGTCCTCTGTCAATTTGGTAATCACTACAGTAAACAGTGCTAAATAGGCCGACATCCACCAGATACCGGGGTTCTTGGAAAACAAAGCACAGACCAAGATGGCAAAGAAGGAGACAATGAATAGCTTGTGGTACTTCTTCTCAGGCTTTTGACGAACCAAGAAGGCGACACAAATAAGCAGGAGAATCGACAGACCTTCACCCGCAATGCTGAAGTTGACGCTGGCAGAGTACATGGAGGGGCTCTCGATGCGGCAATGCATCAGTGCCATCAAGGGCGAGCAAATATAGGATATCAAGTAAGTATAATCAATGTAGCCCTTCTTGAACAGGCTCTTCGTAAACAGGACACCACAGAGTGTTAGAGGAACCATCTCAACAATTGGGATGTTTTCAACATTTGGAGATGCGAGAATTATTGATGTACATTGCTTGAGTTGTACATGGAAGGCGTTGCACAAATGTGTATTAAAATATGAAGCTCATATGCCTCAAACATAGTAGAGAAGAAGGAAGATGTATACGGGCAAAAACTATAGAAGTATGACAGCACACGCAAATCAAATGTCATCTCTAATGAAATAAGTTTTTGGGCGTGTGGGTATAATGGGTGCAGTGAAAGAGGAGATCTCATGTTTTTTCCAAATTCCAGAAGGGTTCAGATGTTGGAAATCGGTTCCAATGTAATTTGATCTCACTCTGGCTCTTTGCGTGGCGTTTAAAGGCAAACCCAACTTGGTAGTAGTAACAAATCAAAAACCTGAAATGTACAGGCTGAAAAGGAGATCTCTGTAGCCTAGTATGTATAATACGTCATGTCGCCTACACAATCACACTCACACAGATACACACGCACCCCTTATTTTCTGTACTCTCCCTCCTCCCTCTCAATCTTTCTCTTTTCTTCTGGATACACTACTTTTTTTTTTTTATATATTTATATTTCTTTAAAACGAAAAACGCGTACATCAAAAAAAAAAAAAAAACATTTTCAAACAGCACCTGTACACAAAAACAAGAAGAAAAAAAAAAAGCAGTATACTCGTCTTGAATGTATTTTCAAGTTGTGATCAATTCATTTTCAGGATTTGGTCCATTTTGCCTCAAATTCAAGCCAAATGAGCCATGCACTGTCTACGATTTGAAGCAAAAATTAGCCAGCACAACAACATTTAGCGTCGAAGAACAGAAGATCAGGTCTTTGGGGGGCCGCATTTTGACAGATAATGATAATCTGTTTCAGGATTACTCCATTCAAGAAGGCCCCATCATTTTAAATTTAACTGTGCGATTAATAGGAGGAAGAGACAGCCATCAAAGCAGAAGAAAGAAAAAGGCCTGCATCGATGCTGAACTAATCCAGTACAATGATACAACGGCACTTGCAAGCAGAAAGGGCAAAGAAAAAGAATCCAGAAAGCGCAAATTAGCTTAGCCAGCTGTCTTATTTTATTCATTTATACCACCATTCTCATCGTCATCTTCATCATCTACTCTATCAATTGCTAATACGGAACTCTGCCATCCACCAAATCCAATTGCAAATATAAACTTATCAGCCAAACTCTCGACATACTTTGGAGTTGGATGATTTTCATGCGAAATGTTTCCATGTCCCAATGCTCCAGAACTATAATTACCCCAAGTTAATAGCTTGCCTTGACTTGTCAATGCACCATAGTGGTAGCTATATATACATATAAGATATAACATTTGAATAAAGCTGTGTATATTACTCTTGTCTCAGACACTTACTCTCCAAAAGACACTTTGCATACATCATGATTGTCCAATTCAGCGAACCGGGTGGGTTCAGTGTTGCCAGTGGCATCCACATTGCCTAGCATTACCTTCTCCTTGGTATACACAGCAAAGTTATTAAATGCACCTGTGAGGAATCTACGCATTGCACCTTGACGACTGTTATGTTCATTTTCTGTGCTGCTAAAATGCGTTAATTCCACAACGCATTGCATAGGTCGGTTGTTGAGCGCATTTTGATCCAATGTTGCAATCTTGAGTACACGGCCAAACTCTGTCAACGCTAATGTGAAGCCATCCAATCCTGCAATCTGAATAATCTTGTCTGTGTGACCTGGCAGTAATTGAGCAATCGAGACGCCACTGGATACAATGTGTGTGGGTTGAGGTTCCGTGGTTACTTGTGATGGAATGATCAAATCAGGCTTTGGTATAATGTAGAGATTGCCTGTGCTGGTCAAGACGCTGGAGTAGTTCCAATTTGCAGCTACCTGTACGACTTTGTCATCTGTGCTCAAATCGACTCGTTGCAGCATAATATGGTTAGACCAATGCCAAACGGATCCGTCTATTGCTAGTCCGATAACATGACCTCTACCACTAGAAATGCTATGAAACTGAACCTTTTGTTGGGTCTCGTTGGTGTCTTGCAGCAGTGTAGGTAGACGCAGTCTTCTTGTGCCAACAGAGCTTCTGGGCGAGATGTCCTGTTGCATCTGAAAGGCGTATCAGTATCTGTGCATTCACCATAACATCATCATGTTGCTTACCGTTCCCCACATATACACTGATCCAGTTGTTTGTAGTGCATGAATAGACCAGCCTCCTGACGTGATATCAATGATATGCTTATCCTTTAAAGAAGCCACCTCCTGAGGTACTGTCACTTGGTTGGGGTATCTTGCTGTGAATCTAGGCATTCTAGCCAAGAGTCGTCAATAGCTTGGCATTTTTTGTCGTCAAACGTTTGCCCAGAATATACATACCTAAGTCGAGGATTGGCAGGTATGAAACCCGTATCAGCAACAATAGCAGGCGATTTATCACCTAATCCCAAGCGATCATCAAAGTTCTCTCCCCAAGTGAACACTTTAGCATGGTGTTTGAGTCCTTGATAAAATTTTTTCCAGCCCTTGTTTCGAAACGCATTATCTTGAGAGATATTAAATTCCTGAGCGCATAATTTCTTCCAAATGAGTTCGTCGTTTGTTATACAATTAAAATATTTGGATACAAGCGAAAGACGGATCAAGGAAGTACTGTCGATTAGGTTTAAAATATCATATAAAACATCGGTTGGAAGTCTATCGAGCATATTTGGAATGAGAGAGATAGAGAAGAAAGAAACACACATTTTATTTGGTAAAATTACGTAGTTTTGGCTTTGATTTTTTAAATGGGGGGGGGGAGGAGGGAGAGAAGAATATATATATATATATAAAGTAGGGTGACACCAGATGGAAGGTTTCAAGTGTTTGATAAATAGTAATAACAATAAGAATAGGAATAAGAATAAAAGAGAGTTCAGGTATGTAATATATATAGGACGTATATAGGTATAGAGTTGATATGTATAGATATGTTGTGTTGGAGAGGCCTTGAATGAAGGGAATGTGGGATAAATAAATAAGAGGGTAATTTTTTGTGGGTTGCCTTTGATACTTTAAAACGATGGTGGGTCATCTTGTAATGGCAGAGATTCATATTTTGATCTTAGGGTTGATATTTTGAACCCAATGGTAGATTTCAGGTGGTCATCGTTCTGCTGTTCTGTCTGCACCAGAAAGAGTGAATATGACTTTTCGCAGTTTTCAATGGCTTCTCTGGCTGCAATCCGATCACCTGAATAGTACGGCGATCCTCTTGAATCTTCTGCATAATTCAGCTCATCCATTGCCAAGCTGTACAGTTCATACACTTTCTCAATCTCCTTTTGTGTGTTTACCATGGACAGTTCGGATGAAGCATTGGAAGGTCTTCTGCGAAATGGAGACATGCATTTATCGACTACAATGCCAAGCCCTTCTGATCCGGTCAATGATGGTCTCTTGGTGTGCGATGGTATAAATAGCGAGTCTTCCTGGTGGCAGCAGCAGCTCATTGCTGTGCTGTTTGTGGATGCCGTAGATGTGGTAGATGTTGTGCTGCATTGCGATGGACGTCTCTTTGTTAAATCAGGTGTGAACCATGTCTTGAAGCTGTGCCACTTTGATTTCAAAGTTGTTTGTGTTGGTGAATGTACAAGAGGATGCATTTTAAAAAGGTGATAAAAAAGAGAGGGGGGGAAAAAAAAAAAAGAGAGAGAAAAGAACAAGGTATTACGCTTGCTCGACCATATTTATATTGATTATTGTTTATGCAACTTTCCTATTTCCTTTCAAAAGGGGGATTTTAGAAAAAATTGACCACCCCTTCTTTATCGCCTTGAACAAAGGCAGGAGGATGAGATTATGGTTACATAGTATAAATCTAAAGAGGAGCGGCATGTTGCCATCCTGTTCTGCTACAAAATTTCAACTCCTATAATGTAGATTGGTGGCAATACATAATTCTTTTGTGATGTATACATAATCACATTTTATCTCCATAACTGTGTATATAAAGAGTACCCCCCCCCCCTGCGTATCTAAATTCATGCAAAAATCCACATATGTTATTGTTATTGTTGTTGTTTATTTGCTGTACGGGTTAAGCTGAAAGAATGATTTTATCTGCTGGTTTATATGGTTAAATCAAAGCGAAATGTGTATGATACGGATAGAACCTCTGCCAATATCCCCTTTATACATGTCATTAGTACAAGCTCCTTTTTAGACTTGATATCATCATCCTTCATCATCTCCTTACACAACATATACCAGTGGATTGTATGTGATCAACGTCTTATTCGAATATATACAATGCACTGCTCGTCTACATAAGCAGACTATGGTGTCGCCGGAACGTGCATAGTTAAAATATATAATACCTGTATGGTCTAATCATTAATCATATCAGCAATAGATCTGGCCCAATTGCAGATTTACAAACAACACCATATAATCTATTCAAGTTCTAATATTGACATGATTCGGTTGAAATAACAAATAGAAATTACTTTTTATGGCTCTCCGGCTTGGAATACTGTATATACTAGTCCAGTGTATCCATCTATAGCTTTGCTTTACCTTGTTTAGACTGATGAAAAACATGTATGAGGCGCATTTAATTTGGCTAGCAGTGCTACATTATGTGCACATATATACATAGGATGAGATGGACTGGTGATTCGGTTGGATATCCGGTGATGGTACAGCATGGAACAGAAACTTGTTTCTAGTATTGAAACAGTAAAATGTTCGAGACTGTATGGAATTAAAGGAGCCTTCTTTAAAGGAGATTTGTATATACACTAGTATTCGCCAAGTGTTTTTTTTTTCAAGTGAAATGACATATTCAAGATTTATCTGATTTCAACCTCGATCGATGATGAATCATAATTAATACAAATATCCCTTTTCTGAAAAATGCACGGAATGTTGAAAGATATATTACCGTAAAAAAGTGCTTCAACGGCTGAAGGGGTGGATCAAGCAAATTCAAAAAAAAGAAGGGTTTAAAAAGATGAAACGAGAAAAAGTTGTTGTTGTTTTTGTTGTTCTGAATGTAATGTATAGATTGCAGTGGCTGTTCCTGATGCTTCAACAACAGGTTTAATAGGTGTATTTTTCATGAACCTGATTTTCCAAAGGTAGCCATAGTATCATGATTAACAGGCATATATGAACAAATGTTTAGACATATAAACAAGATCGACAAATTGATAAATAGATGAACTATGTCATTTAGTTTCATGCCTCGATGCATGTAAACAAAGCTATGTAAAAACAAATAGTGTTACAAATGCTTATGTATGCCGCTATTGAAGAAATGTATGTATAGAAGTAAATAAAAGAGAGGCGGCGGCGGCGCTGATGGTGGGCGGCTGCGACAACGGAAGCGGAGGCATGGGTCGCTTGTTGCAACTCTAAACGAAGAAAGAGGAAGAAAGAGAGAGAGAGAGAAAGGGGGATGAGAGGGGTAATAAAAGCGAGTAATATAATAACATAACAAGGAGAGATTGGGGGAAACAATAAATAAGCTCATAGAGCATATGAGGGAGTACATGGTAGTGATGGAGAGATAAATACATATGCTTGAGCTATCACCGTATACAGGAGCTTGATTTTGATGTATCTCTATTGGAAGGAGAATCACAAGATGCGCATCGACACAGGGCCAAAGAATAAAAACCATAGAGTAATCTCATCTATGTACCTCATATATGCGATAGGATAAAAAGGCTCCCTCTTTCTCTCAAAGACATGAAAAATTTCATTCTTGTGCATTCTATTTAGAATACAAATCCTTAATGTTTACATAAACCATTAGTAAATGCGCCTTTATTCAGCTATTTCAACGTACATCACATATAGAACTCTTATTCAGCTTAACTTGCTGTACTCTAAAGTGTCTTTTATGAGGATGAATAGATATATTGTCACCTACTACCATTGGTTTTGCCAGGCAATTCAAGCAGTAGCCACCACCAACATCTAATTAAATCACCGCTCGACGTTTTGTTCTGATTTGAGACTTTTTGAACTTTTTGGACTCGATTCGACGTATTTTGTTCATTTCGACTATATGAACTCTGAGAATCACCCCATAGTTCATATTGCATTCTTGGAATACTTTTCAAGGCGCATCCAGTGGTGCTAGTAACTAAACGTGTCTTAAATAAACTTATTGAGTAAATCATAGATATATGAAATGTGGTTTTTGGGGTCAAAAAGGCGATCGTTTGATTTTCGATGAAAACCATGAGGTACCCCCTCATGGTTTGGAGTCGATTTTTTTTTGACGATCCCAAAAAAAGTTACGCAAAAGTGTCAGAAAGTAAATGCTAGCCCAGGGCAATCGTTTGGGTCTATTCTGACAGTATAAAACGGCTTTTAACACGAGAAAACAAGGCTCAAATACACCTAAATTTTGCTCTATTTCGCCTATTGACGAGTAGTAAGAGGCAATATAAGCATGATGCTTACTCGTATATGAATTGCTCATATCTATACAGACGTAAAGCATTCTAAGAAAGTCAGATCCACTACTGCAGATCATTTTGTGGAGATTCTTACTTAATAATGGGGGGGGGGGGTCAAAAAGTGAGATCATGAGGTAAGAGTAGGATTTATAATATACAAAATGAAATCACCAGTGCAACAACATGCAAATAAATAGGAACAGAAAACAGATGTGCCGCATCAGATTTAGACGAAGCAGTAACTTGCTGGTCATCACGGCCATAATAATTATTGTTGTTGCTATCATCGCAGTCAGTGTATGGTTTCTTGGTCTTGATGACACTGGTCGTGTAGTTGGTGTTTGTCAATACTGTGGAGTAGCCGATCGTCTCCAAAATACGTAGGATGCCAGGCCCAATGGCATATTTGTAAATGTATTGCGTTGTCTGATTTCTCTCTTCTGTTGTGGTTACATTTGCACTTGTTGTATGATTTCCTACCGTTGTATTATGCACCGTGGTTACATTGACGTAAATGTTCTGGGTGATATTGTATTTGATCTCGGGTATGTTGGCATAGGCTTCATCCACTAGTTGTTGCAATGTCTTTCCACGATGAAACTTATGTGTCATGAGAAAATCTGGCGTGCCGGTATAATCATCATCCACATGCGAGGTGGAGATACCAGGTCGATAAAGAGCTTCTTCTGTCAAGGTAGTATCCTCAAGAATATTGGGACCAGTCATCAATTGGATGGAATGATACGTTTGATTGAGATAAGGGTCTGTATAATACGCACTTTGCCCACAATTTGCAGCAAATTGAAACGACAATGTCTTGGGCTGTGCCATGGAAACATAGATGGTCTTTGCTCTTGCCGACTGTGTTGCATTATTCAGAAATGAGTTCATGAAATTCACAATGAAGGCGTCGTTTTCCTTGACGCAGAAGCTTTGTAGATCGAAACTATAGTCCACAAGCCATTTCGTTTCGTTCCTTGCAGGTATGATCAAGTTGAGGAATTTGTCAAAAATCATGTTGGGCTGGAATCCAGTAATATAAGCGGGTCCTGTCGAATGTTTTACAAACCAATATGGACTTGGTGTCATGAATTTGAGGCTGTCTTCAGGTGTAATCAACCCTTTCAGCAGCTTTTGAAAGGGTGAATTTGCGTCTGAAAAATAAGGAGCCCAAGAGCTCACCATGCCCAGTCCATGTATCATTTGGTGAAGTATGAGGTATTCCATATCCACTTGATAGTCTTCGATGGGTTTGTCATTGTTGAACCAGTAGGCTCCCATCGGTGGAATGCCTGTGCCATTCCAATCAGATACTTTGTCGTAATTTACAGCATTCATGTACATGTCATGGTTGATATCGATGGCTACATCGTAATTAGCCCAGTTGGAGCTGTCAGTAAACAGGGTCAATTGCTTGGCTAATGCTTGTGGATAAATAAAGTTTGAATCCGCCTCGTTTAAAGAGATTAGTGTAAACTAAATATAGAAAGCCTTTGGGTCAGGCATGTATTCTGGATTTTATACTAATGTATACTACCTGTGAGCTCGGTGTGCCCCATCCATAAGTGCTGTTGGAACATGTCTTTTTGCAAAAACTGTAATAGGAGGCTTGGAATCTAATACATTGGTGTCATCAGCTTTTATTCTCTGCTTAGCAGCCAAATCCATCTGCTTACACAATCTTGTTTTTCAAGTTTACAACTTGCGCAAAGCTGGCTGCTGCTAGTTTCAATGAGTGTTCGACCTTTCCGCAAAAAGCTTTATCCACTTCGCAATACAGTTTCACTTGCACTGTTTCTGTGATATCGCTTATCCGTGGTGGTGTCGAGAATAGGTTTTTGGAGTTGTTTAGTTCTTCATTTACAGGCTGTGTTGATTCGTCAGCACTGTTCGTCTCGGACGTTGAAGGCTGTTGGGTGGTGGATGGTAACGGTAATGAGGACGATGTCGAGTCTTCCTCAGATTCATCTTGGGCATATGCAGTGAGTATGGACAGTAATAATAAAAGAGCAATAAATAATGATTTATGATACATGAATGCGATATAGAAAAAATAATACAGTAGTAAAGAAAACTTTTTCCATGTGAGCTCACACACACACACTTTCTCTTTACAAAAAGATTCAGGGCATTTCATTAGGGTAAATACAGCTTCCGATCAGATTCTGGGGATTCTGGAGAACTATTGAGCGTGCCACACTTTGTTTTGCTTGAAGAAGAGAACATTTTGCTTGTCGTTTATGCTTTTGTCATTTGTAAACCAGGTAATGGGCCGAATAAGTTGCCCAAGACACAGAATTTGCAGCGCATTCATGGCTGATAAAAGCGCATCAACATTGGATTTATCTTCGATGATAGCTCCTCCATCACTAATAGTAATATGCTTGCAAGTAGACTTCAATAGATACTCATCAGAGATCATAGTGTTGACGGCATTTTGGCTCACATGCACCGAGAATAATAGCAGCTCCTTCAAATGCTGGCAGTATTTCAAACCTGTGAGAAAGTCAACGGTCGATTTATCGTTCTTTTGACGAAGTTCCAGTATCTGTAACTGGGACAACTGTTTCAAAGTCTCGTGCAAGCAGGGCGCCGTGATGGTAGGAAAGCACAGTCTTAGCTCTACCAACTGACGGCAGTGAGAGAGGCGTTCAAGCGATGCATCAGAAAGCAAGAGATCATGCTCTGTTGTAGCGTAATTGGATATGGATAACGAGAACTTGTGTGACTGAGGTGGGTGCTTGTTATGTCTGCCATTGGATGCTACAGCCAAAATGGTTGGCGACGTGGTTGCTGCTGAATCCAGCGATAACTGCACTCTGGAAGACCTTCTGCTAGGATTCAGATTACTACTGGCTGTTGATCTAGGGTATATGTTCATTTTTGGCGATAAATCTAACCGGGTTAGGTTGTCAGGATTCAGCCTCTCAATGACAGGGTCAAGGGAGCCGGTGCGAATACGAGTCAGTCGAAAGTCCTTCAAGAGGGGTAAATGACCAACCACATGGCGAATGCTAGGCAGCAGCAACGGTTCATTGCAAGACACGTGCAGACACTCTAGCTTCTTGCCGTATTGACTGACAGAAAGCCAGGAGAGATTATTCAGATCGATATTAAGCATCTTCAGGCTCACAAGATTGGGGCCCACAACTCGAAGCAACGTCTGCAATGCCGGTTGACTAATAATGCATGATGATATATCCAAATGGCGAATATGTCTGAATTCTGGAAATGAGTGCCGCCCTCCAAGGTCTTGATATTGAATAGATAGTGATGTGAGATGAGGCAGACTGGATACTATGCTAGTCAGCAGTACGAGTGGTACTTTGAGTCGATGCGTCTGCTTTTTAGAGAGATCCATGGCCATGGAGCTCAAGTCATGCGATGGGCGTACCTGATATACATGATCACGTTGTTGTTCAAATGCAATTGCAGGAGATACGTTCTGCTGCAGCTTTCTCTGCCTGAGGATACGCTGTAAGATGGGCGTATTCAGCCGGTACCCGTTGAGCGACAAATGAGTGAGGTGCGTCAGTGAGCGTGACAATGCAACAACCAACTCTTCTGATATGTTCCAGCAGCCGCTTAGATCCAGCGCTGTAATTGCAGCAGTAATAGAGTCAGAGCTCTTATGAGTAGTATAGAGAGGGATATTGGCGTTTCTGAGAAAGGTCAAGAGGCTGTTGGTACCAATGGTGCTGTCGTAAGGAGAGAGATCCAATTGCTTCCAGCAGGCGACATGCGTAGATAGCAAATGGTTCATTTGTTTGCATGTGTGTAGTAGTTGGCACTTGTCACCCACCTGTTCAATCTCTTGTATGATGCGAATGAGAAGCTCTGCTGGTAGGTTCAATAGCATTGAATGTTGGAATAAAAAAAAAAAAAGATAAGGAATTAACGTGAAAATGCATCAAAACTATATGCTAACACAAGTTTCTATTGGCCTAAACAAGACGTCTGCCATCAACTGGGATACATGAACCACAAACACACATATACTTCAAACACCCCTTTTGCCTTTAACCTCTTTTTTTTTGACATTTATTGCGATGATGCAGCAACAAGACACTAATCAAAGCTCGACGCCTGCTTGGGACATACAGGCTAGCAAAGGTAAATGGAACAAGGTGGTGGAAAAGACAAAGGACGGCAAGGGCACGTTCTGTGTTGCCAGAGAAAAGATCAACCAAGGCGAGCAACTGCTGACTGAGGAGCCTTTCATGCGACAAATTGATGAGAAATACAAAAAAACTCGCTGCCATTACTGCTTTGGAGAGTTGAAGGGCCATAATATTCGCTCATGTTGTAGCAAAGATTGCCAATGGAAGGCCCAATACTGCTCAGAAGAGTGCGAACGCCGTGCTTGGACAAAAGGCCATCAATGGCTGTGTCGCTTCCCTGAGCTATCCGAACAAGACGCCGATATCGTCTTTGCAGTGGAAGGATACTTTGTAAGCAAATCACAAAATCAAGGTAGGAAGGTAGTATTCAAGCAGAAGCTGTCTAGTCTGACACATTTGACCAGACATTTTGCTGGATTTTGTATCCAACAGAGACTCTTTTGACGCAAGCCTCGTCAAAGACTACCGCGACAAGTTGATCAAAGTAGCATCCATCCTTGACTTAACAGACAGTGCCATCGATAGCATCATCACCATAATCTTTCAGATCAAATGTAACGCATTTGCAGTAAAGACAGCTCAATCTGTAGATGTGGATGCAGCCCTTGTGGTGTCGCGAGAATTCTTGACGTTGGGAAGAGCCATCTACCTGTCAGCCAGTAAGGTAAACCACGATTGCGACCCAAATGCCATTGTATCTTTTGGAGATGGAGCAACAAATCCCTGCTTGCTAAAAATTCAAAGCGTCAAGGGGCCTATCGAGAAAGGAACTGAGATCACCATCAGTTATGGCCCCTTGGCTTCTATACACAGCAAGGATGATCGCTTAAAAAAGCTGAAAGAAGGCTACCAATTCGAATGCAAATGCAATGCGTGCAAGGATACATCGTAAGAACCATTCCGTTGAAATAGGTATATTGTATTGACTGGCATGATGAACAGCAATAAGAAATCTCCTGAAAGCATCTACAAGTGCCAAATCTGCAAAAAGGGTCGCCTGTACAGACAACAATCCAAATGTGGTGAGTGTGGACAGGAGCCTCATTGGCCTTATTTCATCAAGGTAACGTATTGAGCCAGTGTGTTGCAGATGGATCTAACAGCTGACATGTATATAGGCGGAAAGGGAGGTCGAAGTGCTCAAACAGAAACAAGACTTTATCAAGGTTTTCAAGCTTCAATCAGACATCTATCATGACGATACGCTTGTTCTTGGCCAAACAGCAGATCGCATTGCCATGTATGCCTGCAATTCTGGACAATGGGAACTAGCCTCGAATTACGCAATCATGTCATTGACTGTTGCACGAAAAGTGTATGGAAAATTAAGTGTGGAAGCAGCGGAAGAAATGATGAAGCTGTCAACTATATTATTGAACCTGTAAGTGATGTAATGTTCCTTGCAAAACATGCCATACTCAATGGATATATGCGTGTATAGCTGTTTGACAACTGGAAAGAGAAAAAAGGAAGCTATAGCACATATCAAAGGTACCATTATTACATACAAAATCTTGGGTCTAGATAAAACGATGCCAGAGGACATTGATGAACTGGAACAGATGATGACCCATTTGATGTTTATGGCCTTATAAGCGTCAATTGAACCTGAAAAATACGAAAACACACAATAGTAATAGTAATGGGAACAGTTGTTTATTAGCAATTGGAATAAAAAGAGTGCATAGTAATAGTTGAAATAGCAGATGAAGGGTATATTTTGATTGAGTACATAATAGGAAAGCTTAATGGCCTTGGTTATATAGATGACTTGCCAATTCAGCATAAAATTCAAGACGATCAAATTCTTGGCCATTCTCAGGTTTAGGAGTTCTGAAGCGGTAGGGAATATGACTAGATAGGTTTATATATATATATTAGCCATCATCATCTCATCATCAACATATACGACGTTACCTTTTGCCACTGAGGTCCCAATGGTCGGCTTGAATTGTCTTGACATAGGTACCCCATTTAGCACTTTGAACGCTGACAATGCCATCGTTGTCTCCTTCCTTTTCTTGCACCATTTGTCCTGGAATACCCAACAGAGACGACCAAGCGGGAAACTTGGCTGCAGCACCGTACGAGTAATACTTGACATTGGGATCATCAGGTGTGTTGGGATTGAAGTATTCCTTGCAGAAATCAGTTGTAAGATGAGCATAGGCGGGTTCGTCAAACCAATCTACCAAGAGTTTATCCAGCTTGAGGCTTGTGGGTAGTCTGGAGCTCCATTTCAATGCAGATGATGCAGAGAGGCATTCAGCGCTGCTTTCACGTTGTGTGTTGCTCATAGGCGACATGGTGGTAGTGGCTGGGGACCATTGCTGACCATCTGTTGTGTGCATTGGTACTTGCGACTGACCCACACCAAACTGATCTCGAAACCAATCCATGACAGGCGATCCACGATGAGGCGTGCAAATAGTGGTCAGTGATTGTACTTGATAGGGTCGGTCATGGATGTTGGCGAGTAAATGGCGACAATCAAGGCCACCCATTGAATGCGCAACAAAATTGACATTCTTTCCAACCAAGATGGATTTCAGGATTGTATGCAATGCATGTGATCGCTCCCATATGCTGCCCGCTTGTGGCACTTTGGTCACTATAATCTTGGCTCCCAATTTAGCTAGTGTGTCCTCCACACCACTCCAATAGTGAAATTGCAATGCAGGAATGTTTTGTGGTCCTCGAATATCAAAGCCAAATAATCCATGGCATAGCACAATGGGCTCTCTGGGCGCTTTGTAGTGAGGAGTGATGGGACCTGATTGCGATTGCTGCTTGATGGATTCGATTTGCTGTTGCTTTTGCTCGATAATGTCTTTGGGGGAGGAGAAGAACAGATCAGTGGTCAGTTTTGGAGTTCTTGCAGGATATAGAATATAAAGGCGATCTTCTTTGGTAGACGATTTACTGGTGCTGACAGAAGCCAATGTTACAGCAGGCCGCTTTGATTTGCTCGCATTGTGTTGTTGATCTTGCTGTTGAAAAAAAATGAGTTTTCGGTGTGCTTGGAGTAGCAGAGTTGCAAAGGAAGTAGTAGAATAGTTTAGTTTTAAGGAGCGTTGCAGGTAGTTGTATAATGTGTAGAGTGTTATGATAGCCATAGGAGTGATAAGTTGAAAAAAAGAAAGAAACCGTAGTTTTATGTAATCTGATCAAGCTTTTTATATGCTTGTATTCTCTCGGCATTTTAAACCAGATGGTTAATTTAATGCCCCAAATAAGTAAGCAAGTTTTTGGGGTTAAGGTGTTGTATAGGTACCATTTGACACTTGACAGCAGTAAAGCATTTGCTTGGCTCTATTCTGCATCTATTCTTGTCTGGATTATCCTATAGCGCTCTGCCATATCACATTGTATGAAGCCCATTTTTAATACACCTAAAATACCATCTCCCAGATCTCCATCTCTGAGATTAGCCAATATCTTCTCATGCAAGAAGAGGCTGTTGTTATTTGCATATATTCTTCGCTCAACGTCATACGTGAACTACATCATGTGGTCATAATCACAGGTTTATCTTGCCAGCAACTCAGTTTGATTTTTCCCACATCAGTGCAAATCGAATCAACGTTATTGATTGGATCCATTTGCTAATTTCTAAACGTGGACAAATGATATTCTACTAATTTGATTGATTGCTGTTACATTTGGTGTAAATGTAAATCTCAAAATTTAAAATAGAACATGAGCTTTGTAGCCCCAATGCTCCTCTAGTTGTGTAAACCCAACCAGCTGATGTTTTTCATCGATTATCCATGATAAGCATTAGCTTGATGCGATGCGTCAAACCTGTTGCCTTGTGTACATATAAGTGGGTTTTCATAGAAAAATCTAGTTTTCGTGCAATCATGTACATCACGACATCAATCGATGTTCCTTAATTTTTAAAGAGCAAAATGCTTCCCAAAAAGTTATTCAGGGCTTATGATCTTCACTATATATATATATATATATTGTAAACCGTTCAAAAAAAAAAAAGTAGAAAAGCCAATCAAAATTTTAAAGAATTGTGTGCAGTACAAGGTGAATAAACCCACCGGCAATGGGGAGGGGGTTTGGGGGAAGGACATAACGCATCTAATTCAACACTTGATAGCATTGATTTATAGGGGGGCTTTACCGTAGCGAAGCAAAGATGCAAAGCCATGGCAGTAAGGCGTTTAATCCAACACGGCAACATTGATCTATATGAGTGCTTAATCGCAGCGAAGCGAAGATGCAAACCTATGACAACTAAGCATCCAATCCAGCATTTGATAGCATTGATCTATACGAGGGCTTGATTGTAGCGAAGCAAATATGCAAAACCATAATATCTAAGCATGAATTAGCTTTACCAAAATCAATATGCCTCCTATTGGGATTAGAAGTTGCACAGGCTACATAACTGCCCTTCCAGAAGGCTTCAGCTACCAAAGATGTGATTCATGCCGTGCAAATAAATTCTATAATAAAGCAATACATAACCAAATTTGACATCTTTCAAACCTTCATATCTTGACATGTAGACCTTTCTGAGCCACCGGAATGATGCCAAACAATTGTACTTGAGTAGTAGTAACTTCCTGACACCTTTGCTCAGCTTTTTGGGCCAAAAAAAAAACATGGTCAAAAATCGACCAAAAACCATGAGGTACCCCTCATGGTTTCCATCGAATTTCAAACGATCGCGTTTTTCACCTTGAAAATGAAGACTTTTACCATGGTATGCATTAAATCAAAATGTTTCTCTCGACCCAAAGCAACTTCTGAAACCACTTTTATGAGGCTTTCATATGCAAAATATGGCTATTTTCGTTAAAAACCTCATTTCAAATTTTATTAAATTGTTCAACGATTTCATTCAAAACACTTATTACAGTTAGCATCATTAGAAGCGCCTTGAAAAATGCTTCAAGAATGTATTAAGGAGCATAGGCTGATCATCACAACTTATATAGTCGAATACTATAAAATAGATTAAAGAAGTCGAAAAAAGATAATATTTGTCCAATCCTGAACAGAAAATACTGAGTTTGAACTGATTTTGGCGGCGGCTTGTTGCTGGCTGACTTAAATGCCTTTCTGTAGATAACAATGATGATTGCGATGCTGATTAAATGGGGATCATGGAATTGAAAGGACAATTGCTTAGCGCAAATACTTTTTTTTTTGGGGAGGTTTACCTCATAAAGATGTCTTTTTAAATGACAATATTTCAAAAAAAAAAGTAGCTGTAGATCTTATTACACAAGTCCTGTATTTACTTATGACCAGCTTTATGTCGCCATATTATTAAGAGCATTGGCAGCAGCGAGTGATATGACAATTCTACTATCAGAAAATAGCAATTGTGATGTACAAATGCTGCATAAAATTTGAATTTTCTTTCTTATTGTCCCAATAATAGGCTTTGTTTGATATCAGTGTAAACAAAAAAGATGCTGAGGGAGACACCTCCTCTCTTCTTCCAGGCTATGATATAACCTTTCTTTTACTAACTAATAATTGATTGTTTAAAATTTACTTGATATACCAAAATTTTATTATATCTGATTTAAAATGTCTTTGGCGAGAGCCCACAGGGGGACGCCGGCATTGAGCGTAGCGGGATAGATTGGCTAATTGATTATATACTCCATTTCATACTGATCTATACCGTAATTACGCTTTTGACTTTTCCACTCTAGCGTTTAAACCTCCACAAAATGATCTGCAGTAGTGGATCTGACTTTCTTAGAATGCTTTACGTCTGTATAGATATGAGCAATTCATATACGAGTAAGCATCATGCTTATATTGCCTCTTACTACTCGTCAATAGGCGAAATAGAGCAAAATTTAGGTGTATTTGAGCCTTGTTTTCTCGTGTTAAAAGCCGTTTTATACTGTCAGAATAGACCCAAACGATTGCCCTGGGCTAGCATTTACTTTCTGACACTTTTGCGTAACTTTTTTTGGGATCGTCAAAAAAAAATCGACTCCAAACCATGAGGGGGTACCTCATGGTTTTCATCGAAAATCAAACGATCGCCTTTTTGACCCCAAAAACCACATTTCATATATCTATGATTTACTCAATAAGTTTGTTTAAGACACGTTTAATTACTAGCACCACTGGGTGCGCCTTGAAACGTATTCCAAGAATGCAATATAAACTGTGGTGTGATTCTCACAGTTCATATAGTCGAAATGAACAAAATACGTCGAATCGAGTCCAAAAATTTCAAAAAGTATCAAATCAGAACAAAACGTCGAGCGGTGATTTAATTAGATTTTGGTGGAGGTAGTGGCTGTAGGTTTCTACCAAGAGTATGAAAACAATGCACTGTTTACAAGTGTATGAATGTAGCAAAGCGAATCAGAAAAGTTCCAGTCATAAAATGCGCAACTGTAATCTCTGCTCACCTCCTTTTGAGTAGAACTTGATTTTTCCATTCTCTTAAAATAGGCTTTGGAAGGCGGCTATACAAACAAGTGCCAAATGAAACGTTGGCAATTAAGCCATAGCAATCTACGAAATTCAAGCAGTTTCGTGCGTGGAATTCTGAGCAATGGATATGCCTACAAGATCACCGATTCACAGAAGTTATAATGGCGAATCGAATTCAATAAAATGGTAAAGCTGTCTTTCCATCTTCTCGGTTGAAACAATGTCGAATCATATTCACATGATGTACTACTTTTAATTTGCCTTTTAATAATGCAAACGAGGGGATCACATGCAATACATGGAGCAACAGGTTTCGTATCAAGCATGCAACGAAGGTGGTGACTGTCTGGGATGTTGTAATTTAACAAGTTTAGGTTTGGATTGCATCTTATTTCTCTTTACACATTTATCGTTGTAAATGAAGCATTGGTTCAGCACTACAGCACTCTTGGTGGCAACTCGAATTACTGCATCTGCAGAGGCGACGACAGCAGCGGACGTAGCATCAGAAGTGAGTTCACTGATCAATGATACCATTGTCAATTTAGCGGGAGGAGACTCCTCAAAAGTAGCAGCAACGACAGATGGATTTATGCACATATTCACAGCTTTGTCGACAGCAGCAAGTCTATCGATTTTCTTTTTCAAATACTTGATTGGATTCATCATCAAGATCACCATGTACATGCTATCCCCTATACTCTGGTTATTGGGCACTTGCTGGCATCAATTTGTTACTAAGCCTTTGGATCTGCTTTTACACGTGTTGCGTGTATTATATCCACTTATCATGTTCTGTGTTGCAGCTATTTGTTGCGGTGTATTCATTGGCGGTTGTGCAGGATTTGCAGCAGAAGCCTTCTCATCAATTCTGATCTCTGCGACATGGGGACCGCAGGCTACCAAGGAGGTTGAGCATGAAGAGGATATAGAGTTGGTCGAGGGATTGGATGCGAAAGAGGAAGGATTGACGGATGGGTCTGAAGACGAGCAAGAGGAGAATATGTACAATCATGACAAGCCATTCAGTTTCTTTGGATCAACAACGCCGGCGACATCTTCATCATCCACAACAACACCGAGACACAGAAAGGGAAAGGAGCCTTTATTGCCAAGAGTGGAAAGCTGGAGAGACTCGCTATCCACATCAAGCACATCATCCTCGCCTGTTCTGATCAGACGCATGAAATTGTCATCAACAGACAGAAAGAGCAGTTGGGAGTGGGATGAAAACAGTGACGAAGAGGAAGTTGAATTCAATCACAATTTGAAAAATAAATAGGGCCTCCTCTTTTCCTTGCTTTTTTCATTCTTTTCTTCCCTCTATCTTTTCCATATACATCTTTACAATAGAAAGATGAGTAGATGGCCATGGCAGCAAAGAGACTATAACCAGCTATCAACAGGATCATCCTCCACGACCAGGGTGAGGCCAAACAAAAAGCAGGTTATCATCACCATACTGAAATGGGTTGCTGTGGCTACCGTCTGTGGTGTGATTACCTTCTTTACACTATTCGGCATTGATTTTAATTCCCGGATCACACCAAGAGATTACCTCGCTTCAACACGACCAGCATCAGGCCCACTTTCTTCCACTTGTTTTAAAGCAAAGCATACACTACGCAGCCAGCATTATGGAATCATACCCAGTGTCCCTGTCAAAGAAGGTGATGTGTGTTTTGATTATGCTGGTTTGATACGCAACACCAATACCACATCCAACACCTCATCTACGGTATATCATACATACTGGTCTTCTCAGATGACAAACGACCTCACACAGAATCAGATCGCCAGTCTACGTTCATTTGCAGCCACACAAGCATCCCAACATACCCTTTTCTTTTGGATTTTGTCAAAGGATAAATCTCATCTACTCAAATCAGATAGCTTATGGCACACGGTCAACTCTTCCAACATCCAGCTCAAGATCATTGAAGACGAATTAACTGCACTGTTAGAACATACACCGCTTAGAGCGCTGGAAGAGAGACATATGCAAGAGCTGCTTAGATTAGTGTCCCTGTATTTGTATGGCGGGGTTTGGTTCAATTTGGATGTGCTGCTTGTACGAGATCTATCGCCATTGCTACATTTGGAGTGGTTGACACAAGCAACATGCTTCGAACTATCTCAATTTGCTTCAGCTTCCACTGTCGATAGTAGGTTTGAGGGTGCCCTGATGCATTTCTTTGCTGGATCGCCCTATGTCTGCGAAATGTTGAGCGTGGCATCTGATGAATTGAGTGGTGCAGTGAATGGATTGAAGCCGCTGAAATCATTAGGGCCAGATTTGTACGCTCGAGTCTTTCATCGTGTGCTCAAGGCAAGGATCACGCCGTGGGCAGTGTTACCGTGGTGCTTTACAGACCCATCGCAATGTCAGACATCCAACGCTCTACCCAACGCATTTGACAATGTTAGAAGCTTCAATGTAGATCATGTAAACAATATCTTTGCTTACCATTGGCATGAAAAATGGAAGTCTTCGCCAGGCTCGATATTCAAATATTTAGTCGAACAGCATAAGCAGATTGTTTCTTGGTAATCTTGCTACTAGTATTTTATTTATTTAAACAACGTCCCTACCTCTCTCGCTCTCTTATCCTGTTTAAATCTTGTAATAGTATAATTCCTATATAAAATTTCCGTTCTTTTTGTATATGCTCACTCTTTCTTTCCGTTCATTGATACAAAAAACGCTCATGACTCAAACTAATAATAACGTTCTGTACTATAACCCGGGCTCGGTATTCTCCAATGTAGGTGTTTTGCTCTTGTGTCAAAAGGGTGTTCAAGATCAATTTGAGCTGCGTCCAATTCAAATGGGTGTGGACAACATATCGCCATGGTACATCAAACTCAACCCCAAAGGACAGGTACCAACCCTTGTCCATCATGGCAAGCCAATTCCAGATACCCTTGCCATCGCCAATTATCTGGATGACCAGTTCAAACCCTCCATCTTTGCGGCTGATGATGTGCAGGTAGTAGCACTTATCGAGCGATGGCGACAAGTCCGAGTATTGTCATTGCTGTCAGGCAAAAAGACAGCTTCTCAAGATGTCAGTCAAATGGCAGCCACATTGGAAAACTCTCGTCGTCAGGTGGAGGAGTACGCTAAATCCAATCCAGAACTTGCAGAGGCTTACAAGATACGACTGGATGTGCACGATGATCGCTCCAAGATTTTGATTGATCACGGCACTTACATGACACACAAAGAAGGGTTGGACCAGCTTTTGGATGACACTGAAAAGGCCTTGTCTGACAACCATGGAAAGTTGCTCGCAGGCAGAGATCAGTCAGCAGCAGATGCCTATGCTGTAGGCATTTTGCACTGGCTCAAAAGCAAATTGGATAAAAACATTCTCCAATCGAGACCATGCACCAAGAGATATTATGAGGAGCAAGCAGCAAGCTCGAGCTTTATTAATGCATTTAAGAAATAAAAAAATGAAAGATGAAATATACAGGTTGAGAGTGGGATTGTTTCTAGTATGTAAAATCATTTACTCGGATGAATGAAGAGTCTGTAGGATGGTATTTTACAACACCACCTTTGACAAGTGTTTGGATATAGGGGGACCAATATGTGCCAGGCACGAGTTTGATGTATGGATTGTCGGGTGAATCCACCGCTTGATTCATGAGTTCCTCCAAAAGCTCCTTTAACTCGCATTGCTCTCCCATCACGCCTGCATTCTATCATGATTGAACAAAATGTCAATCCTCTATTCGCAACTTGTATAGGAATATACTTACATCAACCGCATGAGGTGGATAGAACTCGTCTAGGAAATCAATCAAATCGTGTGTATCTTGCTTGTACTGTGAATCCCATTCTGCTTGTTCTCTGCGTAATTGATCGGGATAAGACTGCACATAGGCCTCTTGGGCCAGCTCTCTTTCCTTCTCCTTGAGCGCAGCATAGACATCTTCACATTCGGACAAGACCTTCTTCTCCTCGCGCAATGTACTAGTGAGATGGTCCAGCTGTCTTTTAGCAAACTGATTCAGGCTTGCATACTGTTTGATCTGTCTGTCCACATCCTCTCTAAACTCAATTTCCAATATATCGTCTGAGGGTTGCTCCAGTGTGTCTAGATTGGCCATCTCTGAAGCTACAAGGTTGTTGATCTCTCGATGCTCATACATGAGCGCTTGCAGTTGTTTGCGTGCTGTCGAGGTTACCGCCTCTGATTTACTATTGAACACTGCATTTGCTTGATCCTGAATACGACTATTCTCGAGCTAGAGTCAGAGTGTGTGTCAGTCATCCACAAAAGCCCATCTGTTTGCTGTTGCTACCTGGTAAAGCTTATCCCACAATTCCTTCTTCTCCAACTGTTGCGCTCTCAGGATACGATCCAAATGATCCCCTTTAGCAGTGTTATCATCCGAGCTCTGCACCACAGGATCATTTGTGGCAATATCCTTGTAATCTTGCGTCGCTTGAGTTATGATGTTGTGTAGGGCACTTTCTAAATGAGACATTGTGTTGAAGAAACAGGTGGAAGATGGCATTGATTTACCGCGTCACTTTTGAGAATGCTCCTGCGCTTGTTACCAGCAATGTTTGATCCTCTCTCTTTTTTTCTCTTTTTTTTTTTACCCAGCATTTCAACATTAATATGGATACACCCAAAGAGACTCCTAAGATTGTAAAGATCAGAAAACCTAGACAACCCAGGGGCACTAGAGACAAAACCATCAAAATCAAGCTCACTGCCAAAAAGAACAAGGCAAAAGACAATGAAGAGAGACACGTTATACTGCCTGAAGACGAAGACGAAGAGCCAGAGGCAGCCATTGAAGAGCATATGATATTCAGGGTTCCAGAAGGCGACATGTGCAATCGTTTGCATGAACTGGTGAAAAAGAGAGAGATACCAGACGATGTCAAGATCCATTTCAAAGGTAAGCACACTGAGGTGTATATCCAAGGCATGGGATACTTATTTCATGACAACAACAGACAGTCGAAAGGGCTACTTTGTGTTTGAAGGTCGCAAATACGACGTACAACTAGTGGATCTACCGACCATTATCGAATCACAAAAGACACTGGATAAGAAGCAGTTTTACAAAGTAGCAGATATATCCCAAGTATGTGTCATGCAGCGTATTAGGCTCGAATAGATGGATTGATTGTGCTGTCAAATGACTAGATGTTACTAGTTGATCCTACGTCTGGGTCAGAGCCATTTATACCGCAAACAAACAGTCGATTAGAAACAGATCCTTATAGCTATCCGCATGGTCTGACACCGCCATTGAAGCATGTTCGCCAAAGAAGATTTAGAAAGAAACTGTCGAAAAGAGTAATGAAATAGCTATCACTGCGCAGACATAGATGACTCATGGCAAATGTATAAACGATAGGCTATTGAGGAAGTGGAAAGAGAAGTTGAAAGGCTATTAGAGATTGATGCGACCGCTGAAGACGTACAATATGGTAAGGTGTAGTGTAGTGTGAAGCTGGAATTTTGACAACTGATTATTTGTTTCGCGTGCAGAGGTGATTGATAATAGAGAAATGGAGGTTGAATCTGATGCTGGTACACAAGATATCGATATTGATGACAGTGGAGATGAGAGTGAGAGCGATGAGGATTTGGCAGCAGCCATTGATCGTGATTTAGAGATGATGGATGAAGAAGACGACGATGACAAGGATGATGATGACGAGGACGAGGACGAAGATGAAGACGAATCCGAAGAGGATGAAGATGAAGAAGAAGCGGCTCAAACAGGCGAGATTGGTATGTTGACATTGGCTCCTGAATTGTGACCCAAATGCTTACTGTGCATGTTAGAACAAAAACGTCAAGAAATTGCTGAAATCAAACAAGCCATCCAACGCAAAACGCGCGATTTGTCAACTGCTCCCAATGCTATGCTTAAGGTAAGAAGGAATATTTGTTAGTAGTGAGGGGGGTTTATTAATTCGATCTACTATTCAGAACCGTTTCGAGACGGATATCAATAACCTGAAAAAGGCATTGACCCTGAAAGAAGCTCATCTTGCTGAAATGAATGAAAAGGAAAAGGACAAGCAGTGAATCTAATGTATATAATAAAAAGCTGGACGCTCAATGCTTCATTTGAGAATGTAAGATGTATATTCATAGCGAGAATATGGGTGCTTGTTAGCAATTCATCCAGATACGGAAGATTGAGGGCTGTGTAGGATGGTTTCCATCACGCGTTTGTTGTTTTTCCACATTGATTGTTGACAAATGGTGCTTCAATATTATCAAGAGCTTGTTTTTCTGTTTTCCATGGCTCGCCTATTAAACACCCAGCAAGGCAATTGATAGCACTGAAAGAAACTTGACGTTTTCTTGTTTTCTTGCCCAATCTTTATCTTTACATAATGTCTACTTGTGGCTTTCACATATTGTTTTTATTTGTCTAAGAGCGTTCACTAATTGCAAAACGCGGGTTAAAGCAAATTTCCATGCTAAATTTTGATGCAAATTGTATAAATCTTTGCTGATATCGTACATTTAAGCTGCAAACAGTTATAAAGCACACTTTGTATTTCATTTCTGGTTGAGACCAGGTTGCTTACATGGCTTCAGTGCGCATTAACGGCTGTTGGTTACTACCTCCTTTTAGCTTAAGGCATACATTTGGTGCAAATGGAACAATAGGCAACTCATTGATGGCTTGTTTGCATATGATTCTTGCATCCTCTCACAGTGTCAAACTGTCAAATTTCTCCTTTTTTCTCTTCTTTTTCACAGGCAGTAGTTCTTCTTTTTGGTGCCTCTGATTTTATTGAAAATGCAAGCCAGCAATCTAATCTTATGATCAGCATAAGTTCTCTGCTCTGATGGCTCTGGACATTGAATTATGGTAAATAGGTCTGCTTGCCTAGGCATTAGAGCATCGATACATTGTAAAATTGCAAAAAGACCCTACAGTCATTGGCAAGAAAATCAAGTTACAGATTTTTCCCAGTGGTACCTGCCCTTTTTATGGCAAATGGTTAGTTGCTCGGCCTCCCGTGGGTGCTTTTGAAGGATGGACCAGTGCCGCAGTAATCAGCAAAGGTACAGACTAGATAAACTTGGCTATTAACCGAATGTAGCTACAGGGGTTGGTGCGTTTGGGTTCCCCTGTATACGTTCTAGAGAATTCCTAGTATATTTGGCATGGATCTGTCCTTCAAGGATCTAACTAAGGAATAATACATTGTACGAACAATAATTTTTGTAGGCTTTCACGAACAAAATCATTATTCTTCATTGAATTGACAAGTTGATCTTTTTGATATGAAATCAGAAGCCTTTACCCGCACTTCTCACCTTGGAAGCGCCTTTTCTCAAGCAACAATTAATCAAGGAACATTTGAAACGAGAGGTTTCTTCACTTTACATATATCATATTCAGGAACTGTCTTTTTCCTGCAATCTCTATTAAGAGTTCATCAAAGAAAGAGTCTTAACGCGTATATTAAGACCTTCTATGGTGAACATTTGGTTAACATAACTGGTTGCTAGCATTACATTGTAGTGCAATGCCGTAATACTTACACTATTATATAACTTTCCCTGCAACATAATAAATTTAGAAAACATCACTCTCATAAAATTGTTTGGTAGATCCTAGACCAAATGCCTGCACCTTATTATATTTTTGAATAAAGAAGAATTTAAATTTTAACTATTTGGATACTTTTTATTACAAATATAAAATTATAATATAACAGATCAATAGGAAATCAACTAGTTGTAGCCCATCGTTGTTTGAATCCCTGAGCCAATCAGATTGCTTGAAAACTCCGCTGATCTAAAAAAAAATTGCGAGGGTTTCCCTCTGTTTTGAAGTGAGGCAAAATTTTAAGCGCCGCTATAATAGCAATATAGCCGCTGCTATCATTAAACTTCCCCCAAGTGCTAGAGCATGCCTTACTTACACCACCTAGCTTTATGTTCTGGCGTTGAGACTCTCAATCATCACTAAAGTAAGTAGTGATAACCAAGTGGAGACAGCCTATCTACCTCCTAGCCTCGGATAGAGTCTTGTTGAGCTTCAGGGATAGGCACATCCACACAACGTAAAAAAGGTATGCTTCAAAGAAACATAAAAATAATAAAGGAAAGAATAAAAGAACATACTACTATAGGTGTATGGTAGTACATGGGCAAAAAATGGATACTCACACAAAGTGATTCAAAGAAAAGTATAAGTACAACATCAGAGATGCTCAAAAGAGCTCGTTGTTGCAACAAAATTGCATACACGAGCAAAATGCATGGTAATAGTCGAATGTAAAGTAACGCAAACACACAAAACTGCAAAAGCAATGGTGGTATAAATTTGCATTGCAACATAATGACTAACGTTGTCTCATGTGAAGCCACAGAGGCAACGTAACCAGCGAAAGAAGAAGAAAGCGCAACAAAGTAAATATCATGATAAAATGCATTATCACGAGAAAGGAAGCAATAATACAAACGTTCAAAGAAGTTTTATATCATTCCGACCAGAAGAAAGAAGATACTTACCACTTACCACCACTACAGATAGACCAGAGGATACGCAATCACCAGATATAGACCAGAGAAAAAGCATGCACCAGACACAGTACACCAGAGAAGACCATATTAGCAACAGCAGCAGCAACACCAGCACCATGGAAAAACCAGAGAACAAACGACGCCAGAGACCAGACAAAGACCAAGCAACAAGCAACACCAGCAGAGACCAGACAAAGACCAAGAAGCAGACAGCAGAGACAGCAGAAAAGGAATGGCAGCAGCACCCACGTCAAACAAGCAAAAAAATTATCAAAACCTAACAAACAAATTCAGTTAGTACTGATTCTACGTCTTCCAGTGCTCGTTTATCGAATGGAACCTACTATATCCCTCTTCAAAGAAGCAGTGTCAAGTTCTTTTAGCAATACAAGACAGTGTGATCAGAAGTTGGAGTGTTATTATCATTCGAACGGTTTCCAAACCAACATGGTTTGATACTAAACGCGTTTTGCAAAAGAAAAAAAAAACGGGATATAGAAAAATGAGAGGGCGTCCTATCCGACGTCACGGCTAGTAAATTTGGCCTCAGTCTTCTGCCACAGCAGCTGTCGCTGCGGCACTCAAATTTGGGTTTGTGCAGTTGTCATTTTTGTGTTCAAATTTGACTTGATCTGACATCCTTTAAACGTTTTTGCTAAATTTGACTATGAAAATTGTCATTGTTATACTTTACTTTCTATTGCGTTTATAAAGAGTCATTAAAGGCGCATCGAATGATGCTGGTTACATTTAGTTTTTAGACTGAAAATAATGAGCAATTTGAAAAAATATGAAAACAGGTTTTCTGTGAATATGTCAAAATTTAGCATATACAAGCCTCATAGAAAGGGTTTCCGCTGTTGCATTCCATCTTTACGATCAATTTGATCTGATATGTATCATAAGAAAAGTCTTCATTTCTGAGGTGAAAAATGCGATCGTTTGGTTTTCAAGAATTTTCCCTTGCTAATACACGTGAAAAATATGCGAATTTTCATGGATTTGCAATGACCCAAAGGAATTTGAGATAAAGCATCAGGAAGTAAAGCGTGGCCAAAAGGAGGCCTGCGGTACTATTCCAAGCCCTTAAAACGCTTTGTGGCATGAGTTATTCGTGCTTGAAAATGACTAGATTTGAACAGAATTCGACCTAAAACGAAGGGGGTAGTCGGTTGCATTGCCAGAAGAGTAAGTCAATTACGCTTGCGGAATACATCTACTATGATCTGCATTCCGACAGTTCATCCAGTTACCAGATTTAGATATAAACTGTATGTACACTGGATTAGATGTACGATATCGATTTATACTACAAGAAGATATGGACTTCAGATACGCTAGTACTATAAGATTCATACTATATAAGATATAGGCTATAGATGGCACCACGGACATGGATGGCGCTATAGACTTATACTTGTATTCCGACATTGACTACGGATGTTTACCATATCTGGATAGGCACCAAGATTAATGCAATATGAGCTTGTTGCTTCAGATGTGCACTTTATGATCCACGCTATAAGACACATGCTTATATCCGTGATAATAGCTACAGATACTTTATGTACTACAGACTTGTACTATATATGAGACATGCTATAGACATGCATACGATATGCTATAGACATGCCATATATCCAGATACATGCTAAAGATGTATGCTTAGCGATATACACTCAGATATGTACTATTAATATAGACTAAGAAGACTGTACCTATCGGATACATGCTACTACTAGATCGATATTAATTATCCTTATAGAAAGGATAGATCAGGGCACTTTGGATGAGAGTCTAATTATTCATCCAGACAGAGCTAAATCATGATTAGCTTGCTGGAGTTGTCTTTTAGCATGATTAGACATTAGTTGATCTGAGTTGACTTATTTGTTAATCTAATTAATAGAATTTTTATCCATTGTTATTGCAGTGAAATCAGGTTTGAATAGATTTCACAAAAAAAAATAAAGCAATAGTAAAATACAATAGAAATCAACTGTATTTTATTTGTGTATAAAATGAACTGAAGATCCTGGAATTGAGTAAAAAAAAGAAGAGTATTTATACATTTGCATCTAGCTTGTAGGATTAGTGATGATAGAGAGCAATAGGTGCTGCTATTGCGATATCTGGCAAATGTTGTTGATGTTTGATTTAAAGTGGCAATCAATGCGAGAGCACTGGCCATAAGGGTCGATTTGAGTAACCTTGATGGGCTTGGGTGAGCTATCGTCATAGCATGATTTAATGTAACCTTGATGGTTTAAAGTGTGATGTTTGTTATTGAAGTATGGAATCCTTTATGTGGGATATTGTGCAACTATGGCAGCAGGGCATAGTTGTCATATTTGAATATGCTTGTTATTGATTTGATTCCTTTTGGATAAAGATACCATCACTTATTACGACCATCATGGGTGTGATTGAATACACTGTGATCAGGAGTGATTCATTCACACGATGTGCGATATAAGCATGCATCTTTACTTTAGTAATTTTTAATGGTTTTTTGATGTACATTTGAGCGCTTTCATTAATAGATCCAAATAGCATGAATTTGAATGAGTGCTATTTGATGAACTTTGGTTTTCAATTAAGTTGCGTTTGGGTGGCTATTTCATTACAGTTATAGTATATAAGAAGGATCATCTACCTGGCCAGTAGAGAGACTTCAGTTTACTTTACAGCTGTCAGTTTGATAATAAAACATACCTTTATCAAGTTGATTTTACTGTTTTTTTATTCTTTTTTTTTCCGTGAATTTTAGTCTATCAAGCCTCAAATTTAGCAAAAACGTTTAAAGGATGTCAGATCAAGCAAAATTTGAACACAAAAATGACAACTGCACAAACCCAAATTTGAGTGCCGCAGCGACAGCTGCTGTGGCAGAAGACTGAGGCCAAATTTACTAGCCGTGACGTCGGATAGGGCGCCCTCTCATTTTTTTCATCCCGTTTTTTTTTTTCCTTTTGCAAAACGCGTTCAGTATCAAACCATGTTGGTTTTGAAACTGTTCGAATGATAATAACACTCCAACTTCTGATCACACTGCCTTGTATTGCTAAAAGAACTTGACACTGCTTCTTTGAAGAAGGATATAGTAGGTACCATTCGATAAACGAGCACTGGAAGACGCAGAATCAGTACTAACTGAATTTGTTTGTTAGGTTTTGATAATTTTTTTTTGCCTGTTTGACGTGGGTGCTGCTGCCATTCCTTTTCTGCTGTCTCTGCTGTCTGCTTCTTGGTCTTTGTCTGGTCTCTGCTGGTGTTGCTTGTTGTTTGGTCTTTGTCTGGTCTCTGGTGTCGTTTGTTCTCTGGTTTTTCCATGGTGCTGGTGTTGCTGCTGCTGTTGCTAATATGGTCTTCTCTGGTGTACTGTGTCTGGTGCATGCTTTTTCTCTGGTCTATATCTGGTGATTGCGTATCCTCTGGTCTATCTGTGGTGGTGGTAAGTGGTAAGTATCTTCTTTCTTCTGGTCGGAATGATATAAAACTTCTTTGAACGTTTGTATTATTGCTTCCTTTCTCGTGATAATGCATTTTATCATGATATTTACTTTGTTGCGCTTTCTTCTTCTTTCGCTGGTTACGTTGCCTCTGTGGCTTCACATGAGACAACGTTAGTCATTATGTTGCAGTGCAAACTTATACCACCATTACTTTTGCAGTTTTGTGTGTTTGCGTTACTTTACATTCGACTATTACCATGCACTTTGCTCATGTATGCAATTTTGTTGCAACAACGAGCTCTTTTGAGCATCTCTGATGTTGTACTTATACTTTTCTTTGAATCACTTTGTGTGAATATCCATTTTTTGCCCATGTACTACTATACACCTATAGTAGTATGTTCTTTTATTCTTTCCTTTATTATTTTTATGTTTCTTTGAAGCATACCTTTTTTACGTTGTGTGGATGTGCCTATCCCTGAAGCTCAACAAGACTCTATCCGAGGCTAGGAGGTAGATAGGCTGTCTCCACTTGGTTATCACTACTTACTTTAGTGATGATTGAGAGTCTCAACGCCAGAACATAAAGCTAGGTGGTGTAAGTAAGGCATGCTCTAGCACTTGGGGGAAGTTTAATGATAGCAGCGGCTATATTGCTATTATAGCGGCGCTTAAAATTTTGCCTCACTTCAAAACAGAGGGAAACCCTCGCAATTTTTTTTTAGATCAGCGGAGTTTTCAAGCAATCTGATTGGCTCAGAGGTCTAAGCACCGAAGCGTTACAACTAGTTGATTTCCTATTGATCTGTTATATTATAATTTTATATTTGTAATAAAAAGTATCCAAATAGATCCAATTTATGTCGTCCTTTGTTTAAAACTATAAAATAAGGTGCAATCAATTGATCTAACATGCATCAAACTGTGGCATGTGAGTGAGTGTCCTTTAAACTTGATATTATGTGGTTGGAGGAAACCCATATACAAGTACAATAATGCAATACTACTTCAAGAACCAGGAGGACTTAATAACAAATGCCCCGCCGCCAAGCATGCGTTGTTTATCAGTATTTTCCAACATGTCTCAATGTAATGGGTTGCTAACTTTTGCTTCATATCAACAATTTCACATGTATAAAAGTATCTTTTGTCATAAGATTTACGCCACCATCCACAATCAAATCTTAGATTATTTACATCAGAGCTTTGAAAGTAGCATGTTCGTACAGCCAAATTTAGCGAGAAAAAAATGCGTTAAGAATAATATAGAGAGAAGAAATATATTTAAAACTGAATATATTTATCATGTTATTTCAAGATTGAATGAGGGTTAAAACTAATGTAAATCTCGAATGTGTTTATAGTTATTTGAAAATGCTAAAGCAATAAAGCCTTAATAATCCTGGATACTGGATAATTGTAGAAGCCTTGAACCAGTTGACGAAGATGTGCTACATGAAAGCTCATAAACCACCCGTGTTGTGCCAGAAGGGCTACAACTGTCTATAAAGATTAAGGTATTCTTGATGGGTAGATATGTCTGTGTTGTGCAACAACATGGACAAGCTATGATAATTGAGGTGCATCTCAGCTACCTAAATGCTGAGGTTCACCGGATGTGATAAGCGTTATACAAGGTAAATTGCTACTTTGGCATTCAGAACTTAGTATAAATAAAAATAACTCTTGTCTTCATCAATAAATCCTTAGTTTTTGTGTCTGATCTTATTCAAATAAGTCTTTTCTTGTTTTTATAATATCGAACATTTTTTATAAGCTACAAAGAATAATCCTTTTATTCTTTGTGCTTAACAAGTCCAATACATGGGAGAGATCAAGAATGGCATAAAGGGTAGAAGTATTTGCCAAAAAATGGCCATTCGTAGTCCATGCCTGCTTAGTTGCCTCGGTAAAAGCCTTTATAAACTTGCTGTTGTTGTTGTTGTTGATATCCAGACCTTCTATTCTTATATTGTCCTCCTCCATTGCTTGATTATCATCAACAAGAACAAGTTTGGCAATTATATCCTTCAAGAAAGGCTTTTGTAAAATTCCTCAAAGGAGGGAAGAGTAGTAGGATAACAGGCAAAGTACATATTGATTCTTGACGGTTCTTGTTAACGAAGAAAGAAGAGTAAACATAGTTGGCTTAATAAATGCAATAATGGGTTAGGAATCAATTAGCAATTGGATGGAGGTTAACACAATGAAAGCCATTGTTTAATCATTCGAGAAAAGTGATTTCCTTGCTTTATTGGACATTCATGCATAAGATATAAACTTTGATGATTTTTCACGCCTCGTCCAAGGCGCTAAATACCTTGGTAAGATTGAAAAATCCCATTCAGTAGAGAAATCACGGCACTCACTGTATGTGTATGTATATAGTAATGATTGATTCATTTGATTTTAATTCATGCAACAAATTAAATTATGGCAAGAAGTGGAAAGGATTATAAGGGGAGGAGAAATGTAAAAAAAAAAGAAGCAAAAGAATATGTATAAATTTAATCACTTGTAAAGTTAAGCTTTGCTAAGTTCCAAGTTGGCCAAGATATCTTCACAGCGGTTGATATTACGCAGGAACCAATCACCGTAACGACGACCCACCTTGCTTTCAGCAATATGAACAACATCTTGCTTCAAACAGAAATCAAGATCTGAAGTAGGCAGATATTCACCCTCCAGAAGGTTACCTTCAACCCACTTGTATTGACGGGACTTTTGCTTAAAGATCAACAATTGAGTCTTGAGTTCCTCAGAATCGATTTCCAAAAATTTAGCCAACTTTTCAATGCCCATGGAAGTATAGAGCTTCATGAATGAACGGAGAATAGGAAGGTTGATTTGGTTCTTGATGTCAGACATGAATACCTTGAGTTGGTTTTGATGGGCATCAACACCTTTACCACTGGGAGAGAGAAATTTGGGGCAAGCAAATTGGAACAGATCGACGTAGACAGGGAGGGATTCCTCGCCCTTTTGCATCTTGAAGAGTTGTTCGCCGTACTTTTCACGAAGTTGAGAGTGGATGTTTTCGTCTAATCTAGTAGGACAGAGAGCAATACAGATGGCCAAAAGAGCGTACATTTGATCGCCTCTCTTGGCAATTTGGTCGAATTGGTATGAGCGAGAGTGATATTGCTTGGTTCTTTGGATGAATGACAAGACGGTAGAGAAAGCTTTGATGGCATCAGCATATCTACGGAGCATCATGTAGGCGAAACCAACGTAGTAGTAGGTGGTTACATGACAGGCAGTAACACGAGCAAACATGGCCTTCTTGTTCAAGGAAATGTTATCCATCATCTTCAAGGCAAGAACGTAATCACCCAACAAACAGTGGACTCGGACAAGACCAATGATAGAGAAATAGCCCAACATCTTGTAAAGAGGACGAGAGCCATACTCACCAGCAGCTTCCATCATGTCACCGCCGTTCTTACTAACCAACAATTGCTCGTTGATGCGAGACTTTTGGATGAAAGAGTAGAGAACATTCAAAACGCTGTAACAGCTCCAGATTTGAGAGTTTTCTTGCATCAAGACAGCTTCAGCATCAGTCTTGTTCTTTGTGCGATCACGAAAGTTGCAGAATGATTGGAATTGGTAGATGAATTCGTCAATAATGTCCCAAAGCCATTGATTAGGCAATTCCAATGAAACAGGTCCTTCAGAATCTAATTGAAGTGGGTTAGTGTTTCGCGTCATCCAAAGGTGAGTGCTATGTATTTACTCAAAATGTAGTTGAAGAGATCACAATAGTTCTCATAAGAGTGGAAACGTTGCTCCAAAGTAGGGGTCAAATGAGCGTAGATGTGGCGATAGTACAGCTCGCGATACAAGGTCAAAAAGACTTGATCTAATTTCATATAAAGGTCAATGGCTGCTTATCTGTGCGTAGAGTGTGTCAGAGTGCTTTACCATCATTGACAAGAGGAGCGACGACTTCAGCCTCGGGCCAAGCTTGCTTTTGATAGTACTTTTCAGTCAACTTGTTGAAAGAGCTGTCGTAGATGTTGTGAAGTTCGTAGACATTGTTGTCAATGACGTTGCGATAGAAATGAAGGATGAAGTTTCTAACACCATCAGGGATTTGGGTGGTAGATGTTTGGGAAGAAACGACTATATACTCATCGTGTTAGTCACCAGGTGTTCTGTTTCCATCACAAAGACATTTACCTTCAGAGTCAAAGCCATCATCCACGTCGTTGCTTTGAGAGTAGCGAGCTTGGGCAACGAGCTCAACCTCAGCAATCAAATCATCCTCTTCAAAAGTATCTTGGTACATGTTGTTCTGAATTGTGTTTCGAGAGAAAAAAAAATACTGGCTCCCCCAAAAAATTCTATTTCAATAGCTTTACCAGAGAAGAGGCACGAAAGGGAAGGTGGAAGGATCTCGAGTCACTTTTTTCATCCGAGCACTTGTAGGCATCCAAGCAGCCATCAAGCCACCATCGTACTGCGGCTATAGTGCGCATTTCCCAAAAGATATTTTCCCCTTTCACCTTTGGTTAAAGCAAAATATACCTTGTAGCATGTCTATTCAGCTTATCAGAAAGGCAGTTCCCGGAGCAGACGAGGCCATTGTGGAATACATTGACGGCTATCTTAGAGAAAACGATTTTGAAGACGATGAAGATGCCATTGCCGACTTTGTAAAGCCTATTCTGATTGATGCGGGAGGCGATGAAGCCAAAATTGACGAACTATGTGAACATCTATCAAGTCTATTGCAAGCAAATCAAAAGGCTTCTGCTCCAGCAAAGCTCTCCAAGCTAGAGCACTCATTCACCATGGGCAGCCAAAGCGGATTATCTGCTACTGCTAGTCTCGGTAGAGGTTCTGTGGATTTAGAACATGCTTCAGGCCGTCGTGTTCAATCTCAAGTCAACCAAGAAAAGTTGCGTAAAGCCGAGGCAAAGATTGCTGCCAAAATGGCTAAGCGCAATGAAAAGAGCAACATGAAGGTGGAATACGAGGCATCCCGTTTGCTGGACGAACAAAAGAAATTGCAAGAAGAATACAAATTATACAATCCCATCTTGGATTACACTACCACCAAAGGAAAGAACAAGGACATCAAGATTGAGAACTTTGATATCTCGTTTGCTGGCCGTCGTATCTTGACGGATGCCAATTTGACTGTGGCATTTGGCAGACGTTATGGTGTTGTTGGTAAGAACGGTATTGGTAAGTCTACGCTGCTCCGTGCCATGTCTCGTCGTGAAATTGCTGTGCCTCAGCACATTTCTCTGCTGTATGTCGAACAAGAAGTAAGTGTGAAATTGGATTTATGCTGTGGGCAGTGTATTCATGGGATACATTAGGTTCACGGTGACGAAACACCTGCTATTGAAATGGTGCTTCGTGCTGATGTATGGCGTGAGCATTTGCTCGGAAAGGAGCGCGAATTGTCTGCTAGAATCAGTACTCTGGAAGCTGAACAAGACAAGGAAGAGGAGCTGGGTGAAGAGGAAAAGAAGGCAATTGAAGCTGAAAAGGACAAACTCAACACAGAGCTCAAGGAAGTGTTTAACAAACTCACAGAGATTGAGAGTGACAAGGCAGAAAGTAAGGCCTCTGCTATTTTGGCTGGTCTTGGTTTTGGCACTTCCGAACAAAAGAGACCCACCAAGGAGTTCTCTGGTGGTTGGAGAATGAGAATTTCTCTTGCTCGTGCCCTATTCTGTAAGCCTGATGTTCTTATGCTCGATGAACCTGACAACATGTTGGATATTCCTGCTATCGTTTGGTTAGAAAACTACTTGAAGACCTGGCCCAACACATTGCTGGTTGTTTCTCACGACAGAGAATTCTTGGATGAAGTCGCTACAGACATCCTGTACATGCACAGCGAGAAATTGGACTACTATAAGGGCAATTTCACCAACTTCCACGCCACCAAAGAAGAACGTCGCAAGGCTCAATTCAAGGAATATGAATCTCAAGAGCAATATCGTAAACATCTCCAAGACTTTATTGATCGCTGGAGATACAATGCCAAACGTGCCCCTCAAGCTCAATCTAAAATCAAGATTCTCGAAAAGCTACCCGTCTTGGAGCCTCCAGAGGATGAGAAGCTGATTACCTTCCAATTCCCCAATCCTGAACAGCTATCACCACCTATTCTTCAAATGGATGAAGTGACATTTGGCTACAACGCTGAAAAGACGATTATCCGCCATGTCAACATCGATTTGAGAATGGATTCTCGTATTGCAGTTGTTGGTCCCAACGGTGCTGGTAAATCCACCATGCTGAAATTGCTGACAGAAGAAAACAAACCCTCTTCAGGTGTTGTTCATCGCAATGGTCGTCTCCGTATTGCCTACTTTACACAACACCACATTGACCAGCTCGATTTGACAAAGAACGCTGTTGGCTTCATGGCTGACCAGTTCCCTGGTAAGTCAGAAGAGGAATACCGTCGTCATTTGGGCTCATTTGGTATCACTGGTATGGTTGGCCTCCAAATCATGAAAACATTGTCTGGTGGCCAGAAATCTCGTGTCGCATTTGCTTGTCTTAGCATGCAAAACCCTCACGTTTTGGTTCTTGATGAACCTACTAACCACTTGGATATGGAATCGATGGATGCATTGCAAGACGCACTTGCTGAATTCAAAGGTGGTGTCATTATCGTTTCTCACGACGAAAGATTCATCAACACCGTCTGTAACGAAATTTGGATTTGTGAAGGTGGTGTTCTCAAGAAGTTCTCTGGAACTATCAAGGATTACAAAGAAATTATTTGCCCCAAAGATACTCCATAAATTATACACGCATAATAATAAAAAAAGCATCCTTTTTTTTTTTTTTTCTTACAATTCATATATAAACAGTTTATTGATTACATTGAATTCAATTTAAACAGAAACGCTTCCCTTCGCAGGTATTAACCTGATCAGGTGTTTAAGAGTTTAAAGTTCTCAGCCATATTAAGAAGATGCAAATGCAAATTCAGGCTCCCCCAGCGCATTATTCTGTTTAAATCAATGTATAAAGTCAAAAGAAAAATAAAAAGAGATACAGTGGGATGAGGCGTATCAAAAGAGTTAGTATACAAACAATGACAACGGCATGGATTTATACTTACTCAGGCAAACACTGGTTGGGAGATGCTACTGTGTTGACAGCGACGACAACCGCCTTCAACAACACCCGTTTCCACAGTAGCAGGCTCAGCACCTGGTTCAGACTCGGGAAGCAAGGGCCAAGTCAAGAATTCGTTGGTTTGATTCTGGACAAAGTTGCTGTCGACAATGTCAAGACGCTTACAGTAATTGGTCACCTTGTTCCAGTCGCGCTCAACGTTCTTGAGATCACGAGAAAAGTATCGGAAGGATCTTTGGAAGATCTTGCGATTGATATCAGAATCCAAGTGGGGCTTCATTTCCGTGTACTTTTTGTAAGCGGCAACAGGATCAGCAATCATGTCATCCGTAGCGCGCTTGATGGCAGCAAGGTATTTGGTCACCTTTTCAGGGTTGTTCTTGATGAATTCCTCATTGCCAATGTAGAGAATCTATGGTTTGATTGCAATCAACTTTCTGTAGATGTAGTTCAAAAAGAGATTGTCCTTACCGAGCAGAAGCAACAACACCCTAATTCGGCGAGCTCATCAATACGGAGCATCTGGACATCATCGCGAGATCTTCCTTGCTGAACAGACCATTCTTCCAACTCAACTTGCTGCACATTTTCGATACCAATACCAGCGTCAATGTCGCCACGAATAATAGCATCAGTAACATTCATACCAACACGCACAGCGTCGTAGTCCTTGGGAGTCATGCCGAAATGGCTGGTCAATTCATCCAGTTGAATCTTGCCAAATTCACCAACATAGCCAATGCGCTTGCCGCGAAGCGAAGTAAAGTCGTTAGTAATACCACTCTTATGAGACAAGTGAATGACACCAGTGAAGGGTTCATCCAAGAGAGTACCGATAGACTTGATAGGATAGCCGCGAGCGTTTCCGGCAATGGTGTGGATCATGGCCTTCAGTCCAAGATCAACCTTGCCAGAGCCGATGATTTCGGTAACATCAGAAGGATCGTTGGGTTCAAGGATAGCAACCTTAATTCCTTGCTCCGTAAAGTAGCCCATCTTGGAGGCTAAAAAGAGTGGCAAATGATAAGGAGTAGCCTTCCAGTTTAGGAGAACAGTGATTTTGTCAGTAGTTGAAGTAGTCATTTTGATGAATGCAGATAAAGATAAGAAGGAGAGGCGGGTTTCTGTGGCTCTTTTTATATTTAATATGGAAGAGATGGATTTCATCTCATTTGATCATTTTAGACCCATAATAGACTTAGCATTCAGTGTAACCGATACACAGTTGCGCTTGGGTCTTTAAAATGAAAGTATCAAACCATTAAAAATTTAGATGGTTCACACGATGACTCAACTTGCATAATCAAAATGAGGATCTTTTCGTCTTCGGTTTAATAATGTGTAGTCTACATTTGAACAGATACTGTGCTGAAGCCGTACAACTGACCGTGGATGCAATGTTATATAAAAGCCTATGTAAATTGAGAAACAGGACAGGACCAGAAATTACATTAGAAAATAAAAGAGACATGATACCAAGCTTACTGCTCTTATCTCTACTGGTGGCATCTCAAGTAGACGCTAAATGGATCTCTGAGATCCCTAACGCACCCAGCAGAGGATTCAGCAAGTTATTTGCGATTCCTACTTGGATATCGCATATTGAAGGTAAATCTGGACGCGTATTGAATTTATGAGATAGTTAGCTGATGTGCAAGATAACAGATTACGACGATGACGCCTTTAATGCGACAACTATCTTTACTGTCGTTATCATCGCTGCATCTACCTTGTATGCCTTATACCACATCTTTTGGGTCCATTTGCCCTCATTACCTCGCAGCCGCAGAGCCATTGGTCCATTTAATGCATTGATCCTGCTGTATCTCATCTCAACATTCTTTGCTTCATTCACCTTTTCCATGATGAATGCTGGCAGAATCTGGGCAGCATTTGGTGTGTTTCACAACTTGTTTGAAATAGCACTGTTATCACACATCATGCTGCGACAAAAGTCATTGCTGTAAGTTATATGAACTGCATTTAGAAAGGGAGGGAATGCCCATTTACATTGCATGTAGAGAGCGCAATTTTGTTTCTGTTTGTTTTGTCTATTTGTTGCTCACCATGTTTGCCGTGATTGTGCTACCATGGCCGTTGGATGCACTCTTTTTCAAATTCCAAGGTCTGGCTACCGATTTCGCATTGAGCATTGACCTGGGCCGTTTGTATTATCACAGCAAGGGGTTGTACAAAAAGGCCAGCGTAGGTACATTGGTCACTACCACTGACGATGATTGCGAATCAGTTGATGATTACACCAGAGACTGTGATCAATTGGTACAACAATTACAGCAGCAACAAAAAGAGTTGAACGATGATTCAAGCAAAAAGTTGAAATACCAAGTGATGGTTGCTCCTCACTCCAATGTCGCCATCATCTATATTGCTGCTGTATTGCATGCAATCGGTAATGCCTTGGTGACATTTACGAATCATTTTCATATGTAAGTGAGATAATCCAACATAACCCTGCACTTTTGATATTGACACTGCAGAATTAGGTGGGTTGTTTTCCAATTCATTTATGGTATTTCATTTCCCATGTATGCATACTATTGCATTGCTGAACCCAATGCAAGCCGTATCAGCTGGTATAAGGTGGACTACGCTAAGGAAGTCCTAGTCATGGTGTCAGGCATTACATTGGCTGGCCTTAGCATTGTCGTTGGCGTTTACAATGCTGATATTCACCACTAGTCATCCCATTCCAAACACCTCTCATTCTAGTTAGAATAAACTCACATTCATACAATTGTTCCCTATAAAAGAGGCTCAACACAGGTTGTATACATGGGCTTTTGGCCTATGTAAAGTGATACTATAGTATAAATGCATTGTGCTTGCCGACTGTAGAAAGGAAGAAACTATATTAAACGGCATTCATCTAAAATCTAATCTAAATCTAATCACTGATCTAAAATATATATACTGGAAAACACTGTTTATAAAAAATAGACAAGCCAATCATATCCTTTCAAAATTTAATAGTATCGAGTGTCAGAACAACGGTGGTATAGCCACCGGCGAAGCCGGCAATGGGGGAGGGGGTTTGGGGGAGGGCTTAGCCCCTCCACCAAGAACGTCAAGCATCACAATTTGCATAAAATTTATGAAATACCCTTTTGTTAAAATCAAATCGAATTGTCATGCCTCCTGCTCAAGCTAGAAACTGTACAACCTGTAGAGTTGCTCTACTTCAAGATTTCAATTTTCGAAAATGTGATTTATGTCGAGTAAATAGATCAAAGAAATGAAAAACAAACATTTAATCGAACCTTTTTTTATTTTTTTTTTATTTTTTTTTTTGTTCCAGGAACGTGCCCGAAACTACGCCAGACAAAGAGCTGCATTGGGACCACCTAGAGCACCAAGAACGCCTAGAGCACCAAGACCACCGAGAGCACCTGCCGCTTTCATAACAGAGCTGAGAAGAATGCAACCTCATTATCTGGGAAGAATGGACATTGTATGTGATGGTTGTGGTGCATTGCATTGGGACGCAGAAAGAACTGCTGGTCAGACCAGAAGCAATAATCTCTTCTACTCATGCTGTAAAAAAGGAAAAGCCATATTGCCCTTATTGCAAGATCCGCCTGAGTCCTTGAATAGTTTATTCAACGGAAGCCACCCACGCTCATCTCATCTCTTGAAGCATATAAGGCAATACAATAATTTGTTTGCTTTTACTTCATTCGGTACCACTGCTACGCCAGCAGGGGCCCAGAGAGAAGGAGAGGAGGAGAGGAGAGGTGGGATTACTACAGTAGGTGCCCATGGTGAATTGTATCACATGCAAGCACCCTTGAATTTTGGTAATGCTCCAAAGTACAATCAGCTGTACATTTACGATCCCGAGTATACCGCTGCATGTCGATCTGCCAACCCAAGAAATCAGCATTTAGATGATTCTACCATTGAAGCATTAAGTGAAATAATTGATGATGCGATTCGTTGTGGTAACCCATTTGTACGTATCTACAAGCATGCCCACGAGATTCTGGGTGCAGAGGAAGAACGACAAGCCCAAGATCATGTCAGCGAGGATGCATACATTCGACTCAACCCTCAAATGAGACTTGAATTGATTGTCGGTGAAGATAGGCGTACTCAGAACCTGCCAACCGTCAACGAGATTGCAGCTGTCATCCCCAATGAATATGCTGATTCAAGTTTCAGAGACATCCTGGTTATCTATCGAAATAGCTCCTTCACCAGTTCCAGAGGACACTTTAGAAGGATCAACGAGACACATGCTGCCTACATGCCTCTCCATTACGTTTTGCTTTTTCCCAGAGGTGAATATGGGTGGCATTGGGGCCTTCGTTTGCAATTGTCTGCTTCAACTGTTGATGCCATGGATGTTGATAATGAAGAAGTGCAAGAAGGACAGCAACAAGCAGCAAAAAGGCTCCCTCAGCGAGTGTTTTACAGATTTAGACTGCATGTCAGAGCTGATGAATTAAAGATATTGTTCTTATCAAGACGTCTCTTCCAGCAGTATGTGATCGATGCTTGGGCTGTCTGTGAGCAAACAAAATTGGACTGGATCAAGTCTAACCAGGCAAACCTTCGTGCGGATGTCTACAAAGGTCTTGCTGATGCTACCAGTGCTGCTGATGCAGATCTTGAAATGGTTGGAAGATCATTCGTCTTGCCAAGTAGCTTTACTGGAGGGCCTCGCTTTATGATGCAACTGTACCAAAATGCAATGGCTATCTCTTGATTCTTTGGTAAGCCAACGTTGTTCATAACATTCACTGCAAACCCGAACTGGAGGGAAATCCAAGACGAGCTGTTGCCTGGCCAAACCGCTGCTGACCGCCCTGACTTGGTTGCTCGAATGCTTAATCTGAAGCATGACGCACTGCTCAAAGATCTGAAGCAGGAGAAGATTTTTGGTACTTATAGAGGGATTGCGAGAACAATAGAATACCAGAAGCGAGGTCTTCCGCATGGCCATATGCTGTTGTTTTTGGACAATGAAAATGATCGGTTTGATACGGCAGAGAAAATAGATCAGATCATTTGTGCTGAAATTCCCAACGTCGATCAAGAGCCCGAATTGCATGCAATTGTCACCCGAAATATGATGCATGGCCCATGTGGCGAAATCAACAAGGAATCACCCTGCATGGTGAAGGATGCTTTTGGTAACGATGTGTGCTCCAAAAAGGTGGGAAGCAAGAAGAACCGATACCATGTCTATCGGCCGCATGTACTACTGTAGCCCTGCTGCCGACGAGAGGTATTATCTGCGTCTGCTGCTCACAGTTGTCAGAGGAGCTACGTCGTTTTCTCATCTGAGAACTGTCAATAATCACGAGTATGCCACCTTTCGCGAGGCCTGTATGGTGCTGCATTTGGTCGAAGATGATGGAGAATGGACCAGAGCCTTTGAAGAAGCTGCTACATTTGCCTCTGGCTACGCAATGCGTTCAATGTTTGTCTCTGCGCTCATGTTCAACTCATTGGTATCGCCTGTTCAGATTTGGAATCAATTCTGTGAAAGTTTCTGTGATGACCTTGAGCATGCAATCGTGCAAAAAGGGTATTCGCTGCTGCTCAGCGTGCAACCTGACGCTGAATTTTACCATGGAACGCGAAGTCTTGATTACGGCTTATATCTGTTGCAAACATCTCTTGGTGCACAAGACAGATCTCTAGGTCAGTTCAATTTGCCTTTGCCTCTCTTCAACTGGAATGGCTTGATAAGCAGAATGACTGGCATACAACGCAATTCATTGATACTCAATGAAATGTCATATCTCCAAGATCAAGAAGCCTTTTCGTACCAGCAAAAGTACGCTCAAATGAACGCTACCCAGAAGCACGTATTTGATACCATCACCTCCTCCATCAACAGCAACATCAACAGCTCACATTTCTTTTTGCAAGGTCCAGCTGGCACTGGCAAAACCTTCATTTACAATACTCTTTGTCACTTTTATAGAAGCCAAGGAAAAATTGTTCTCTGTGTTGCCTCCTCTGGCATTGCTGCTTTGCTACTTCCTGGTGGGCGTACGTCGCACTCTCGCTTTGCCATTCCACTCAACATCCACGAGCAGTCTGTGTGTGCAATCAAGAAAAACGATGATCTTGCTGATCTCATTCGAGAGACAACATTGATAATTTGGGATGAAGTGCCCATGCAGCATCGTTATTGCTTTGAAGCTTTTGATCGAACACTTCGTGATATTTGTAGTCGTGGTGATGAAGTTACCTTTGGTGGTATTTCTGTCGTTCTTGGCGGTGATTTTGCTCAGATTCCTCCTGTCGTGAAACAAGGTGGCCGTCCTGAAATCGTTGCTGCTTCGTTGATGTCGCCAAGGTTGTGGCCCAGACTACAAAAGCTGAGACTGACTGAGAATAGGAGACTTGCCAACTCGAATGATACCGATAGGCAATTTGCAGACCGGATTGGCAGAATGTCTTACGAATCAGCCATGATCGGCAACATTGCTTTGCCCTCTTTTTTGAGGCAGATGACTGATCTTGATCAGTTCATTGAAGATATCTATCCTCAGCATGTTCTGCAGCGTCCTCTGCAAAATAATGATTTCTTTAAGGAAAGAGCTATTCTCTGCTCAAAAAATGTCAATGTCGATGCTAACAATTGCAAGGTGATGGAGAACGTGATTGGTGAAAAGCCCACTTTGTACTCTGTTGACACAGTGCAATCTGATCTGACCAACACTGAGACCCAAGCCTATCCCTCAGAGTATTTGCAAACCCTTTCGCCTTCAGGGCTGCCGCCAGCAGTTTTGGAGTTGAAAGTAGGTCTTCCTGTCATGCTCTTGAGAAACCTCAACCCTGAAAGAGGTTTGTGCAATGGTACAAGACTGATCATACAGCAAATTGGACAGTATGTCATCAAGGTGAAAATCCTTGGAGGATCAGATACAATCGAGTTGATTCCTCGCTTTACATTATCAACATTGCCTGATACATTACCATTTATTTTGACTAGGAAACAATTCCCTGTAAAAGTATCTTTTGCAATGACAATCAACAAATCTAAAGGGCAATCTTTTAGAAAAGTCGCGGTGGACCTCAGGAGTCCCGTATTTACTCATGGCCAACTCTATGTTGTCATGTCAAGAGCAACATCTGCCAATGTCATGACTATATTGTTGCCCGAAAATATGAAACACACAGAAAATGTGGTGTATCCTGAAGTTCTATTTTCAGATACTACTTAATATAACTACTCTTTTTTTTTACCCTTTATAACATTGATTTAACCAGCTTTATTGTATTCGGCCAAAGCCCGCAGGGCGACGCCGACATCGAGCGTAGCGAGATAGATCGGCTAGTCTAATATATATACTGTAAAACATTCAAAAAAAGTAGAAAAACAAATCATATCCTTTCAAAAATTTAAAGAATTGTGTGCCGTTCAAGGTGAATACACCCACCGGCAAAGTCGGCAATGGGGAGGGGTTTTGGGGAATAACATAACGTGTCTAATTCAACACTTGATAGCATTGATTTATAGGGGGCTTTACCGTAGCGAAGCAAAGATGCAAAGCCATGGTAATAAGGCGTTTAATCCAACACGGTAACATTGATCTATATGAGGGTTTAATTGCATCTACCAAAGATGTGATTCATGCTGTGCAAGTAAACTCTTTAAAGTAATAACCAAATTTGGCAGCTTTCAAGCCTTCATATCTTGACATGTAGACCTTTATGAGCCACCGGAGTGACGCCAAACAATTGTACTTGAGTAGCAGCAACTTCCCGACACATTTGCTCGACTTTTTGGGCCAAAAAAAACATGACCGAAAAACGACCAAAAAGCATGAGGTACCCCTCATGGTTTTCATCGAAAATCAAACGATCGCGTTTTTGACCTCAAAAATGAAGATTTCTACTATGGCATATATTAGATCAAAATGTTTCCCTTGAGCTAAGGCAACCCCTGAAATTACATTTGTACGGCTTTCATATGTAAACTTTTGACATTTCCTTCATAATCGTCATTTCATAGTTTCAAACATTATTCATTAAATTTGTTTAGTATATTAGTTATAATTAGCATCATTAGATGCGCCTCAAAAAGTACTTCAAGAAAGCTTAATGGAGTATGGGGTGAGCGTTTCAATTCATGTAGTCAAACTCTGCAGAATAGATTAATCAAGCCGATTTTGAACAAAATCTGTCCAATCTCAAACGAGGCAGGTTTGTCGTAGATTCAATCAGGTTTAGTGTCTGGTCAGAATGCCTTCCTCATCAAGGCAGACGATGTTTCTGAAGCTCATGAAAAGAGAATTGCGAATCGAGAAATACTGCGGCTTGATATGAGCACTTTATATAGCTCTGAAAGATTTGTTTATTCTTGACTGTTTTGTTTATCGTAAAATGCCTATCTTAATCCGAAATGCAAACCTGCCATGCATGAATCTGCCTTTCTGGATGGTTACGTCAAAAGTCATCGAAATCTTGTCAATTAAAGGTAAGAAAAACAAGCATTCGAATGTTAGGCACAGTACAGAGAAAAAGATGCTTAGGGACGCTACTTGACATAAATTATTTGGATGATTCGTCATGAAAAATACGACCAAAGTCAATCTCTCAGACTGGCAGGGCCGCATTGTATCTCATGCAAAAACTTGATCTGCCGTTTTCAACCTAAAGAGCTCTCTTTTGCGTTTAAATTAGTGTAGTAGAGATGTTTTAAATTTATTATGAGTCTAGCATAAGGGCTATTTTAGTATTCAATGCCATGATTCATTGCGAGGGTTCGTATCAAACACGGCAGAACTCAGGTATCAATGTCCGGTGTAGAGTTGAGACAATTTCCAGCTCAAACTACTTCTTTAAAAAAAACAGAGCCTTTTTTTTTTTGTGGTCCATTCATATAAAATGCATCCCATTTGAATCAGCTGTACGTGCGTTCCAGATTGCCATATTTGTTGTATTACAAACTGGCGTTTGCATATCCATAGGTTTGCCTCGGACAGTGCATTCCAGAAGCACGCTCCCTTATTTTTGTAGCTCTCAAAATGCCAACGATCACTTCTTGTCGTTATACAATATAGTTGCTGCTATACAATCCATATTTCACACTTATTTGAAGCTTTCGTAAGCATTATTTTCTTGTTCAGCTTGGGTCTGCTGTTGTACAAGCATTGGCTAACTCGTATTTAGATTATTGAACTAAAACAACATGTGATTGTACATGATGGATGAGGAATATATCATGTCATCTCTATACAACAGCCAGTGATATTCATGTATCCATGACGATGTAAAGTGAGAGAATAAAAAGATGTCAGGAGAACCTTTTAGGTGTCCCAAATGGAAAAGGTTTGATCCGTAATTTAATGTCTCAGCTCTAAAGTTTTATAGATTTGTTGACTCATTTTGTTAGAGTTATAATAGATACAAATAGCAAGCAGGGCATCCGGAAGGGGAAAGGAAAGACCCCGTGGAACTGTTAACAGATTCAGCTCAGACAGGTCAAATGAAAACCATCCTATTATACACACAAACCGTGGAGGGGTATTTTACTATTTTCTTGGATATCTACTTGCTAGTGTAACAGGCTTCTCAATGTTCTGCTGCTGCTAAAGATGCTGATGCGTTCATTGTAGCATCAAGATAAGATGGATCTAGCAAGCCAATAATGAGATGCAACCTGGTTGCAATCTTATCATTACATCTCCCTGTTTCCACACACAAACACACACACACACATGTAAACCTTACATTATACAAATTACATGTTGAGGGTGATTGTCATACCATTTCGCCGATTTAACGCTAATTATCATATGCCATTGGTTTAATTTTTTCTCTTATCAAAAGAGATAATAAAAATTCGCTATCTATATCCAAACTTTCCGGAGATGGCCTTAACTTGTTTGGGTATAAATAGTGATCTACTCTTTTGAGATCTCTCTCTTTTTCTCCTCTTTATTCCTCTTTTATTCTTACTAGATAATTCTCTCATACACAATCTTGCAACATGGAAAAATCATCCTATGTAGTATTTTCAGGCGGATCAGCTTGTAACCATATTCTAGATGGATTCCACAAGACAAGTTCACATGATGTCAGTTACATACTTGGTATCTCTGACAATGGTGGATCCACTGTAAGATGATTGTGCTGCCTAACTGTTTGTTGATTGCTTCTAAACATTCTCCATCATCCATAGAGCGAGCTCTTGCGAGTGCTGGGAGGCCCTAGTGTTGGTGATTTGCGGTCCAGATTGATTCGCTTGATGGACACATTGGACGAAAACACAGCTTCAATTGAAATGAAGGCCGTCAAAGATCTCCTGAGCTACCGACTGCCTGCCGATAAAGATCTACAAAAAGTGCGTGATGAATGGGCGTTGATTGTAGAAGGCAGACACAGGTACATTTTATGACCCTTCTGCAATGAACGGATGTCTAATACCTATATCTAGCCTCTGGAATGACATTTCTATCGAAAAGAAGGAAGCTATTCGAGGTTTTTTGACACTGTTTGACTTTGAGATCTTGAAGAGAGCACACAAACGATTCAACTTTTGCAACGGCAGTGTTGGCAATTTCTTCCTGACAGGTGCTCGGCTCTTCACTGGCTCTTTGGAAGCAGCCATCTTCTTATTTGCGTCCATGACCGGTATTACATCAGTGCCAACGTCAGTTGTTCCAGTCATCAATACAAACCAAACCGCTACCATCGCTGCATCCTTGGCAAACGGAGAGACGCTGGTTGGCCAATGCGAAATATCACATCCCTCGCCCTTTCAGCAAAAGAGAAAGAACGGTGCATGTACACCTCGAAAGAAGCGCATGAATCCCATCGATGCATTCTCTTACTTTGAAGATCACATTAATATTACCTCAGAGCCCAAAGGCATGGACAATGCAAACCTCTTCTTTTCAAAACACATTGATGAAAAGCTCACCTCGCCTATTGATCGCATCTACTATATCAATGAATACGGCCAAGAGATCTACCCAGTTCCCAACCCCAAAGTCGTGAGTCAGTTGTCGTCGAAAAAGGCCTTGGTGTATTCCATTGGTTCCTTGTACACTTCTCTCATCCCATGTCTTGTCCTTCGCGGTGTTGGAAACGCCATTGTTCAATCACAAAGTCTCAGGCACAAAATCCTCCTCTTGAACGGCACAAATGATCGTGAAACCAGTGATTATACAGCCATCGACTTTATCAATGCAATCGCATCCGCTTTGAATGAAAGCCAACGTATTGATGCACGCCGTGCATTTTATCAGTCCTGTGATGATGAGGAAGAAGAATACGATGACGATATGGATGATGATCTGTATGCCACCAACAGTCGAACTAGCAGCATTGCAAGCACTGTGATACAAACACCACCATCCTCGTATTCACTTCATAACCAACTCAGTTCCATGGCAATTGGAAGTATGCCTGCATCTCCGTCTCATCGATATCCTCCTTTCCCTATCAACTCCTTTTACCCTAGCCCTGTGTCTTCATTCATCACTCATATGGTCTATCTCGACAACAGTGCCATCCCAGTGGACACGGCTGCTATTGAACGACTTGGCATCAAATGTGTGCGAATGAAAGGTGCTCTCAATAGCTCCGGAGAGCCCATCTACAACGAAGAGTTGTTCACTCAAGTCATTGAATCCATTGTACATATCTAAAATCAATTATTCCCTCGCTTCATCCTGTACATTAATTTCATCTTTCCTCCTTAAGCAAAAAGTTTCTGCTCTCTTATATCCAACATCAATTTTCATCCAATAAATTATATTCTTCATTTGATAGCCCTTACACATGAAACGTGCTGAATGATGTCCCCTGTTCTGTGTTTCTAGATGATCGGCAGGCATGTGTATTTGTGTAAGCAAATAGAGATAGATGTACCTGAAAAAAGAGGCTTTGTAATCCATCCCAAAACCAACATTGCGGTGACAGGTTTTCCTATGTTGATTCCAAAAGCTAATGCCAATCCACTTTTTTTCTTTTTCATTTATTCAACAAGACCACTACTATCAACATGGCCAAAGAACGTTCAGCTATCAGCAAAAGCATGGGCAAAAAGCGGGTATCTGGCACTCATGTATCGGGCCTCTCTTCATCAAAGACTGCCACAAAAAGAAAGGAAGCACCTGTCAAATACGGAAAGCTATCCAGAAAGCAAAAGCAAGATTTAGAGGATTACGGAGAGCTCGTCCCTAAAGACTTTGAGGAGGACGAAGCAGACAACACAAAGTAAGAAGCACAACCTCAAGTATGGCTAGACACTCCATATGCTCACCACATTCCTTAGACGCAGACGAGTTATATCTGAGGCTGATTTGGATCGAGAATTGGATGAAGAAAGACGCAGAGCCGAAGGTCAATTTGAGGATTCAGAGGAGGAAGATGATTTCGATAGTGAGGAAGAAGAAGAGGAGGACTGGAAGAAGCCGTCTGCCTACTCCCTGTTGATGGGATCATTGAAGAAGAACTCCAAGCAAAAGGATTTCTATAAGAAGATTCAGCGTGAGCAAGAAGGGATTGAGGATGTCATTGAAAGTGCAGATGAGGAACTTGTGGATGAGGAAGAGATCGACGAGGAAGCCGAACAAGAAATGGACGACATGAGTGAAGGCGAGCAAGATGACGACCAAGAAGAGGAAGATGTGGAGGATGCTGAACCAGTGGACGGTGATGCGCCTGATTCCCTCGAGGAAGACGACGAGGAAGAAGAGGAGATTGTCTATGTAGGCAGTGATGCTGAAGAGGATGATGCGTCAGGTAGTGCCCAGTAGACATGGCTACACCCTATTAGACATACTCACATCATTAAACTAGATGATCTTTTCGAGCGAAGGTTTGCCGATCAACAACCTGCTAGTTTTGACGAAAAAATCTCCACCATTGAGCAAAAGAAATGGGTATCACAAACATTTGAGGATGAAGTTTTGAAGGACGTAACTGCATTGACTACCATTGCTGATAACACTGTCAAAGAGATGCCCAAGATTGAAAGTTTGGAGGATGTCCATGTGAAGCAGCGTATTGCTAAATGCTGGCCAACGGCAAACAAGCAAGTCATCAAAAAAAGTAAGCCAACGACACAAGCAACAGCAGTGATTGATATTAACTCACTTTGATTTGCAGCTGTTACATTTACGCCTCTGCAAGATCACCTCTTCAATCAAATGAACAACTACCGCGATATAGTGTTCTGTAACCGTAGTTTGAGTAATGCTAAGGAAATCAGAAATGCCTACGCTCTTCATGCATTGAATCACATTACCAAGTAAGTACTGTCTTTTTGCCTTGAGCTTCACTGTTTAACCCCAACTCTCAATAGGACAAGAGACCGTGTTCTCAAGAATAATGCTAAATTGAGTAAAGCACAAAAGGAGGGCACAGATGTTGGGTAAGTCAAAGTCATCAATTTGACCAACACATGGATTGTTGACAGATTTCATAGCGAGATGCGTGACCAAGGCTTCACTCGTCCCAAGGTGCTGATTATCCTGCCCTTCAGAAACACAGTAGTCGATCTTGTGGATACATTCATCAAACTATCTGGAACAGAGCAACATGAGAATAAGAACAGATTCTTTGAGCAGTTCAATTTGCGTGAAGAAGAAGCCATTGACACAAGCAAGCCTGCCGACTACTTGCAAAATTTCCAGGGCAATATTGACGATCATTTCCGGTTGGGCATCAAGTTTGCAAAGAAATCAATGAAAATTTACTCTGATTTTTACAATGCGGATGTTATCATTGCATCGCCTTTGGGTTTGCGTACCTTGATAGGTTCTGAAGGGTAAGTTGAGCTGCCGAAGTTGTCGTTTATGCTGTTATTAAAGAAATGCTTAGTGACAAGAAGAGAGATTTCGACTTTTTGTCGTCTATTGAATTGGTCATTTTGGATCAAACCAACCATTTCTTAATGCAAAACTGGGAGCACATTGATCATATCTTTCAGCATCTCAATCTGATCCCTACTGATGGGCATGGCTGTGATATTTCTAGAATCAAGAGTTGGTATTTGGACGGAAAGTGAGTAAAAATATCAGTTTAAAAGACTGTGTACTAAACGTCGATTATTAGAGCCAAATATCTTCGTCAGACCCTTGTGTTTGCTGATTTCTTGACGCCTGAATTCAATGCACTGTTTAACAAATACATGAAAAATGTGGCAGGAAAGCTGAAAATCAAGCGCACTTATGAAGAAGGATCAATTTTAGATGTCATTCCTCAAGTGCAACAGGTAAGAAGGGCATTGCTGAATTGCTGGGCATGTGTATTCATGATTGTCACTATAGAGCTTTACTCGCATTGATGCCCCCTCTTTGAAAACCATCAATGATGTGCGATACAAGTACTTTATTGAAAAGGTAAATGTTTGACATTTTACATGAAAGCCGCTGTTCTAATGCAATTACTGTAGACACTACCAACGCTTCGTAAATCAGCCATCATGCAATCACATACCCTCATCTTTATCCCGTCTTATTTCGACTTTGTGAGAGTGAGAAACTACTTTGAAGACAACAAATATTCTTACGAGCCATGTTCAGAGTAAGTTTGACTGGGAGTTGTTGTCAACATGAAACCAACATCGTCATTAGATACGCCTCAGGCCCTGCCATCACTCGATCAAGAGCACAATTCTTCCATGGTAGATCCAATTTCTTGTTGTATACCGAAAGATTGCATTTCTTTAGAAGGTAAGACGTTGGTAGTTGTTTGGTAGGTGTGACAAATGTACTCATCTTACTCTTAGATACAATATTCGTGGTACTTTCCATGTTGTCTTTTACGGGCTTCCAGAAGACCCTTTGTATTATACTGAAATTGTCAACTTTTTGGGCCTCAAATTTGATGAAGCGAGTGCTGCAGAGGAGGCAACTTTCTCTTGCACAGCCTTGTTCTCAAAGTACGACTTTTTGAAACTGGAACGTATTGTTGGTACTGAGAGAGCAAAAAAGATGTGCACTGCTCAAAAGAATGTGTTTATGTTTGCATAAATTGAATAAAATCTATGAACAAAAGGAGATAATACAGAATGGCCCTCTTGCTTATGCTGTTTTTAACACGATAAAATGAATGGCAATGTTGCAAGGTAGTTTTATTGATATGTATACATGATGTGCTTTGTGTGAGTAAGAAAAAAAAAAGACAGACGAGTGCTTATCCCCAAACATCAGCCAAATAAGACTTGTTGCTGTCCATTTGCTTGAGGTAATCTTCAGCTTCTTGGTCGTTTTTAGCCACGCCGAAGCTCTTTGCCATGACTTGGAATGTAGAACGAACATCGTTGCTCATGGAGCCACTGCCGCACACATAAACGGCAGCATTTTGATTTGACATCAAAGACCAGACTTCACCAGCATGAGCAAGCAATGCATGTTGCACATATTTTTGAGCAGAGGGAGGGTTTGTGCGAGAGAAGGCGACATGATGGTACACAATAACGCCAGACTTGACATATTCCTCCATTTCATCGCTGTAGATATGATCTTGTTCGGGATGACGACAACCAAAGTAGAGCACACAAGGCCCAACCTTTTGGCCATTCTTCTTTTGATAGGAACGTTCTTGAAGGAAACCACGGAATGGAGATAAGCCTGTACCAGCAGCAATCATGATTAATGGTGTCTCGGGGTTTTCAGGCATACTGAACGTGCTCTTGGAGGATTTGAGGGTAGCATGCAATTGGCCTTGATCCAAACGCTGCAAGAAGGAAGAGGCAAGACCTGGATAGTGACGACCGTGAGCTACATCATCGACGACACCCACAGAGATGTGAGCGCAAGTAGGATGGACAAAGGGAGAAGAGGCAATGGAGTAGCGTCTGGGTTGCATGACACTGACGGCAGCCAAGAATTGGCCCAAGTCAATGCGATTCACTTGAGGGAAAGCCTTTTGCAAGTCAAGAAGGGTTCTGTGTTTTTTGATGAATTCAGGATATTGGTCATTATTGTTTTCATCAGGCATAGTGAGTTTGTCAAAGAGCTCAGCTGTTTCAGGAGCGGCAACCTTCAATTGCCCAGCAAAGTAGCTCAACATGCGGCGAGAGGGGGGCGACAAGATATCGGCATAGTAAATCAACGCATTGCGAACAGTGCAGGGGCCTTGAATTACCTTTGCCATGGAACGTGGAGAGACGCCCTCAGTAGAGGCAGGATCCACCTCAAACACTGAATCAAGGATTAAACCGAAGCCCAGAGCGATACTTTCAGCATCTTGAGCACTGTTCTCAGGCATAATTTCAATGTGATCACCTGCTTGGTAAAGACGACCTTCTTCGCCAATAGGACTTAATTGAGAAATGTCAATTTCAATATGGCGAGTACTGCGGCCAGAGCCTTCGGATTGAAGTTCACGATTGGCAAGCACTTGAGCGTTGGCTTGGCCATTTCTGTTTTCTTTGGCAAGTGCCCATTTGGCAGTGTCAGATGGAGAAATAAATTGGACATTGACAGCATTCTTGGATAAGTCTTCAGAAGATAAAGTGGCAGTAGGGACAACCGATTTACTGGCAGAGGCAGCTACACCAAACTTGGCAAGCGTGTTGGTCCAGAAATGAGCGCACCAGTTACTGAAATCAGCGTCAATGTCCTTGTCAGCATTACCGACACCAGGGGAGAAGGCTCTCTCAGCACCGAGTTCGTTCAAGACTTGGTCGACCTTCAAGGGGAAAGCCTGGTACGTTCTCCAGTTTTTGTTACCAAGACCAAACACAGCATAGTTGACACCAGCAAAAGCGTTTTCATTGCCTTGTTCCATTTGAGCGTCCAAGTACTTGTTGAAGGCCTCGGCAGAATCAGGAGGGAAACCATTGTAAGTAGCAGTGCAGACCACAACTAGCTCGTCTTTGTCCTTTTTTTCATAGGATCCCTTGACAATAGGCTCCCATTGATCCATGGCACAGAGAGTGATATCCTTGAACCCAAATCGCTTGGCCTGAGAGGCGAGTTGATTGGCATAATCTTGAGCAGTACCTGTTTGTGTGCCAAACAGGAATGTAGCCTTGGGCAACTCCACGGTACCTACACCACTGATACCATCATGCAAACTAGCCATAGTAGCATCAGAAGCGCCAGTGGTACTCTCGTTCTTTGTTTCGACAATATTTTCACATGGTTCAGGGAAGTCAGTACGGGGATGAATGGTCATCATCATGTCCAAAGGCTTTGTGGTCACTTGCTTGGGATCGTACTGGACAGCAGGGCCATCTAAATGGACAAGTAAGTAAGTATGTATGTCGTATGACAATATAATGCGTCTATTACCATAGCAAAACTTGAATCGATGCAGGAACATACTGAGAACAGTCTTGGCTTCTTGCAAGGCGAATGCCATGCCTAATCAAAGATGTGAATACAGAATTTTAGCATACGACCATGGGATAACTTACCAATACAAGCACGCGGACCAGTAGAGAAGGGCAACCAGCCATAGCGAGATCTCTTTTGTTCTTCTTCGGGAGAGAATCTCTCGGGATCAAATCGTTCAGGATCAGGGTAGACGTCAGGGTTCAAATGCAAGTTGGTGACAGATACAACACAGGCATTTCCAGCCTTGACGAGATAGCCACCAGGCACAACACAATCCTTTTGACAGTATTTGGCAATGGTTCTCAAGGGTGAATGAAGACGAAGCACCTCCTTCAAGACCTTGCTGAGATATTTCAAGCTGCTGATTTGCTCGACAGTAGGTAACTTGTCGGAAGTGATGCCAGCATTGGCAATTTCTTGAAGCACCTTGGTTTCCACCTCTGGATTTCTAGTAAATTCATACAGAGTCCAAGCCAGCGTGTTGGCAGTGGTGTCATGGCCGGCGATCAAGAAAGTAACAACCTGATCACGAATGTTCTCGTCAGTCAAACCTTCGCCGTGTTCGTCTCTGGCGTTCAACATGAATCCAAGCAAGTCCTTCTCCATGTTCTTGGCATCTGGGCTGTTCTTGCGTTCACGGATCACATCGTCGACAATGGACTTCATGAGGTTGTTGCCACGCTCCCAAGTCCTGTTACTTTCCAGAGGAAGCTGCTTCATGAAAGTAGGTCTGGCAAAACGATTGAGACTGTTGCTGAGAGCATAGCTCATAGCGTCGATGAATACATGCGAGGGCTTGCTGCGATCCATCAAGTTAAACGTGTAGCCGAAACCAATTCTGCCAATTGTCTCAAAGGTCAAGTTGGTGCACCAATGCAGCATTTCCACCTCTTCATCCGGTTTGTATTCCGCAAGCACTTTCATGGTTTCTTGCGCAATGATGCCCATTTCGGGTTGATAGGCCTGTTAATCGGTCAGTTCAACAAACAAACCTGTGTGAGCAAGAGGTTGCATTACCTTAATGGCACGAGGACTGAATGCAGGCATAAGCAGTTTATGCGCCAGTTTCCATTCTTCGTCAGATGTGTTGGTGGTGAAAAGGCCTGCGTGCACAATGTTTGTTAGATAGGGTGCATACGAGATGCCATTTACACTCACCATTCCCACCGAGATCTTTGATTTCCTTGAGTGTGTTACCAATTTTCTTTGTGAAATACTCAGACTCCTTGACGAACAATTCTGCAATGTCTGGATCGTTTGTGCCAACCATCTCTGTACCAAGAATGCTGACAATAGCAATATTTCCATATGCCTTGAATTGAGCTGCCCAGCCAGCAGTTCTGTCTAAATGTTAGCGTCACAGTTGCACTCCTGTTCTCTGAAGCTACTCACAAATCAGGCAGCATGTCGTATAGATTACCGACCATTGGTAATCTGCGTGGTCCTGGCACTTGTTTGATTTGCTCCTTGTAGCTGACATACACCACTTGTTGCAATTTAACTTTTTCAATTTCTGTTAAAATCACTCCGCTTGATGTCTCCAAGTTGATTTCATCCAAAGGCACAGCAAGACCCAGCTTTTCAGCTGCTAAACCTCGCACAGTGTTGGTATTTGCGCCATTGCCAATACGAATGATATGGCCATCCAATTCGACATTTGTACTACCCTTGAGAGCAACGATCAATGATACAGACATTTAATGTGTGTGTATGTGTAGAGGAAGTAGTTATATAGAAACAGTGGAAAAGGAAAAAGAGAAAAAAAGGAAAACTCAAAGACACTTATTTATATCAAAACCTACTAGGCCTTTTCTTGATCTCAAGGTTACCTCCAGAGTATCACACTGTTTGATGGAAACAGATTTTCCGCTGGAATTACATGCTTGGATCCCGACACGAGCATTTTTATATATTTGATTGGGCCTTGTGCTACGTCCACTGAAATGTTCGCTCAAGGATCAACATTTAAGGCCGTTTACATAATCCAAAATCTATGATAGGCTCTCATATCAAATTATTCATGGCATATATCAAGTAAATAAACAGTGGCTCGGCTGATCCCTACGCTAAGAATGATGAATTATTCTGTACATTGCTTGTCATGCTGTTGTACAAGAAGAATAAACTTTTGCAAGGTCTACATGCAATATGAATGGCCGCTGCAAAAGACAATGTCTAGAGCTCCATTCTAGAAGGTCATACAAATCTACGTGCCTGGAAGGAGCACAAAATCAAGTCCAGAGACGAAAGCGAATGCTTTATCAGCAGCAGTAGCACTTTGATCCTGTTACAGCCTCTATTATATAATTTGACGTTGAACAAAAGGCGTAATGAACACGGACATCCAAGCTAAAGATGAGGTTGTCCTATTTCCGCCCTCTGTGATGCTTGTGCGACCAAGCACTGACTGGATGGAAGTTTCATTGCTTGACATGAAAAATTCTATCAGTGGTAATAGTGTGTATACAAAATATCGCCGTGTATTCCATTTGCGCCTGTTTAATATACCCTCCTCTACTTCAATTTAGCCAATTGCCAAATGTTCTTGACCCTTATTTTGTGCTCGAAAATACTCGAGTGTTAGGATAGGCACTAAATTCGGTTATTTCTATTAGCATCAACTAGGATACCAGATGATCCTGATTCGTATTTTTCTCACAACCAGCTTGAATATAGGCTTACATCAACCAAAATACAAAAAATTCCCGCACAGAGACTCTATTTATTCTGTCATTTTTGGCACCTGAATATCTCTCTGCTCTGAAACGGCTTCTTCTTTCGATCACTATATATTAGATTTCTCTCGGCGCTACCTCAAGGTAACATTTATACAAAAGATTGATGCTCATGATGAAGCATTTGACCTTTGCTTATAGCAACTTATATCTCCATGTAAACATATGATGCAATATACTTGGCAATGTCATGCATTTGACAGAGCCTGCGCACATTTAACCGAGCCTGCGCACATTTGACAGAGCTACAAGGGCTCATGATTTAGCATCTATATATACACACCGAGTAGATGTTACATGGGTGCACTTGCAATTATTGCCAACATTGAAAATGCAATCAATATAGAACACAGTAACACCATCTCGACTTGTTCTGTGTCTACGCAGTGTCACTCGAATTCATAAAGACTTGATCTTAATGTGGATTTCATGGAGTGCTTAACTTATACTAAGGCAAATAATGGTATGAAGGTCCTATATCAAATACGCACTTTCATGAAGCTGTATTATATATCAATCTAACATACAGGTGATCATCGCTATTTTCCTTATGAGCGGTTTTTTCAAGAGTGTTACCCGAATGAATTAAGATTTGACTCTTAAAACTGTTGACATGCAGACTCGGATTGAACACCGAGATAATGTGTTGGCATATAACCAGCCTTAATAATGATAGAAAGATAAAGGATTGTACATTGTGCGGCTTTCATTTCCTTGGCTCCTTTAGATTGATGATCAACTTGTAATTTATCCGACGCGATTAATTCTTAGCGTTACAAAAGACACACAGGTTGTGGAGCATAGTAACATTGCCGCCTTTGTGGACGCGTTGTGTTCTGCTATGGAACACGTGGTAAATGAACCGTTTGGTCAGTTTGTGTGCACATCGATTCAGAAGACAATAAGCTACGATACGTTTTCGAAGCATGCAGATTTTCAGGATAATCGTTTGAGCTGTGAATTTCATAAGACGCATGAAACCATTGTGAGTACAATATATATACGTATTCCCATCTATCTAGCCCACCTAAAAAAAAGAATTTGATAAAATTTCACATTAAACCTTGATGAATGGCTTGTAACTGGGGCTCTGACTCTTTTCGGATACTCCACATCTGTAATAATGAAAAAGTATATGTACGGGCAGACGGTACATTTGCAATCCCTCAAACTACTCGGCAGTAGGCAAAACACAGCATAATTTGAATGCATTTGAACCGTGTTTTCTTATTTTAGAAGCCCTTTTGGACCTCCAGAATATTACCAAACGATTGCTCTCATCTAGCACTTACTTCCTGACACCTTTGCTCAACTTTTTGAGGACCAAAAAAATATGGTCAAAATTCGACCAAAAAGCATAAAGTACCCCTCATGGTTTTCATCGAAAATCAAACTATCGCGTTTTTGACCTCGAAAATGAAGACTTCTACTATGACATATGTTAAATCAAAATGTTTGTCTCGATCCAAAGCAGCCCCTGAAACTTTGTTTGTGAAACTTTTGTATACAAAATCTCGACATTTCGGACAAAACCTTCATATGATATTCTCTAACTTTGCTCAACAATGGCGCTTAAAGCATTTCTTTTAGCTGACACCATTAGAGACGCCCTAAAAAGTGCTCCAAGGGAGCTTAAAGGTGTATGGAATTATCAGTTCAGTTTATATAGTCGAATCTCGCAAAAAAGGTGAATTGAGTCGTTTTGAACAAGATTTGGCCAATCTTGGACGAACAGAGCGAAAACTTGAATCTTGCGAGTATAATAGTAAATGACAAATGAGTAAAGCAGTCTCTTGAAAAGCCAGATTGAGCACATTACCTTGAAGACTCAAGCGTCCGCTAATGCAGCACCGCTGCCGTCCCTTTTCTCGTTTCTGTTGCAGAAAGAGGTGGTCTTGGAAATAATGCCAGTGTTGGATTGACTGGGTTTTGGATTGAATACAGGCAATGGCTGCTTGAACAAGAGAATAGAAAGCCCAGAGACAGCGATGCCCAAAGCAGATGTCTTGTCTCTACCTTGAATGGCTCTGTGATTGAGAACGGACACGCAGGCAGGATTTAAGCACAGGAATGCACCATGAATAGACCTCCCCTTGGTCTTACCATCCTTTGCTCTGATGGTTTGTGTGGGATGAGAGGTGGGACCAAAGCAGTACATGCACGTCTGGGATGTCTTGTATTCGTTGGTAGTATGCACAGTGGCGATAGATGAATGTAAGCGAGGCTTCCATTTTCCACCATACTTCAAATGACCCTTCAAACGAGAGCCGACACAAAGACCACGATCCCCAATGAACATTGTAAGTGACGTTTGGGGACGAACACCAGCACAAAAGAATCTTTCACCCGAAGCGAAACGAAAACGGAAACGCCCGTCAATATGCTCGGCCTTGTTAGAGAGAGTATTCTGCTTCTTTGAGTGATAGAACGCTCGCAATGCTTGGCCATTGTTTCTGTGTGCATCAAGATTTGACTTGACATCCTCTACCTCTTTGGCTCTGAACACACTGGATCTGGGCAATTGCTGCTCAATCTCTTGAACCTTCTTTCCTTCTGTTGTTTTCTTGTCTTTCAAAGTGATCTTTCGCCTCATGGATTGGCCAGAACCAAAGTCGATATCTTCAGCACGCATCCTGTATGACTCTGGCAGAGGCTCAACATAAGTTTCCCAGAAGCATGCACACGCGATTCTCTTCTCCCGTGATATCGGACGTTCCTTCTTGAGCTGTGTATGGGTAATAGACTTTCCAGCTTGCCTCACCAAGAGATTTCTCAGAGTAGTTTTGAGAATCATAATTCGTCTTCTAGGCAGATCACGGGTACCTTCCTCTTCTTCTTGGTCGTCTTCCTCGTCTATCAGTTCAGAAAGAGGGAGCAGTTCGTCAATAGGCATATCAGCACTATCAATATCAAAACTAGCATTGGAGGCAGCAACAGCATCAGAAGTGCTAGAGGGATCAGTAGGAGTAGATACAGCTGTAGTAAAAGAACCTGAGCCAGAAGCAGATACAACAGCTTGATCAGATGTAGTACCAGAAGTAGAAACAGCCTTGACAGGGCGCTTGGCATCAGCGTACATGTGAGTTATACGCTCTTGACTATTTCTGGCCCGCTTCGCCCAGTTGTTGTCTTCTGGTTTGTCCTGTGCCTTTCTTTGATATTTTTGAAGTTTGTACTTCTCTGATCGAATGGCGTTGTGAAACGAGTTTCTGATCGACTTGACAACTTGCTTGGGTTGCTTCTTTGCTTTGGTTTGTTGAAGCTCCCAGTAATGCGACTCTCGTTTTGGAGCGAGATGCACGCGAAGAAGAATCTCCAGTAGCTTGTTCAGTGATTTGTTAAATACCTTATTACTTGCCCACATGTTTTCGAGATTTGTTTTGTACAATCCTCGAGTCACCATCATGAGTTCATTAGCAGGTTGAGGCGTATCCCTTACGATAGCACCAAGTATTGGCGCATTGGCGGACGACAGAGCAGCAAATGTAGGATGCGAGATCTTGGTACCTCTTTGGCCAAACAAAGCAGTATGCAGGTAATCAATATGTCTGCTCTGGAGAAGACCCTTGACGCCGTTGCAAAAATCCGTAGACTTCAAGGCATTAGAGGGTAATGGAGGAGCAGAGGTAGTGACATCAGTTTTAATATTGTAGCCTGCTGGGAGAATATCTTGTATTTAGAAACCATGAGCTTTCTTCAGCTGAATATTATCACTACGAGCTACGAACTGCGAGTACTTCATTGAGAGCATCAATGCGTATACCACCAATTGCAAGTCCATAACACAGTCAGATACATCATGCAATGCAGTATTTAGCTTTTGCAAAAATGACTCGACAAGATCGGAAGGCACACCCTTTCGTAAAAGGCTCTTGAAAGACACGGTACAAGTGCGGTATTCTACATTATCTGGGAGGAGCTTCAACCATCGATATATCAGAGGGATTATGCGAGATTGAAGACATTGCTGCACGTGAAGGAGCGCCAGACACAGAAGACATGTCGGATGCCATGTCCATGCCAGAGAGGTCGCGGCGAAGGAACGCTACAGAGTCAAAAGGAGCAATAACCGATGTAGCTAGGATGGATGCACTTTCACCAGTGAATGTAGACGTAGAAGCCTGAAGCTGTAAAAATACCACAATAGCATCGAAATGATCCTTGACGTACTCTTGAAAGTACTGAACGTTTTGCTTAGTAACGTGGTGTTCAAGATGATTTTTCAACTCATCTTTGGCACATTGACAGATCTTTTCAGCAGTAGTAATGACACCTAGGGGGGGAGCCTCTTCACCGAGAATAATGTCTTCTTGAGTGCATCCAATTTACTGGGCTTGTCAATGATGGGCCTTGCTTTGTTTTCGATGATTTTCCTCATTGCTTGAAAAAAACTATCCATCAAACGCTGCGGCGAGACACCGAATGACTTGGGCCTTTTGACAACAGGCAGGTAACTTGATGTGGACGTGGCACTTGTGGATGCTACAGCTTCATATTCTCTTTTTTTCCCTTTAGCAACAACTCTTCTTTGGGGAGGACGACTGGTTTGAGTGCCAGTAAACGGATCTCTTTGCTCTACTTTTGTTTGCGCACTAGACATTTGACACAGAAAAAATAACTAGACAAGAAAAATGTGAGCACTTGTAATGGTACATCGATTGACCAGATCAATACATACTGTAACAAGTATAGCGCTTTATAGATTTGGTTATAAATAAGAGCTGTCAAGACACAAAAATATGACGAGAACTAAGAAATGGTTTTAGATAGTGTTGATACTACGCAAATAAAGAGTGTAAAGGAGCGAGAAAGGATGGAGAGAAGAGAAATACATACTGAGAATGGCTGCAGCTTTTATGAAGGAGTACATCAAGCGGTTTTACAGGCCAGGCATCAATATATCAGATCTAGAACAAGTTTGAGGTGCCTTAAATGATGTTGTCAATAACTGTTTGACAGATAAAGAGATATACCGCCACATATTAGACAGCAGTTATCTTTACATTATTCAAATGTTACTTATCATGTTCTGAAGAGAAGACATACAAGCTTGATCAATAAAAAGTCGTATAAAAAGTAAACAAAGCATTGTGCAATTCAATATGTATAAATACATTCGTTAACATTACATTGAAATATTGGAAGAGCGTACACTTGCTTTACAACTGCTCCACAACTGACACCAAGTATCTGCCTGTGAAGCAAGTATTTAATTGTGCAAGAGCTCTGTAAACTAAGCTGTGTGTACGTTTGATATTCAGTATAATAGACTAGCCGATCAATCTCGCTACGCATACAGGACTTGTACTGTATAAGATCTACAGCAACTTTTTTGAGAGGTTGTCATTGTAAAGACACCGCTATTATAGGGAAAATTTCCAACAAATGCAAAAAAAAAAAAAAGGTATTCAAGCTGAGCGATTGACCTTTCAATTCCATGGTTTCCATTTAATCAGCATCACAATCATCATTGTCATCAACAGAAAGGCATTTGGGCCAGCCAGCAGCAGTGCCGCCCGCTAAAATCGATTCAAACTCAGTTTGTCTTTTCTGTTTAAGATTGGCCAAATCTTAAAGATTTTCGACTCGATTGAACTATTTTAGCACATTCGACTATATAAATTGTGATAATCAGCCGGTACTTCCTAATACATTCCTGGAGTGCTTTCCAAGGCGCATCTAATGGCACCAAATAAGATAGATGTTTTGAATAAACTTATTGAACAATTCATGAAAATATGAAAAGAGGTTTTTGGCCAAAAAGTCAAAATTTTACATATCAAAGCCCTACAAAGATGATTTCAGGAGTTACGTTGGATCGATAGAAATATTTTGATTCAATGTATACCATAGTAAAAGTCTTCATTTTCGAGGTCAAAAACGCGATCGTTTGATTTTCAATGAAGACCATGAGGGGTACCTCATGCTTTTTGATCGAATTTTGACAATGTTTTTTTAATCCCCAAAAAGTTGAGCAAAGGTGTCAGAAAGTAGCTGCCAGATGAGAGCAACCGTTTGGGGCTATTCTGACGATCTAAAACGGTCTTGAACTCGAGAAAACGCAGCTCAAATGCACTCAGATTTTTCTGTATCAGAGACACTAAGGACTAAAAAGGGGAAATACCAGTATGCTGCTTGCCCATATATGAAGTAGCTATGTGTATACGGGTGTAGAGCATCCCCTAAGAATCAGATCCACAGATAATATGAAGAGTCTTCATGTGTGAGTGGAGGGTCAAAACGAAAGTAGCAGTATGTTGATAAGATACGCAAGAGCAATCGGTAGCACGAGCTGCCGCTGTGCAAGTTGGTTCTCACCAAAGCGAAGCGAAGGTAGAGAGTCATCCAAAGCATAAACACTCGTATAGCATAAAGGCGCTTACAGTTTCATTTGGACGTTTTACATGTATTTAATAGGTTCAATTGTTGTAAAATGCTTTTTTAAGCAAGAATCTTGATGCGAAATGGGTAAATGTCACTCAGTTCAAAATTGCAAATGTTACATCCAAGTCATTCATTCGCAAAAACCGCACTCTTTCTCACACTTGCCTCATATCTGCAGCTAGTGTTTATGGATAATAGCAAAATTAAGCTAATGAGAACATGACGAGCACACATTCCGGAATAACCTTCTAAAACCACATTTCATCTCATGATATTACTACAGTGGCTTCTATCAAGTGAACAGAATACCAACAGCATCATGGACAATATGTAGATTCACTGCACAACAGGCTTGTTTCAATTAGGCGTTGAGTGGATATGCGCACAGGCTGTTGCTCATGAGTTATGCATATCTATTATACATCATTGCTAGACTTCCACTACATCTCATGCGCATTTTACATATGCCTTAGGCAATGATATCATTTATACTTTGTGTGTATTATCAGACGCTATAAGCTCATATGCCAACTAATTTGAGCTCCATAAACAGGTTTTTATATGTTGTGATGAGCGATATAAGCATTATTGGACATATAATGCCATCACATTATGGAGATTGTCAATTATCCATATATATATACAGAGTTGATAAATTAACGACTGACGCAACAGTAAGTTCATTACATTAAAATTTGCAACGCTGAGAGTCATTTATATCAATTAGGAGAAGTACTAGTTTGCTATCCAATTTTAGTGTTTATTGAAAAATTCAGGGCACTAGTGGAGAACAGATCACTCGAGGTTGCTGGGAGCACAGTGTTTCTGTTTGCTTCGGTAGCACATTTCAATTTGGTTTTTTCAGTCTATCCACTTGACGAAATCACTATTACATCATTTCAACATAGAGTTGAGTAAGCATATTGTCTTTTCTTCGAGAACAAGAAGGAAGAAATCAATTGTAACCCACAACTTGATCTTGATAAATCGGTACTATGGTATGGCGTACAAAGTTTGCAACACATATAACAAATTTGAGTAAGCGCTCTATGTCAAATTCCAGGTTTCGGTTATCTTTACCCGATATCCTGTGCCGAATGAGTTGCCAGAGTCAACATGCACTGTCCAAGCACCCATTTTTTAGCCAATTGGTATTTCTCGACCAAGCTAGAGAGGGTCGGTAGAGTCGTATATACCCTAACTTGATCTAAGGAAAATGAAAATATATAAAAAAAGTGCTTCATGAACGCTCCCATACACCAGAACGGGCAACATGCAAGATAAGAGCATAACCTTAACAAAGGTAGCCGTTTCGGATTTCATGGCAAATGAAATTGACGATACCCCTACTTTTGGAAGCACATGTGTATGGAAAGATGACGATCTGTTCATCTCCTTTCGACTGATATTCCAAATTTGTAAATTTGGCTTTTTGATTTTTTTTTTTCACTGTGTATATTTTTGTTGAGCATGATGTTAATATGATGATGAAGTATAATTTAGGTCTCCCAAAACCAAATGCTAAAAAAAAATACAAGGGTAATTTGTACCATTTAGTGTTCCCGAACCGGACACTCTTTGGATTGTTGGAGTAGTGCTATCATTTATACTACAACAAGAGGAAAACAGAAAGTGCAATTTTCGATTTGATAATACGTCAGAGTTGTGTAAGATCATGGTATCTAATACTCATAATTAAGCATTCAGTTGATACCAAAAATTGAAGGAAAAAGAGTGTAAAAGTGATGTGATGATCAGCTCACAGCATCTCCGCGTAAAAAAAAAACCAGATGAAACTCTGCAAATGTTGCAAGATTTATGCGGGTCTGTATCATCATCATCACCAAAAAGCCCTATAAAGTGGTTTTTTTTTTTTGTGGGATGTTCATTAGCTTGTCTTTCTCATTCTCCTTTTTCTTTCTACATTTCTCATCATATTAAATCAAAAAGACAATGCCGCCTTATTCCTACCCAACATTTGAGGAAATTGAAGCCAAAGAATGGGCCTCCAACACGGTGAGCAACATCCTGTCAGATATTTCGCCTGTATCATTCGAAGCAGACTTTTCGCATTCAAAAAGGTCTCAATTGGAAACTGAGTCATATCCTGTGGATAAAAGCGTTTGCTATGGTAAGAACAGCCATTTGAGGCGATCCTTTTCATTTCTAGAGGGTAGTCTACTCTCCAACCTGCCATCGCAGCAACAACAGCAACAACAGCAAGAGAAAGAGGCTAGGAACTCTCGTAGATCACAGAGCACTATTTTGCCAAGCACTCGTATCATCAGTGATGTATCCAAATCAGCAATGACACGATCAGCACCTACGACACCAACAAACAAACTATCGCCTCAGCCTTCCTTTTCAAGCCGCATTAGACATACTTGGCACATGGATCGTGCATCAGTAAAGCAGCTATTTAATACATCTGACATTCATGACAATCACAAGAAATCCTCCAAAGAACAAAGAGGCATCACTATTTGGCGAAATACATGCCAGGAATACATGCTGCATCCTCCTCCATCACTTCAAATCGAGACCAAAGTACCCACCAAAAGATCCATGCAACTATCCAAGTTTATCATGGGCGAATTGCTCAGCACAGAAGAAACTTATTTAAACCATTTGCTCACTATAAAAAATGTAAGTACATATCAATGGAAGGCACATTTGGCCTGCTGCTTATCTAAACTCATGTGCCTCTGTAGTTTTACATGGATCCACTGCTTCATGCTGCTAAAAGCCATAAATCACTTGTCAATCTCAAAGACATTGAAACCATATTTGCATTCATACCTAAACTGATCATCTTATCTACCGCACTTGTCGAGCAACTGCACGACACCATCACACCATACCTAGACGACGATTCACAGCTCAATCAAGTCGCCGTGGGCAAGGCGTTCTGCAACCTGGAGTCTTATTTCGACATCTACATTGCCTATGCTGTCAACTTTTCTAAATCAAGAAAATGCCTCTCCAAGGCGAGCTCCAGCATTGTGTACCGCCAATTGGTGCAAGATACAATGAGAAAAAAAGAGACAAACCGAATGGTTCTATCAGACTACATGATTGCACCTATTCAAAGAATCACGCGTTATTGCCTATTATTAACAGGTAAATCCGAACTGCTGCATGGATATTTGTCTAGGATGTGTATATATTAAACTCTCTTTGATCTATAGATCTTCAAAAGCATTCGAATAGATCTCATCCTGATTATGTATATTTGGCTAAATCACTCAAAACTCTCTCTGCACTTGCATTTGCTATGGATACTATACAACAATAACTTGCATGTCATATACCATATACCCTTCACTATCTTTTTTTCTTCTCTATACATATGTAAATCCCCCCCCCTCCACCCCTTCCTTATCACCCCTTTATATATCTATCAATGTATGTAATAAACTAAATCACTTGTATATAACTCACATAGATAAACTGCATTATTGTAGGACAAGGTCATGCGGTGTTGGCTATATTCAGCAACTGTGAAAGCGCCAACATCTTACAGACGTCTCTCTCTCTCTCTCTCTCTCTTTCTCTCCCCCCTCTTCTCCCTTTTCCCCTTTCCACTACGCTACAGATGGATATCACATTATTTCAGCAACAACAGCGGCCGCATCAACAAATACAGCAGCATCCACATCAGCAACATGCCGTCATTGATAATAAAGATGATAAAACGACGAAAAAGAGAATAGACTCTGCTATAGCCATGAAGTCAAATAATCAGTTACTCCACATTTCCCTGGAGCGTCCGCTGGATGACATTTATTTGCCTGGAGAAGAAATCACTGGTGAGTACATTTGAAACAGCAACACACCCTCTTTTTATTGAATGCAAGAATGGATGTGAGATAGGCGCAGTCAACATCAGTCAGCTACTGCTATCAACGACGTGGAAACAATCCACTGCCAGAATCGATGTTCATTTAGCATGTTCATTCCGAGTGTGTGATGCAACATCAAGTACCAAAAAGCAATCCGTCTTCAAGCTCATGACAAACCCTATATGGATCTCGCTGTCAGATACGAACAAAGTGGCCTTCTCGCTTACAATACCCTCCCATTTACCCGCCTACACCACGCATGACAAGGTATGTAGCTGAAACTGCACACGCACTCATACAGCCTGCGACATAGTTGCTGATTTATCCATCGTAGTCCATCAATGGCAGAATTGAATATAAATTAAAGGCCGTCTATGAAATCAAAGATCTACCCTTGTCGTTGTATCCTAAAACCTCCATCCCCGTGCTCATCAGTGCGCAAATATCGACAACAGATCCAAAGTACACAACACCCATGCAAAACGAAAAGGAAATCGCCATGACAATACCACGCGATGTTAGTTTAAAAAAATCAACGTTAAGAAAAGGAGATACGGGCTTAGTATCAGCCAAACTTGTCATACCGCATTCGTGCTTTTTACCGGGAGAATCGATATCGTTTGCATTGTACATTCAGCATATTGCACCGATCAAACAGACGCAAGGTATCCATGTCGTTCTGGAGCGCATCACAACCATTACTACACCAACAGAGGAAAAAAGGAGTGTCACCACCATCAGAACCTTAAGTTTGCCATTATTATGTAATGTGGACGATCATGCAGCCATTGTGAATAGCAGCCAGCAGTTAAAAATACCTGAATCGACAGCGCCGACGCTTGAGACCAGCAACAAACTGATACCCTTTTCCATCCATTATCGGCTAAAAGCGCTTGTCAATATGGACATGCACCAATTCATGGAGGAGATACCACAGAGAAAGAGAGATCGTGCCTACAATATGATGTCCAAAATGATGTTGGTAGCAGCAGCCACTAACTCGGATCAACAGGGCGTTGGCCCTGCATTCTTTTACAGCACAACGATTGAACTCGACCTTCCAATTCGGATTGGCACAACACACGAACCTATCCTCACAACCAATGTACCCAAACACCATTCTCTACCATACCCTTTGCATATTGCTGCATCCTCCCCGTCATCCTTTGCGTCGTCTTGTCAGCTGTTGGCATCGCCAGATCAATACAAGCATCATGTCAACAGTATTCATCGCTTTGATAGTGACCCGACGATTGACAGACAAGACACTACCACTACCACTACTGTTCTAACCAATCGATCGTCTACATCCACCATCACCGAGTATCTGACATTGCCATCCACTTTATCCACTGAAGGCGAGATATACGACCGACCTCCATCAGCACCACCACTGACTGATCTCATGGACCCCCCGCCTTGTTATCTCAATGAGTAATAATAATAATAAAAAAAAGATGGATCACACCAAATGATTATTTTATTTTATTTTTTTGAAAAACGGAAATGCGACAAAATACAATGAAAGGAGGAGGGAGGGTTAAATGCAAGAATGTACTCTAATGGTGTTTATGGCTCTGATTTCACATTTTTAAACTGGTTACTGCCCGCCTGATTGCTATTATGGCTGCCGTTGTTGCCCTGTACAATACGCATGGCGATTTTTCTAGCATCTTCAACGATACCCGTCATTTTCATACCAACCACTTGCAATGCCAATTCCATCAAAGCACGGTCCGTTTCGACCAGGTAGGTGAATACCATAACATCGCTTTTATCGGTGGGCGGAGCCTCTTTGAATGAAACAACAACAGCGCCAGGCTGTGTTGCGGGTGGTAATGTACAGATGAGCGTGTTGGGAGACCAGTATTGTATGTTTGTAGCAGGTGTGTCTCCAAACATCACTGTCATGCCAGGGCGGAAATTGGTGCCTAGTATTGTGATTTCAATGCCTCCACTGTTAGGCGCCTCATTTGGAATCAGTCTCTTCATGGCAGGCTGTTGCGTGTGATTGGTGTTGTTGTTGCTGTTATCAGTGAGATTATAGAGATATTGCTGCTGCTGTTGCTGTTGCTGTTGCTGTTGCTGTTGCTGCATGACACTAGACGTTAGTATTGATTTCAATACTGACTTCATGTCCTCCATCTCAGATGCCGTCGATGATGATGATGAAATAGGAAAGTTGTTTTGAGTATTTGGGTATAATGCGGCTGCAGAAGATGAGCCTGCTACTGTGGGTGCTGGCGCTGGTTCTGATTTGATAGTGTTACTGCCACCGACACCAAATGGCAATGATGATTTGATCCAGCTCAGTGAAGGAATTCTGGGTTCTGGCAGTACTTCACTTTCTGCTCGACGTCTCTTCAATCCAGCCTTGACTTTATTTGATTTGTGGTCGTCTGTGATCATAATGGGCGGCGAAATGCCTTCAGCTACCTTTTTACCGGTATGGTCCAGCATTTCAAAGTAGATACTGATGGTAAGGTTAGTTGGGCACTCTCCATATTTCGGCACTGACACCCAGACTTACCAAAAGCCTAATCTTTCGTTATGATGTCTACAGTAACATGTGATTCGAGTGGGTAATATAGTGTCACCAGCACTGAAATCCACGACTTCTGAGCAATTGAAGAGCAATACTCTCTCCTCATCAAGCACAAGTGACTGGTCGTCCTCTGTTTTTTCATCCTCTGTTTCGTCATTGTTTTGTTGCTGCTGCTGCTGCTTGTTCTCCTTTCTTCGCTGAGATCGTTTTCGTTCTCTTTGTATACAACCTAAACAAGTAACAACCTTCTTGGTTGGGTCACTTGCGCACAGCACTCTGGCTTGCAGATACAGTGCTTTCTCTGGATTGACAGGAAGTCCATTCTCATTGACATTGCTATTGTTGTTGGATTTCTTGAGCTTGTCCTTTGTCACCATGTTCTCGGGTAGTTTGAGATGAGACCACCATTGTGCTTTGTCTCCTCCATCTGTTACTAATTGAATGCAAAGCTTGATTTGTGTCTCGACTCTGGATTTTGCGCCTGTCTGAGGAACACCCAGTACTCTGATTTGTAGCCTAAGCAAAATATTAGCATTTGATGGTTGTATGATTGAGCAGTGAGCACAGTACCCCGTATTTGATCGCTCTGATTCTTGCTTGAATTGCATCATGGGATCAAAATCCATAGACGACGGCGGCATGGGCGATGATATAGGCGACGCTGTGGGTGCATTGCTATAATACAAAAACATGAGCGACTCTTTCATAAACAATTTCAATTGAGAGCTATTTACAATGAGCTTAAAAAGGGCACAGGATGGTTTGCTAGATACTCTTGAAAACTTCGTGCAATGTTGGGAAATGTTGGAAATATATTGTTATGTGTTACATTGGAAATAAACTAAAAAAAAAAAATCGAATTATTAGCCCTGATTTATATACTTGCATATCAGAATAGCTGGGCTCACGTTATTCAGTCCTGTCCAGAAAGAAGGAGGTTGCTCGCCAACAGAAGTAGTTACAGCTGCTTGAAATGACTCCATGCTGGTGGCAATGGATTGAGCCAACGTAGTGGATGATGCATTTACATTTCCTCGGTTATCGTTTGCTGAAGATGAGGAACCAGCATGATCATGGCCAGCCGCTTCTTTCAAAAAGTGATCTTCAAACAGGGACGCTGTGTGTTGCTGTAGCTGTTGTTGCTGCTGCTGCTGCTGCTGATGTTGCATGAAAAACAAGGGATTATCCGAGCTTAGCTGATCGAGGCCATAAAAGAAGGATTGATCCATGAAGTCTGGCTGCTGTTGCTGTTGTTGCTGATTCATTTGCTGTTGTTGCTGCTGTTGCTGTTGTTGTTGGTGATGCATTTGCTGCTGCTGCTGTTGTTGTTGTTGTTGTTGTTGTATTTGCTGCTGTTGCAACGATAAACTATTAGGTACCATACGTTGCGTAAAATTTTTAACAGGCTGAGAAGAAGGAAGGGGCAATGTAGATGTCCTGTGTTCGCTTATGGATGTATCAGTCATGTTCCCACTTGACTGAGCAGACTCATCAGCAGAGAGGGCTGGTAAGTCCATGTTTGCTTCAGACATGGTAAAGATAGAATTTTTCAAAAAGGAAAAAAGAAGAGGAAAGAGTGATAACGAGGCAAACTCAGGCAACAGGCTTTTTTTTACCCTCTTATGGCCAATCAGAATGCCCTGGGTTAGAGTATCACGCGTGTTTCCAATCATCACATTCGCTACTGCCTGCTTGATTTATGAGGCATTGGATCGCATTTCGAGGTTGAAAGAGCCGCTGTTCAATGCATTTCAGCGGCTGATGTAACCTGTGTACGATTTTCAGATACACGGATAGGATGAATGAGCTCTTTGTCAATGGTGCATCCACACATTGGTGATTGCGGCGACCAAAACCCTCTACCTGAAATAACGTTATTCAGGATGTTTTGAACACTATTGAAGATCCGTGCCGAGTTTGACCTGATTATTTATTGTATGGCATCATTCGCGTAAACAAACAGCGATAAACAGATATGAGACCAATTTTGATAATCAAGAGCCCTTTGGCATGAGCTCTAGAAAGTTCTGTTGGTGCCACATAGGCTCCTCTCCCAGACTCTTACAAAGAAACTTCAACTGATTTACACTGAAATCTCTATTGTGAAAAAGGGGGGGTTGTATGATATCATGGATCAGAATCAGTAGGGCGACGCTGGTAGAGATTGAGCGTAGCGTGAGCACACCGCTTCAATCTATTTGATTAAAAGTACTGTAATTGAATATCATATCAAGACAGACTCTTCAACTTTGTATTGTTCATGTAAGAAAACTTTGTAAATAAGCTATAGTTGTTGATCTGACTCTTTTACAATGTCTCATGTTTGCATCAATGGGAACAATCCTTTTGCGGGAAGGTAGCACACTAACACTACTTGCTATTATCAGAAAGAAAGCAAAATACAGCCAAATTTGGGTGCATTCAAGTAGTGTTTTCTCACGTTAGAAGTCGTTTTAGACCGCCAGAATAGCACTAAACAATTTCTCTGACCTAGCATTTACTTGCTGACAGCATTGCTCAACTTTTTGAGCCAAAAAAAATTATGGCCAAAAATCGACCAAAAAGCATGAGGGGTACCTCATGGTTTTCATCGAAAATCAAACGATCGCATTTTTCACCTTGAAAATGAAGACCTTTACTATGGTATATATTGAATCAAAATGTTTCTCTCGATCCAAAGCAACCTCTGAAACCACTTTTATGAGGCTTTCATATGCAAAATATGGCTATTTTCGCTAAAAACCTCATTTCATATTTTACCAGATTTCTCAATAATTTCATTCAAAGCACCTACTACAATTAGCACCATTGGAAGCGCCTTGAAAAATGCTTCAAGAATGTATTAAGGAGCATAGGCTGATCATCACAATTTATATAGTCGAATGGGCTAAAATAGTTCAATCGAGTCGAAAATCTTTAAGATTTGGCCAATCTTAAACAGAAAAGACAAATTGAGTTTGAATCGATTTTAGCGGGCGGCATTGCTGCTGGCTGACCTAAATACCTTTCTGTTGATGGCAATGATGATTGCGATGCTGATTAAATGGGGATCATGGAAATGAAAGGACAATTGCTTGGCGCAAATACTTTTTTGGGGGAGCTTTGCCTCATGAAGGTGCCTTTTTGCAATGACAATATCTCGAAAAAGTAGCTGTAGATCTTACACAAGTCCCTGTATTTACTTATGACCAGCTTTATGCCGCCATCTTATTAAGAGAATCAGCAGCAGCGAGTGATATGACAGTTCTATTATCAGAAAATGACGATTGTGATGTACAAATGCTGCATAAAATTTGAATTTTTTTTTTCACATTGTCCCAACAATAGGCTTTGTTTGATATCAGTGTAAGCAAAAAGGATGCTGAGGGAGATACCTCCTCTCCTCCTCATGGCTCTGATATAACCTTTCTTTTACCAACTAACCATTGATTGTTTAAAATCTACTTGATATACCTAAATGTTATCATATCTGATTTAAAATGTCTTTCAAGAGGCCACAGGGTGACGCCGACATTGAGCGTAGCGAGATAGATCGGCTATAGTGGCTTTATACTTGAAAACACTAGTCAGCGTGGTTTACTATCGAAATATATGTAAGGATTTCCTTATTGAGGATTTGAAAAGGTCTAGCGACTATTTAGATGTATGATTCGGCTTGACCAAGTAAGCAGGACTTGATAGCAATGTTATAAGCAATTGTGTGGCATGCTTATTCTGTAGGCTAAAGGCAGACATAGATCCCCTTGGAATGAGCCCAACTGATGCTGAAATTGCTGTTCTCTCTTGTCAACAGTGAATGATTACCTTGATTCTCCCTGATTTGCTGATTCATAGTAATCGCAATGTTGGAAATCTTGTGATTTTAGACCATTGTATACACTTTGTTCTAAAACCTGTCATGAGATCTTACTCTCGCTTGACGTTTGATCCATTACAATGTCCTCCGTCGTTCCCATGACAAGCTTCTAAACATTTAGCAAATGGGATAATTCAATGCCTGAAACTTCCAAAGCGTGTTTTGGCGGGTCTCGTAGACAGCCCATTTTTGTTTACCCTTGTTCATTGTCATGTCTTGATTTGGTCAATCAAGTGTATGTGAGGAGCGAAAGATCACCTTTATGAGCGATTGCTATTGCTACGATAGACTCATTCAGAACCCAACAAGGGTCCTGGTTGGGGTAAATCACAACCATTATATACCAAAAAAAAAAAAAAACTCGTAACATTCTGTGCACTCAAATTCTCAGACAGCCGATGATGCCCAAATATGGTCATTCATTTCGGTATTGTTCTTTACACTTCTTGTACCTTTATGACCCCACAGAAATATATTCTAGATTTGATTGGAAGTTTTCATATTTCGCATCTTTTTTTTTTCCTCTCTCTCTCTTTTCACTTTCTGTTTTATTTACTTTGATGACCTTATTGTCTTTATCCCACATTACTCAACAGCTGAAAAGCACCATCCTCAGCAAAGCACATGTAACATCAAGCAGTGTAGCAGCAGCCAGCAACAACAGAAAGAGCACCGAGGACATTGATCTAAATCAGCCTGTTGTGCTCTATCCTCGTCGCATCGATAGAGATAAGATAGCTACCGATATCATCCACAACATTGGCGCCACCAAAGTAAATGCATCAGCAAAGGCGGCATCGGCTACCTCTGGCTTAAGCATGCCCGTTACACCGCATTATGTTGCTCCCCGAGCGCCCATTGTATTATGTCATGGGCTGTATGGTTTCGACAAGCTGGGCCCCGATGCACTGCCTCTGCTGCAAGTTCAATATTGGGGTGGCATTGAAACCGAATTGGCTAAACTCGGTGCCAAAGTTATTGTTACCAAGGTACCTTCCACAGGCAGTATTTGGGATCGAGCACATACACTTCACTCTATTCTCAAGTCAATACTGGATGGGAGAGATGTGAATTTTGTGGCACATTCAATGGTAAATGTCGCTGTGGGTTTGTACCAGATGTTGTGAATTGATCCATATTTTATAGGGCGGCTTGGATTGTCGATATTTGATCTCACATATACCGGACAGACCGTACAAGATCAGCTCGCTTACCACAATATCAACGCCACACAGAGGATCGCCTGTCATGGATTGGTTTCGAGATAATGTGGGTGTAGGCATGGCTGGTGCATTAGTGGCAGCAATAGAGAAGATCAACCAACAAAAAGTACCTCCAGAGCTGTTATCGCCTGAATTGAAAAAGACATTACTAGAGAAATCCAATAATACTTCATCGCCATCCCTTACATCATCACTGAGCTGGTCTCTTTTAGCAGAGTTTGCCAAATCACCCAAAGTCATGAAACAGTTGATTCGATTAGTGGATACAGAAGCTTATGCGAACCTCAGCACGGACTATTGCAAAAACTACTTTAACCCAAATACACCCAACGATCCAAGCATCTCTTATTATTCGTATGGAGCAAACGCATCTTTTCCTGCCTGGTCGTTACTGAATTTGCCGTCCAAGTGGATCAAGGAAAAGGAGGGTATGAATGATGGGCTCGTGAGCGTGGAAAGTGCCAAGTGGGGTACTTATATCAAGACATTGCAGGCGGATCATTGGGATTTGAATGGACAAAGGTTAGAAGCGGCATGATTGTTTGTGTTTCATTATTGACATTGTTTCTTTCAGATATAGATGGAAACACACAAGACCTTTTATAGACAAAACCAGATTTGATACAATAGACTTTTACATGGAAATGGCGACACACTTATACCAACAGGGCCACTAGATGGAATCTACGATAATAAGGCTAATCTATCTATTTCCTTGTGAAGACCAGCAGCAACACTGTGCGCCATTGCTAACAACAGCGTATATGCTACCATTTCACGAATTGCTGAGTACTTTGATATAGTTTATTTATTTATACATAATCGATATTTGTGTCGGATACTATTCATACCGTAATCTCATAAACGTATCGCTATATTACCATGATGTGTGTTACTAATAAGGCTGTTATACAAATATATGGCTGGATGCTCAGGACCCACAAATCATCGTCATCAGGTCATAGGTACTGCAGCAGCACCGCCTTCCTCATCCTTGACAGTGTTTTCTCTCCAGCTTTCAACTGTAATCAAAAAAGCGACAAAAATATATTGTTTGGCAGTGTAATCCAGCTTTTCTGGTGTTGGATCAGCATCGTTTGCTCTCTTTTTAAACAGTGGTGTATGAAACCCAAACGTAAATGGAAAACTGAGGAGCCAGAGCAATATCATGATTAACACTGCGCTTGTCTCCACGACATACACATTGCGCTTGCTTTCGCTGTCTATCAGAAGGCATGGAATGAGTTTTCTGCATCTAGAAAGCATACAACGCAGCTTACAATATTCAAAGTACTGCTCTTTCAGATAGAATCCAGTAGTGGACACTCTAAAGATGAATGCAAACAGATCAAAGATCATGTAAGGTAGTGGAAACTGAGTGACCAGCAGCACCGATCTATCGTTAGAGGAATTATTGCTGGAACTGCATACACAGGAGAAACCCATGGGCACTACGACCATACTTAGTATAATCGCTTCCTGCGTAGTAGCCCTGTAAGCACGCTATCAAAAACAATGGATATGTTTCTATCTTACCTGAGCCATTACAATGGATGGGTACTGTCCCTGTGTTAGGAATCCGTTGATTGCCACTGTTTTGTACCTACAGATCAGCCAAATGCGACTACTAATATGCAGTTTTTCTTACTTGCTGAAAGCACAAGACATGTAAGAGATCCAAATAGAACGCCTAAACTAGCAATGGTAACGAACACAGCACTGTGCCATGGCAAATAATGCACTCGAATAAATTTGGTCATACAATGGAGATTGAAGGAATGAGCGATCAAACTAGTGCCTTGAAAACAGGCAGCCTTTTATATAGGAATCAACATTTTAATTTTAAAATGAAATGATTCTTCTGATTCTCCAGCGTATCACTAGACTGCGCCTCGTTCATAGTGTATATTGTATCAAATTCTGGCAATTCAGTGCCACCACAAATGAGCTTAATCAGAGTGTGATTGTATTTTTAGCATGAGATGAGTATCCGGTGAGTGGCAGAGTGCTTGATATAAAGAGTTTAATAGGAATATACTTGTCAACAATTCGCGTAAACATGATCACAGACAGGTAAACTTGAATTACATTGATCCTATACCGTATAGCTCTTGCAGTCCAGTTACACTCCATAGACATAAGACTGCGGTACATTTGACCCTCATTTTTTCTTTTCTTCTCTTTTCATCCTTTTTTGCTTTTGTTAGTATGAGCTCTGGATCATCTCCCAAAGACACGGCCACATCACTAGATGAAGTAACCGAACGATTAGAACTTGTGAAAGAAGAAATCAAAGGCCTCAATGACAATTACGATATGGTGCAAGGTAGGCTGCGCGCCGTCGACAAGAAACTGCAAAAGAGTGAAACCATCAACAAGGAACTGGATGAATTGAAAGCAGAAGAAGTACAATCAGAACGTCAACTAGAGCAACTCAAGCACAAGGTAGAAAATACACTGTCGATTACCGAAGCGTTGGAGGAGAAAGGCGTGTTAGATGAGGATGCGACCGACGAGCTGTTACAAATCAAGATTCGAGAGACTCTTGATTTGATTGCATCGCTTACAAAAGATGTGGAGAAGAAGAAAAAGGAGCTAGCTGATTTACAAGCAGAACAAGATGACTAGAGGATACGACATTGTACATAGATTATATATACCATTATTGCAGTGGATTACAAACTTGACACTGGAGAAAATGAACTTTGATCATTTGTGTTACTATCGCCAATTCCTACTTTTAGAAAGACAATAACATTTCATTGAACATATAATTGAACCACTGTTGTTGGTAGAAAATAATGCTTATTCCCTCTTTCTTCCTCTCGTTTACCTACTCCTCTACTCTATAAATAAAATGATATCAAGATCCAAAGTGGAACACATTGTTTGTTTAGCTTTGAATGGTATCAATATCGTATTCTATCTGCTGATCATTACGGCTGTCATTTTCAAATGTATTCAAGGCAATTTTGCAGATATTGTGATGGGCATCTACGGCATGTAAATATGTACATGACTGATGGAATATGTGTAGTATGCTAAATCATTCAACAACCCATAGTGTGATAGCTGCTCTTTTGGTAGTAAATGAAATGCGGGAATTCCAGTTCTCGTCGACCTACTTTTACTTTTTATCGACATACAGAGGAAGAGGCCTTACGATGATATTGTAAGTGGTTTATTCACATCGACTTGAATGCAAACTGACTATATCTTTAGCTTTGGATGTCTAGTGCTCGATACAGGCATTATCAACATTGTCGTAGGTACACTAGTACTAGCGACAGGCCTACTGTATGTCATCATGTCCTTTTTATCCCATTTCCCTCAACCCAATCCCATCACCATCAACTGGAGAAATTGGAATGACTTTTCCGCCGAGGGATTAGATCTACCACATCCTCGAAACATGAACAACACTGTAGTGGTAAGTGGAAGAGTCGACCATGGAACAGAAACCACCTATACTAATCTTGCGTTGATAGAGCGAAATGCATGAACGACTCAAATCACCAGCGCCTATTTTATTGAGCCAGCATCAACTACCCCTCAACGAAATGATACACCCACAGCAACCACCCAAAAGAAGACACTAATTCGCTTTCTCTTTATTGCTGTACCCTATTATACACTTTATATCCAGCAAGTAGACCACTGATAAACCCTGACCATGCCTGAATCCCTTTACTAAAGGGAAGATGAAATACATCACAACCTAACATGACACATTGTAAATAAATCAAATCATCAGCACTCTTTTCGACTTGTAGCTTACCACAAAATAATAAATCGGCCACTGACTTGCACAATGTAATCTGCGCTAGCCTCAGTTCTTGTTGTGTACCATATACCTCTGCTTTGCACATACTCTCAAAGTTCTTGTTCAGTCCAACAGTGATGCTCAGAAACCAACAATGCGCAGAAATGATTTCAGAATAATGGCCCCACGCCTTGTGTGGCAAGACTCCAATGCGATGTAAGCAATAGATATCGTCAGATACTGCGTTGGCAATGCTGTTTATAATCAGTAACTGCTTAGGCAGGTCTCTTTTGGTGGCAAACAGTTGCCTGACATCTCCACTTGCATTACCTAAACAGAGCACTTGACTGGTGATGGAAAATTGAGATGCTAAACCTGTCAATTGTTTTAAATGTGCGCTTTGATGGGTATTGGAGTGATGGTATAGCAGGATCTTGATGATGTATTGAATAATCTTCATTGATTTATCACGGCCGTCCAGGTCTTTGAGTATACGCTGCACGACTTCAAAGATGGATGGTTTTGTGTAGGGCAGTCTTTTCGGTAAAGGAGTAACTGGTGTGTGTTGCTGCAGCTTCTCCAATTGGCCAAATGATGGCACTTTAGGCAGAGACATGGTATGAATGGATGTATGATGAGGTGCGTGGATTGGTGTAGGAAGACTCATTGTAGTAGAAGGAGCGAAAGAAAAGGATAACCAAGGAGAAAGAGCTCTCCTAAGAACCAACAGTTATACATACATACATACAACAAGCCACGGCCTGAAATACATCTTATCTTTAAATTTGGATAGATTAGATAATTGGCTTTGTTTGGGCCTTCTTTCTTTCCAAATTGATTATCATCAGCTAGTTAATCAGTACGAGATGGACGATCCAAATGTGGTCAACCACGACACTAAAGCCATGCGACTTGTACAGAGAACATCCCATTTCCTTTATTTCACATAGAATCCAACATACGGCATCTAATGATTTGTTTTTACAGTGCTATACATTCTTCTAATAATGAGGTATGAACTTGCAAACCCAAGTGTACCTGTACACAAGCCGATCAAACCACATCCAATCAATAAGTTGGCCAGATAAATAGTGCCCCCAACAAGGCCTTGAATGCTGGATTTCTGCAAGTAATAAAATACACCATAGGCAAGCATGTACACGGCAGGTGAACCACCGATCATCATGGATTGCCACCACCAGTGATAGTCTTCGTTGCAGAGCTGTAAAAAGATCAAGACAATGGTCATTTCGGCAGTAGAGATCAACAGCAAAATCGATGTCCAGATGGTGTAATTGATGGATAAGATGTACTCGCCTTTGGCAACTGAATGCAGCAATTCATGCCAGTTCAAAAATACAACTGCAAATGGCACAATACCGCCCAAAAGAATGTGAACAACGTCTAATTGATGCCAGCGTTTCTTGGGAATCATGCGAGGAATTTGTGTGGTACGGGATGGCTGTTCAATGCGTTCTGCTTTCTCTCCAAAATAAGCACCGATACATGTCAAAGGTGTCAGGATGAATAGCCAAATAGAGATCAAACTAGCCCATCCGGAGAAAGAGATGGCGAGTGATGATTGCTGTGTCCAGTTCATTATGCTAGTGGCAAACAAGATGATCACAAATACACTGGGCACAACAAATGCTGTCTGTCAATCATGGTGAGCATCCAGCTTATATGGGACCGCATAGACAAACACTTACAAGAATACTGTTCAGCACCCAGGATTTGCCACGGAAGACCTTGTAGATTCTAGCACTCCAGTATCCAGCTGGCAAGCTACCCAACAAGAACAAGAATGTGAACCAGCGAGTCAACGATCCAGGTTGAGCGGGATGATACCAGCCAAACTGCAAACAAGCTATGTATCTATCAGTCTCTGCACATTATGCCAGTCAGCCCCATCTTTTTCCTTACCAAGCAAGCCCACTGCAACAGTCAGTAGCTGAATGCCGGATCCCATAATTGGGGTCAACAACCCTCCATAAATAGGTCTTCTGAACACATCTCTGTTGATCAATCGCCAGCCAACAAAATCATCAGCGTCGTCGTAGATTTTGAAATCCTTGTCTTCTCCATTACTGCCGACATCCTTGTGCACTGTCTTTAAGGAAATGATGGCAATGATGGCGAACACAATCATGACCACAATGACGCCATTCAACAAGGAGGAAAAGTGTCTGTCAGGGTTTGGCTTCATCAAGAAGGCCTCCCAGCGAGTGTTTTCCTTGGCTTGTTTCCATTGAACAGAGTACGAAAATGACACTTGTGTTCTTCTGCCGGTTACTTGCTGATACTCGTATTCCACATTTTTTTTGGTGCATTCACCCTCAGCAATACTGTCACTGGAATTAAGACACATGTGCAAGTACTAGATTACACCACTTACGAATCAGGGTACACCTCAAATCCTACAATATCATAGTGTCCAAAGCGATCTTTATCTGCTGCGTAGAGAATCTGAAATATAACATGGTTGTTGATAAAGGTGCTGTCGCCCTAATAAAGAAGGTGGTTATTTCGGATTTCTTCTTGGCAAATGATCATGATTTAATTTACCTTTTTGAAACCCAAAGGAAATCCAATTCGATAATTGTGCTCAGGGGCTTCATTTGTATACGATACAGTTGCGCCTGGCAGCCCATCCAATTCCCTGCTTACTATCAGCAGCTGCTTGGCTAGGCGCAAGTACGTTCCAACTTACCACTCTACCATGTAGTCATTGGAGATCAATTCTTCCACATGGATAGCATCTTCCACACTCCAAGATTGCTTACAGAGCAATTTACAGTCTTGATTTTCGAGAAAGTTAATCTACTGGCGACGATCAGTACATGGGCTGATGGGTTTGGACCGAGGAAATGTACCTTGTAGTTGCTTTGCACAAGTCTGTCGCCTCTGAAATCTTGGTCAAACACCAGCAAACTCTTTTTTCTGCTAAACGTGGTTGGGCAGACAAAGCCGAGTGATTGATAGCTATATGACAGCTGATTCTGCAGCGAAAAAACCTTGTTGTAGTAAAGAGGTATAGAATCACCCTGCTTGAATGACAAGACGAGTTGACTGTAAACTAGCAACAGTACAGCGACTAGTGTGAAGGCCATGGTGCTTTTCAGAGATATGGATATGAAAAAAAAAAAAAAAAGTGTTCAAAAAGCTGGATCGCCTATTGAAACAGCCTAATATTTGGATTGTTCAACAAGACATCATCCTTGTCTATATTCGACGACTAGCGAGAGGCTGAGAAAACCAAATCCATAAAATGTGTAACTAGGCCCAAAACATTATAAAAATAAAGAGAGAAAAGCCAAGCCCATCTCGAACTTTTTTTTCTTCTTCTTTCTTTTCCTAATCGTTTATCTTTATTTCAATCAAACACAATACAATGGCAGGATACAAGTTGGATGTACCTGTTGACCTCTCCGAGCAAACTACAGACAAGCTTGAGCTCGCAAAGAAGATTATCCATTTGGTTACGGGCGCATGTGGCATCTTGACTATTGCTGTTGTGGCTCCACTTATCGCCACAGAAGCACGCTACCTTGGTGCTGGTGTTGCCGGCCCTAATTACACGTTATTCGTCGCACTCGTGAGTTTGCCTGTGCCATTCTTGCTGGTCTACTTTCCCTGGATGTACGAGAAACACAACAAATTCAAGCGTCTTGGCAAGTTTTGCTTAAAGAACAGAACAAATTTGATCTTTTGTGGTTTCAACACCTTCTTATGGGCAACTGCTGGTATCGCCATCACTGTGCATTCAAATAACGCAAGCAATTGTGCATTGAATCCCGATTTAACTAAAACATATGGAGATGATTACACTAGTGCATGGTCTACACAGGTATGTTGTTTGGTATTGCCCCGTTTTGTAACATTGTCATTAATCGCATTTTTTAGTGCAATTTGGCTAAAGTAACTGCTGCATTTGCTTGGATCACTTGTATTTTATGGTTAGTAACATTGGCAATCACTGGCGTCAGTTTCTGGAAGGAAAAGAGTTTGATCCAGCAAAGATTGAATGAGCACCGCTTGAACAAGCAAACCAAATTGGAGGAGCAACGCCAACAGGACGAGGAATATGGTCATGGTGGAGCTCCAATGGGCGGGTATGCTGCTGCGAGTGGTAGAGTCTATGATGAGGACGAGGAAGATCCATTCTCTGACAGCCACAGACATCAACAACAGCAACAACAACAACAACAACAACACCATCAATCTCCATTTGTTGACCCCATGAGTGATCACTATGATGCTTATAATCACAATAGAACATCTTACACACCAGGCTTTGATCAGCCTGTTGGCCAATATGCTGCTGATCCTCATCAACATCAAGCCTTTTCTCCAATGCCTACTCCTCAACACATGCCTCATCCCGAGCCCTCTTATAATCAAAATCACTTTTAATCCCCTTGTATATTCCTTATAAATATATCGCCTTCGTATAAATACAAATAAACACTTATACTGTATATCCTATTGTAATCTAAGCCCAAAATACCAGCATAGTATTTGCCAGGAACCAACGATTCTAAACCTTTCTGGACAACCCTGCTCTGAGCTGGAATCTGATAGTGATTTTTATTGCACATTTTCTTCCTGTACATCCTTGGCAACTACTAAACTATCATTTACTAGTTGATTTTCAATCTTTTTTCCCAAACAGTTGCATAAACAAATGTTATCAGTCTTGAAACAGTCTATATGTCTGATCATAGTGTCTCTGATTCTAGTATATGCTACACCTCAACTCACCATTGAAGATGATGACCGCACCATAATTGAAGTCGCAGAATTTGGTTTCTTGAAAGGAGGTCAATTGTCTTTGACATTACAAGAGCTCAAAGTAAGTAAGAAATATAATATACATCAATCAGCATTTAATGCTATACACCAGTGGAACAAACAGTCGGATGGCATAGCTGCCTTTTATATTCGAAAAGGCTGGATACTGGAAGATGAATACGATGTTGATTACTCGCCCATGGACACACCTATTCATTACGATGAATGCTTCTTGAACAGCAGTTTTATCAGTGACGAAGTTAAAGATGGAGCTAGTATTGTAGAGATATTACCAGATGAGTTGACATCGACAAAGTATGGATGGTTTAGCCCAAGAAGTAGTTGATTTACTCATCTTTTTCCTCTTGAAATTAGATGGACTAAAACATTTGATGTCGGTGAAGGGGAGGAAGGATTGTGGCAAGTTTTATACATTAGTTGCAAAGACGCTGCTGTTTCGTTCAAGGTAAATTAGTGACATGAATACCCTGTCTGCCTGTATAATGAAAACATGAGTAGTTATCAGTAATCGAAGTGAATCCCAATGGAAACTATCTATCAGCTGGTGATATTCCATTACCGTACGTTTATGCATTGGCCTCATTTGCATATTTATTGGCTGCTGCATATTGGTGCAGTCGATTGATATTCAAACAGAACAAGAGAATCTTCAGAGCACATTGGCTCATGCTTGTGCTATTGTTCTTTATTGTGATCAACAAGGCATTACAATCCGTAAGTTGTCTTGGTCCAACAAATAATGCGATGCTCATTTATAACCTTGGCTATGTAGGTAAAATTTCACTATTTGCGCTTGGGATTACTCTCGGAAGGATGGAAGATTGGATACTATGTATTTGCTGGGTACGTCATGGTTATTTTTATTTTTTCATATGCTGATTTGTATTACATGTAGTATAAAAGGAATTTTAAGTCTGTTGATTATTGGTAAACAAGGATTTGCAGGGAAAAAAAAAAAAAAAAAAAGGACAGAAAAAGCTAATACGTATTATTAGTTCTCTTGGCATCAGGGTGGATGTTCATCAAACCGTTTTTGTCGTCCAGAGACAAGAAAATCATTTCGATTATTATACCCTTACAAGTTTTAGCAAATGTCGCATCAGCCATAGGCACAGAAGCAGCAATTGGCTCGGCAGATTGGTCTTTTTGGGTAATTTGATCTGGTTCCTGGATTTTACCTATTTATACTAAGCACTAATCAATAGAACCTGATGTTACCACTGATTGATATGATTAGCTGTGGCATCATCCTCTGGACTATCCTACAAACTAGAAAACATCTAGCCTCTGCAACTTCAGTGGATGGCAAAGGTAAGCACTTGGTTATAGAGATTCCGCTTTCTTGGTTCACTGACATGTTGAGCAGAACAAGACATTTTGAGCAAGTACAAACTCTGGTCGTCGTTTTACGTCGTGACATTAGTCTACATCTATATTACACGAATCGTCGTACAATTGTTTCAGGTTTCGTTGCCTTTTCAATATGTCACTTGGGCTGGTGAGGCTGTCAATGAGGTGGCTACATTCCTCTTTTACATCTTCATCGGCTACAAATTTAGACCATATCCAGATAACCCTTATATTCAGGTGCCTGCAGACGAGGAGGGTGTAGATGAAGAGCAGGATGCATTTGTTGGTAGTAATATAGCCATGAATCCTGTTAATCGAAGAGAGAGATCTTGATATCATAATATAATAAATTTATGGTCCCTACACACTTTCAAAGGCTCAGAAAAGAAAGAAGTTGATCTTACAAGTATTTTGATGGGCTCGACCTATTACTAACTCCATCTTTCGATTTAAAATCGAAGAAAAATATATAATATCCTAACAACATTTCCGATTAAAAATCGGAAGAAGATTTTTATACGTTTTTCTCTTTCATTATTCACTTAAATTTGAAATGCTTTCAGAATATAATACTTGTAATCAATATATACAATACTACATAAATATGAATGTACATTTACTATTGCTTTTTTGTACCAATCTGTAGTCAAGTAATTGACAGAAAACACAGCCAAAAGAATTGCCTTTTTTGGTAATTATTTGCCATTTGAGCCGCTGCAATGGATCAATCCTCAGTTTGAGCCTCGCCAATGGATCAATCTCTAGTGTGAGCCTCTGTATTGAGTCAACCTCTAGTTTGAGCCCCTGTAAAGAATTAATCTTTAGCTTGAACCTTTGTAAAGAATCATTATCTAGTTTGAGACCTTGAAACAAAGACGCGGTGAAATAAGTCTTATGTATCGCTCTAATACAGCCTATGATATGAATTTACGATACCATTCAGGGAAATTATGTAGATCATGTTGTAAAGTTGGGCAATGTGCGTACATTGCCAACTGCGCTTGGACTTTCCTTTTATTCATGTCTACGTACAATGGCTATTGGACCATTTTTCATGCCTTCATACACAAGCTTTCTATACCAGAAACTTAAATTATCCAAATTTGTCATCCTAGTTAGTTCATGGAAAGGAGACGTTTCCACCTCAGTATCTAGGTGCTTATACTCTGACCAATTGACAAGATGAAGTTCGCCATGCTTATTTTTTAGCAGGTCAGCCCAAGGAACTTGTGAGTATCTCAGGGCCGCTAAATGTATGAAAAATAATCAACAATTAGATGAACTGTAACAGAATCATTAAGAACAAATACACGTACAGGTCATTTGCGTAGCCATCTCACGAATACCCTTGAGGCACTCCGCTTTCAACAGTGATTCCTTGTCATTATCAAAAACAGTAGCAGACGTAGATGCAAGAGCAGAACGAGCAGGAGCATTACCGTTGGGAAGCAAATTCGAAAGAAGTGGCTCCATCTGAGAGGCAGGCAAACCAGGCAGACGTTCAGCTCTATCAGCGTGAACGCCTAAGGCCGAATCTTCCTGGACAGGACTTCCAGCAGTGGGACTTGATGGGACGGATGAGGCCTCAGACGTTGCTAATTGAATTTTAGGGTTTGATATAATCGTTGACCAGCTTCAAGTCAAGTCCACTTACTTTTCATAAACGTCTTTAGCAAACCTAAATCCAGTGGATGTCCTAATACTTTATGCACGGAATCCACATTGTCAGAGGCAATTTCTAAACATTGTTAGCTCTCTCAGAATAACACAGATCATTGAATTACCTACTGGAATTAAAAAAAAATATCACTGGGATACATAAAGTCGTTATCAGTTTCTGTATAATGATATAAGACGGCATGAAAATTGTATTTGTCTCGCATCGCTACGAGGCTGTTAGTGATGGTATTCAAATCATTATGGTAGACTTCGAGTCTTCCTCCGGTAGTAATGGGCTCTGCATCCCTAGCCTTGGTCTTTTCTACGGCTTTCCACTTTAGTTGGTTGACCTTGTCAGGATTGTTTTTCTTGAGCGCCTTCCAGGCTTCCGCATACTTGGCCATCAAGTTTTGTAAATCGTTGGGTTTTCCCTTGCTAGCAGTAGAGGACACCTCACTCGTCTACAGCATCATCTCTTGCTTGAACATGTCATAGCCACTGATTGCTTTTCTTTTCCTGCTGGCAGGAGCAACTTTGATGGTAAAATCAGCCATGTTCTCTTTAACGAGATGGCCGGCGACCAAGCAAGCAATATCACCATTTTGCTCTTGGCGTTGGTCTGAATAATTTCTAACAAGCTTACTGACATTGTCAAATAGTCTTCTAAGATCATCTGTATCTTGTTTGGCTGTTGGTGTGTAGCACATGGTAATTGTTGTGAAAGAGAAGATTCAATCAGACTTTTATTTGAAAAAATACTTTAATGTTGGCAGGTAAGGTAACATTACGGAGTACACTAATTTGTTTTTCGCCAAAGAGATTAAGATACAAAATACGATGACGCTTTGCAGTGCTTGCAGAGGATGGACAATTTTCTTTCATTTGATGCAATTGCATGTAGACAACTCACGCTCAAACCAAGGATGTTGCCATCATCTCTGCTGATGGATATATTTCGAACTTTAAACACAATAGCTGTGTAACTTTGACTCAGGTTTCTACAATGTTGCTCTAGGGATGCCTGCCACTGATGAGCTTGTAGTAAAGTTGGAAGGAGCCTCATCCATTTCAATATTTTAAGAAATACAGCATAATAAGGATAAAATGGCCACCAAACACAAAGCTACTGAAGTAAATAATACTAATGGGCCCTCCATTGAGAAGGAAGCTTTTGTTGCCAACGATGCAAACCAAGCATCAGCATCAGATGTCGAGGAGAGCAACGCAAAACAAGCGTCGGTCTCGATCAAAAAGGTCAAGGAACTTCAAGTCTACGCTCCCAATCGCAACTTTCAGAAACGCAGAAAGCTGTTGATCAAAAAGGCCATGAGTCTGTTGAGAAGAACAAGAAACGACCTATTGATCACGTTCAATTTTTTACTGGAAGATGTAGACGAGCTTATTGCCAACTATCCAACGACCGAACTTGAAGGGAAGCAGGTAGAGACCATGCAAGTGTGTTACGCATTCAGCGTTCATTGTCTCGCTTCCAAAGAGCAAAAATCACTCAACGCAGCAGCATTTCACCATAAGCAATTGATGAAAACCATCAGACCTTATCAACACAGATTCGTTGCCAAGTAAAGGAATAAAACCTACCTTATCGATTATCAACCATCTTCTGCTGTTGTAAAATGTTTTTCAAGTCATGGAATAACGCCAAGGACCACATCTGGGACGCTTGCCTTGTCTCCTTCATGGCTTTTTTCTCTTTAGCTGATCAGCGATGGCTAGCCACTGCCAAGGAGTTCCATCGTTTAGAAAACATGTAATTGTAGAAATAAATCAATTTTGACATCTTGATTTGAATTTTATTCGCATTTACTGCCCATTTTTTTGCATTGCATTGCATTTCGTCACAAGGGTGTGAATAAACAATGGGTGAATGTTGATTTAGAAAATAATTGTTTATTGTTTACAACACCAACTCGACCCAATGTTGATTTGACGATTTCACGCAGTGTCTGTGCATATCTGGTTCCTGACAATGTAAAGGTAAAGTATCTACAAGCACTACCACCACGAGTTAAAAAAAAAACAAAAAACTAGATGCAAAGAATTGAACTTGCGGCTTTAATAAGAATCAAGTTTACTTAGGACGCTCTACCAGTTGTGGCAAAAAATAAATGAGATTTTATGTCGTGCCTAAATTTAGATTTAAGCCAGATTTGAAGAAAACGACTAAAAGGCGCTAGCGTATACTCGAAGGTTCTGGAAACCGATAGCAGGCATTGATCTGATTATCAGTTGCTATATCAAGTACTATATCTACTCGAAAGTCCCATTGATTAAGTAGTTATCGATCGTAGAAATAAAATAAATTTAAGTTGTAAATGCATTCAATAAACAACATCTTTCAACATAATCACTAGGTATTAGTTACACTCTATTTTTTGTTAACTCTACCTATTATATGTATCTCACAAGACGTCAAAAAACAAAGGTGCGCGGTTGGTTAAGTGGTATAATCTTCGCCTGCCACGCGAAGGGCCGGGGTTCGATTCCCCGACCGCGCATTTTTGCCAATTCTACAAAATGTAGTGTGTTTAGACCATTTTTTGATATCTTCCCTTGCTCCAATGCTTAACATTTCTCTATTTAATCATAGCTTCAAAAATGATGCACGCGGCATTATCAAGACGTAACTGTTAGTAGCGTGTCGCTCAATGTGCTCTGAAGTAAAGGGACCATCATCATGCTTTAAATTGCAAATCTAACATGATGTCTAGAATGAATACCGAGTTCGGGCACAAAAAGTAGGCTTTGATTGAACTTAATCGAGTATAATCACATACATTGTATGACAATGTCAAAATACACCATTATATTATATGGCTACTACGAAGGCATTAAGTATGATAAGATGTGTAGATTGGTGTATGTATGACTATCAAGTCTATCCACAATTCATGCGGATCCACCACGAATATGATTAGGCTAACACTTTGTTAGTGGCAATTGAGAAGAATCAACTTTGAACGTGCATACATAGTGCGGTATACTGCTTTATTAGTGGTATGTGAAAATTTACAATAGGAATTGGGTATCCATGCCATGCGTAAAATCGTACATGACAATTTTACCGAGATTTGAGCAGCACACAATTTTGCTAAAATCAAATTGTAGATTCAGGATTCTGTAAAGAAACAAGTTAGCATCCAAATGATTGATTTGGTTAACATGCAATAATCTACCTTCCATGCAACGTCTGGTTTAATGTCCTTGTCACTTTGCCTTCCTCTAAATTCCAGATCTTTAGACTGCCATCATAACTACCACTCACGATAGTCTTGGTCTTTGAGTTCAGCTGTAATGTGCGGACTAGATCTGTATGTCCAAGCAACGTATGGATGCATTCACCAGTGATTGCGTCCCAGACTTTGATGGATTGATCACTTGATCCACTAACAATGTATTGTCCATCGTATTCGACACAAGCGATGCCTCGGCTATGAGAATCGAGGGTTTTCAAACACTCTCCTGTATTCTATGCAATAGGTAAGGTCAGTTTCTAGCAGGTATACATCAAATCAGCTCATACCATGTCCCATATCTTGATGGTACGATCGCCAGATGCTGACACAATACGGTCTCCCTTGAATTGCACCGCATTCACTGCAGCGCGATGGCCTCTAAAGGTCAATTTCGAGATCCCTTTTTCCAAATCCCAAGTACGCACAGTTCTGTCTTTCGAGCAACTGACGATGGTGTTTTCGAGTAGCTTGACGTTGAGAACACTCTCGCCATGGCCAGTTAATGTTTTGATTTTTTCACCAGAAATGATATCCCAAATGATCAAGGTACTGTCACTGCTTCCGCTGATCAAATAGCGATGATCAAATTGCAAGCATAAGACACTGCCTGTATGGCCTTCCAATGTATGTATCAGTTGTCCTGTTTTCATATTCCACATTTTGAGATTCCTATCACGGCTCCCTGTCACCAGAAGATTATTGTCAAATTGCAGACAATAAATGCCGCTATTGTGTTGAACATCTTCAAATAAAAGCATGCCGTTAATATGGTGTGTTGGTGGGAAAGGCCGCATTTTGCATTTTCCATCTTGCCACCTGTGGTCTATCAAACGGCGGTTACGATACAGTCGCTTCCAATTGATAAATCGTAAATCTGATTCTTCATGATAGTGATATATAGCAGCTTCATCGTATTTAGCATGTAGTCGCGGCGAAGGTCGATTAATAAAGGGTCGTTCTACAATAACATGTGAAATGACTTCTCGATTTGTATTAGTGGAGGGTCTAGTTAACAGAGGCTGTGACCTAGATGGATGCACATGGGTTGGTCGTAGTGCCACGCTGCTACTCCCAACGCCATCCTCGATATGTCTGTTGTTTGATCTGTAAGTATTGTTACTGCTGCTTGAAGCATTGTTGCTGCTATTATGCCGTAAAATTTTGTCAAAGAACAGGTCTGTTGAACGTTTGAATGGCTTCAATCTATTTGTTGGAGCACCAGGCATTGTAGGAAGCGCAGCTGGATCATATAAGCTAGCAGTTGTTCTTGCTAATGGTATACTTGAAACTGTTTTCTGTGGCATTATTTGTTGAATTGATTCGTTGGGTGACGGTGTTGCTGTTGATGATAAGTAGCGATCAATAGCAGCCTGATTTGCTGACCATCCAGAAGCATAAAACAAAGATCGCCATAGGGTCTGATCTTCGCATATCTGATTCCAACGCTTGTTTACTCTAGACATACATGTCAATGATGTGAGATCTAGACAATATAGTATCTGTATTGCTATCTCATAAGGCAGTATCTGCGCAAAGGCTCTGAGTAGTGAATCTCATGCTATTTGTGCGAAAACTGAAACTTACTGCTGTGAAATCTCGACGAAGCAAGGGTGCTAATCTATCTACTACTTTTGCTGTCTTTGATAGTGGTATGCATAGCAGTATTTGGTAAGCAAACTCTATAGTTTCATCATTAGATTGTAATCGATTAGCCTTATATTGGCTTGTATCTTGCCTGCTTTACGATCATCGCTCCAATCTTTCATAAACAATGGCTCTTCGAATCGTTGTTCCACATAGCCCTCATCTGTCTGATCGCTCTTTTCTGGCTTCATAATGTTAAATATTGATTCTTTGCGACCAAGAGAAAAGAAGAGTGCGAAATCGATATGTATGTATATATACAAAGCAGCCCGATTTTAGGGAGGACTATCTACAGAAAAGGGATAGAATAACATGGTTCAATCGTTTTATATGTACCAAACACTGTTCTGTGTGACTCTTTAAAGTTTGTCAAACCATTATAGGAGTAAATGAAAGCAATTTTATTAGTGAATGTTGAAACTGTCAATGAATGTATATAGCATCAGGCACTCTAAAAAATTCAAATCAAATCTACCACCCCATGAACTTCTCTCTTAGTTTGTTCCAAAGAGTATTTTCAGCCGATGGATGTTGGTTTGGTATTGTTGGTTGCTGTTGAGGTTTGGGTTGAGATGGCTCTTTGAAAATACTATAGGAAGTGTTGCTGTGTCGCTTGTATAAGTCGGGTGGATTATCTAATTGGGTTTTCTCGACTTCACAGGCACTTTCATCCCAGGCCACGCCTACTAGATAATCTTCGCCAATTTTCTTGCCATTGTCTTGGAGTGCTCTTAATGCAGACTCATGGTTGACATAATGAAAGGTAATCCAATTTCCTTGTCTTGTACAAGGTTCAGCAAGATCGCCTAAACTGGTGAAATGGTTGATAATCTTCTCGGCTTGCTGAGGATTGAATCCAAAAACTCTGACTCGTCTGTTGTACAGTTTGCTATAATCAAAAATCAAATCCCATTAGCCCTTACTATCACATACAAAACTAACAAATTTACCTTTCGGGTGCAGTTGCTGGAATGTTGCTGTTGGTAAGATAGTGCTTCTGGGTCATATTTTCAGCATTGAAACGTTTGGTTCGATAGTCATTGCCAGCGACATTCAGTCTTACATCCCCAAGTGTGTTCAAAGGCAACACATCCCGATCGCTCTGCTTTTTTAAGGTCAAATTGAAGCCTTCTGTGAGTTTCGATGACTGAGAAAATACACCTTGACTTGAAGTTTTGGGAATCACATTGCGTCTATGATTGCTTAGCATACATGCTAAACATCCTATCCACTACCACATAATGCTTACCCATCATTGACATTGTTCTCCTGTTCCAGTACTCTTTTCTTGCTTAGCAGCTTGATTTTGCTTGGATTATTGGCGCCTGTAGACTAATAGCCTTAACAGTTAGTTGTAGTTACGTAAAGGGATGAATCCATTTACCAAGTTGGAGGTATCGGAAGCTGTCAAAAAGCCCGGTAAGATTGTGTTTCTTTCATTCAAGGCAAAGGATGTAATCGACATGTTGACGTTCTGACTACTAGATGAAATAGCATTTCTTGATTTGTTACCAAAGAAGGTATTTGCAGGTACACTAGAACGCGTAATACTATCTTGGCTCACAATGAAATGAGGGATATTGGTATCAGAGAAGCAGTTTTTGATATCGAGTAATTGGGTCTGCTGCTGCTGCTGCTGTTGCTGCTGCTGTTGCTGTTGTTGGCTGTTCATAGAAAATGCAGGGTTCAAAATATTACTAGTATTAGTGTTATAAGCAGTATTCGTGGAGGCGCCAAAAAGAGATGTAGTTGGCTTTGGAGCTGTGCTTCCAAATAAAGATGGTGTTTGTTGTGTTGTAGAAGGTGTAGATGAGAATAAGCTGCTTGTGGTATTTGCAGTGGCAGTGGAAGTTAAAGGAGCACTCGTCGCTGTAGATGTTGGTGCAGCACCTCCTCCTCCAAAGAGACTACCAAATGCTGGAGTTGTTGTGTTGCTACTTGAGCCGCCAAATAAGCTGTTTGTTTGTTGTGCAGCAGGCTGTGGTTGACTGAAGCTATTACCAAACATTCTTCAGTGATTTATGTTGTAAAGAAGGACGGAAGAAAAAGAATAGCAAAGAAAGAGAAGAAAAAAAATTTCACTTATTATGTAGTTTTTTCTACGTCACATTGAATCTTCATCAAGGTAGGGTTTCCCGTCTAGATGGAGAGTTTATTTCAATCGCTTCTTCTCCTCAGAGCTCTTTAATTGACCGCATGCTGCCATGATATCTTGTCCTCTGGGCCTGCGGATCGTGCAGTGAACGCCGCCTTGAACAACAACTTGTGCAAATCTCTCAATGTGCTCCATTTTGGTAGACTCATACCCACTTCCAGGCCAAGGATTAAAAGGTCTATAGTAAGCACGTTTAGTAAAGACATGTAGCACTCCATCAATTTGAGCTTACATTAAGTTGACGTGAGCAGGCAGTTGCTTTAGTAATTTAACCATGGCACGAGCATCAGACAGCGAATCATTGACATGATCCAGCATGACATACTCAAATGTAATCCGTCTACCTCTGTTACCCATGTGAAAGGCATACGTCCTACACGCTTCCAGTACCGTCTCCAGCGGAAACGTCTTGTTCAGAGGCACCAACACATCTCTTAGTGCATTGTTTGTCGCATGCAAGGATATAGCCAGGGATACTCCTAATTCTGTTGCAATCTTTGGGATCAATGGAACTACTCCCGAAGTCGATACTGTGATCTTGGGTTTTGACCAGTTCAAGCCTTGTGGATCCGTCAATATCTTGATTCCTTTGCTCACATTTTTCCAATTGTACAAGGGCTCGCCTTGACCCATAAACACCATATTTGAGATCATCTTTTTTTTGTCGTCTTTGAACGGAAAGTCGCCACTATGAGTAGCGGCAATCATGTATTGTCCCACAACTACCATCACAATGCGTTACCAAATCAATCCAAATGGTCAACATCTTGATAAACAAACCTTCCCCTGATGTCAAACTGCGTTCTAATTTCTGTGTTCCTGTATGACAAAAGCTACACTTCAACGAGCATCCAACTTGCGATGAGACACATAGTGTTGATCTGTTTGCTTCGGGTATAATCACTGTTTCTACAATGGCTCTGGGATCTTGCTTTGTGTTGAATCCAATCAGAAACTTTCTTGTTTTATCGAGTGCAATTTTATCCAACTGACGCTTGGATTAGTAATGCGGTTCGTACGGTTGCTTAAGAGGCAATCTACCTTGACTTCTCCATATTTGATTTCATATTTGTGGTTCAGTTCTTGCTGTAGGTCTTTGGAGATATTAGGCATGTCCTCAAATCGAGTATACCCTTTCTTATACATATGCTGCCAAATCTGCAATGCCGAGTAGTTCTTTGAGTGATTCAACCCTGCTAATTCCTGCTTCAAATCATCGAGCGTCAATCCAATCAAGTTGGTCTTCTTCTGCACTGATATTGGATTAGACGGGATCTTGAAATTGCGGATCGATGCAAATCCTCTAACAGAAAAAGGTCCATGCATTGTACTTTATACTATGGGGATTTTGACAGGGTTCTAATAGAATGAAATACAATTCCAAAAAATATTTTCTCCTCTTTCATTTACTCTGGAAGAACAACACAGATTGATTGGGCTGGAGTCAACAATGAAAAGCAGTGACTTTTAGGATCATCCACTGTGCTGCTCACCCTTAGGAAGTTGTTCCAATGAATTAGCATTGTAGGAATAGAATACTAGATGTAGCATTATTCTGGCCGCTGTATGGTTCAGCTCTTGATCTAGGCTCCTACGTCAAACATTCATTGACGTAAATGTTAGGCATCGTATAATAACCAGACCCTTGTCAGGAACAAAGTTAAGAGATTCTAATGATAAAAGAACAGCTGATCAGATCTTGCTATGTGCATTCATAGACATGAAACAACAGGGTTCACATGTATCAGCGATACGCTGCATTCAAACATCATCTTGAGATTGTACTTTTTTTTTTTAAAAAAGCAAACTATACAATGTCTGAATTACTCTGGTCTATGCGATTCATCAGGATTGTGTTGATGCTGACACACAAACAGCAGTAGAAGAAAACCAATTGTACCTTTGAATAGTAGCACTAGAGCGATAACAATTTTGGGTACTAGTCCTAATCATGGTTGTTAAACTTGGGGCAGGCGAGATTTAGATTTCGCTGCAAAATCGATGTTTCTGAAATAATGTATTCTTGCTTGCTTGCTGGTTTATGAGTCACTAAAAGCAAGAAGCAGTGGTAATCAGAATGATTTTCTAAAGTTCACCATTTGTTAGACATATCAACCGTCAAGATACAGATTCTCATCTATACGTTTTATGCAGATTATTTCCATATATACTATCAAATGTAAGAAAATAGAAGATGTCTCTGCTATTAAATCACGATGGCTGCATTTGCTAGCTCTGTGATCATGCTTTGCTGAGAAATTATGATGATAGACTCATAAACAAATGCCATACATCTTTAATGATGTTACTTGTGCCTGTATGTGATGCACCAAAGCTTCATATCAAATGCGCAGCAGTAGGTCTGTTGACACTATGCTCAAATATTGGATTATCACTATCAGTAGGCACAACCCGCCGTATCTTATATTATAAGTATACATGCACCTACCATTGTAGTAGATGCACTTTGCAATTCTAAAACCGACGATATGTATTTGCAACAAGAACGACAAAATCATTGAGTAAATAGCTAAAAAGTTGGTTTTGAAATATCAAGATACATACATTATGAGGAAGAAAGAGAAGTTTGTAACAGTATTGCAAAGTGGAATGTGTGATTACCATGCATCAAGAGCAGTAAAGGTGTAGTGCCTGCTACTCATGATAATTGGACATGACCGATTAAATTCTAGCACCTGTATGGAATCCATGCTTCTGGATCAAACTATAGTTTACTCATATATACGCCCATTTGCTCATAAAAGGCAGTGTACCATTACTCTCTTGCTACAAGCGTATATCTTACATGAATACAACTCTGCGCCCTTGTTTTTCTCCCATAGTGAATGACATTATCCCCCCCCCCCTTCTCCTTATCTGATAGAGAGAGAAGCTCCCTCTTCTTGCTAATACTCCATTACTACCAGTCTTTCTATATGTTGCCTCCTCTCCTGGCCAACACTAATTTACAGAAACAAAGAGATAATAGCTTAATTGATACTCCTAAAAAACATATTAGAAGATCAGTAGCTCAATTGATTTACCAAGAATAATACCAACAGCCCTAGTATGACAGCATAATCTACTTTTTTATGAACCCCTTGACTCATTTCCTAATTTATAGACATACAAAAGGAGACTACTCATACAATTGAAAATTCAAATCACCAAGGAGGTGTTTGACAATTTGTACAATATTGGTTTGAATACACGCACAAAAGATCTTTATGTATATATAGATAATAAAATGAAACGAAAAAGCATATATTATGTATATATTTTAATAATAATATAAAAAAAGTGTTGTGTGTATCATAATTATGTTGTTTGGTTATTATACTAATGATTTTTTTTGTGTGTGTGTGTGTGTGTGTGTGTGTGTGTGTGTGTGTGTGTGTGTGTGTGTGTGTGTGTGTGTGTGTGTTATAGAGCTTTGGTCATAAAAATAAAGAGGAAAAACAGGAGGAAGAGTGTGTGTGTGTGTGTGGGGGGGGGGGTAGTCGAGATAGCAAGCAAGCAAGCAGTGAGTCATTAAAAAGAAAAGCAATTATTAGAGTGATTTAAATAAAATTTGAAAAAGTACTATTATTGTTATTATTACTAGTAGCATTGAAATGATTATGTTGATGCTGGTGGTGATGATGAAGGTTGTCTGTTGCTGCATTTGTAGCGGATGATGGCGATGATGATGATTCTTCCTGTAGTTTGATATGCTTGGCTGATTTGGATGTAGCAGAGTTGCCATCCTTTGAAGTGTTGCTATGACGGTGGATGCGGATATGCTGATTCAAGTTATCAGATCTGGAGAATCTTTTATTGCAGCTTTGATATGGGCATTCGAATGCTGTGCATGCAGAGACGTTAGAATTCGCTTCATGCTAGTTTATAAAGACTACTTACGTTTTTCCAATGTATGAATGGATCGGATATGTCTCTTGAGGTGTTCTGATCGCTTGAATACTTTACCGCAACCATCCGCATTGCATGTAAACATACGAGTACCACAGCCAGGAACATTTGAGACACGACGACCTCGAGAACGAGGTGTTTTCTTGGGCTTCGTGTTTGTCTCAGGATTATGGTTATTATTAGCACTTGATTTTTGATCTTGTTGGCCAGCATAGTTATCTTTTACAAAAAGAGGAGGAGAGACCGGTGTCATTGGACGAGATTGGCTATGTTTGTTCATGATGGTAGCTGAAGTGGGAGTAGGCGTAGAGCACAAACTGCTGATAGGAAACCCTGGGTGCTGTGGCGGAATCATTGAGTTGTTACGATGATGATTGAAAACATTAGTATTTTGATCAAAGTTCTTATGATGAGGATCATAATACTGGATGGGCTGATGATGCGCAGTTCGATGATCCATCAGCATATGGGGATGAGGTTGTTGTGGATGATGATACATGCCAGCATGATGCTGATTGATGGCCTTAGTCTGCAAGTCAACGTAGACAGGGTCAATAAAGTTGGAAACGGATGCAGGGCTTACAACAGACGAAGAATTTGGAGGTGTTTCTTGCTGTGTGTAGTCATCACTATCATTTGAGGGCGATGAGTTTGTAATTGTTGGAAGGTAGCATTGATCAGGGTCTGAGAGCATGCTCGTGTAACTAAATCTTCTTTGATGAGGATTTTGCTGGTGCTGCTGTTGCTGTTTCTTGATGAACTGACTATAGTCATAGGGGTAGCTATTTTGATGATGTTTCTGCTGCTGCTGCTGCTGCTGTTGTTGTTGTTGTTGTTGCTGTTGCGAGATGGAATTGGGGTTTACAAACCTCATGTTTTGCCCTTCATGAGACAATGGATCTTGGTATGATTGTTGCACGCAAGAAGAAGACATTTAGGAGAAACCAGAGATAAAAGGACTGAATGAATTGAGATGAGAAGAGAGAAAGAAAAACGAAATGAGAAACCCAATTTTGAAGCTTTTTATGTTATAATTTCTGATTTTAAGGGACAACCAACGAAAAGAGAGTGCAACATAGAAAATAAGGATTCAAGTGCTTTCTCTTTCAATACTTCAATGCTTTGTTTAGTCCTCTTTCTATTTTAAGTGAACAAACTCGATTAAAAGACCATTGGGTTTATTAGACAACATTATATTTTTAAAAAGGAGGTCCAATTTAGAATGAATGCAGTAGTTTTATGCAAACCAAACAAGGGAATCGAGACTAAACGTCAATTTCATGAAAACACGAGTTCAAGGATTATAAACTGTTTGATAAAGGGGGGTTCGTTGTAGCCAAAATACACTCTTTTACCCCTTGTTTCTCTTGATCTGCCTAATTTGCGATGCAATAATATTGCCATAGCGATGGATGAAGGCTCGACAATTGAATGCCAGTTGAACATGCTTTTTTCGATTTCGATTTAGCTCATGATCTCGCCTTCGCCATTGGATAGCACAGAGTTCAATTTGGTAACTGATTGTTCTCGAATGATTATTACAAAGCATACAAAGTCCTGTTTAATCGAATGAGTCTAATGAGCCTCTTTCTTTCACTCAAAAGATTTTTCTCTACTTAATTTTTTTTCCGAATTTTTTTTTAACCTTGTAAATATCATAATTTAACCTACATTTTCCATACAAATCACCTGTAACAGACGCAATATACAACCCAAAGGTATATCTAACGGTCCCTTCCTCATTTTTCCAAGCATTGAAATGAAAGAATTACATTAGGCATCATGAGATATAATTATTACAATATTAACTTGTCTGGTGAAGAAGATGAATCCTCAAGACTGCAACAGTTATCTGATTTTTTGCAACATTACAAACTATCGCAGTATTTGCATATATTCATCTCGGAAGGCTTCGATAGATTATTATCTGTAAGTTCGAAATGCCCCTACAATAACGCAGTATTGTTGCTAATTCAGTATTTTTAAAGCTATTGGACATCACAGAATCAGATCTCATTTCTCTAAATGTTAAAAGAGGGCATAGACGAGTAGGTATTGTGTGACAATTTTGATAGATATAAAGAGAGGCAGCGGCTTGTTGAATTAAAGTAGGTATTCACCATCATCTGTATAGTTACTGCAAAGAGCCATTGCCACAGCAAGAGGAGTTCCTCTTTCAACACCAATAGTGATCAGTTATGGATATGATGAACCTGGTAAATCTTGCTCCTGTAAGGGAAGAATGCTGGTCATGGTGGGCTAACCTCCTTTCTTAACCTAATATAGATGTATCCTATATGCCAAAGCCAGGAACAACAACGACTGCAACAACAACAACGGCAGCAGCTCCAAAAGTTGCTTTTCTTGACGACGATATATATCTAAACGAAGGTGATTACGCCTATTATCGTCGAAGCCTTCATCGCAAACGAAAGCAATATGTTCCTTCAAAGCCAGTGACTGCATTCGATGAGTTGATTAACGAAGTGCAATCTCAAAATAGCAGCATGGCCTTAGCAGATATAACAGAACTGGCCTATGAAAAATGGAACAAATTCACTGGTACCGAAAAGGAAAAATACGAGCGTGAGGCTCTGCACGCCAATGCAGACTATGTGATGGATTGAGTCGTCCTACTAATTAACAACCAGTAAGAGCAATGACGAAAATGGTTATGATGATAATGATGGAGTGTGAGTACCGCTAAAGCTTTGGAAGGCTCTTGACTTAACTGTGATGCATGGAAAACTAAAAATCAAGTTAGATCAGTATCGAGAATTCATTTTCGTAACTTTCCGAGCAGATGGATATGACGGAAGAAATGTAAAATTGAAAATCGTACACATATATTTATATTCAACGAAGGCTAGGCTAAATGATCTATGCACCTAAACATCATTACCAATGGCAGACACACACACACACACACACACATGGTAGGGTGTTATGCTGGCAATGCCATGCTGGTATTCTGCAAAAGGCTGCTTTCTCTTCTCTAAATTCGTGCAAATACAAATATCGCAAAATTTGATAGTCTATACCCACTAATTAGCTCATCCAACTGTGATGTATACATTTGAAATTTATCTTATCGCATCTCTTATTAAAATTATTTATATTTATAAGCCATGTGTTTGGTTTCTCAAGTGTATCAAATGTCAAGCGACCTTGAGGTCATAATGTTATGCTGTCAATTACTTTTTCAATCCTTTCATTTGCCTCAAATACTCTAGAAATTCCTTGAACGTCTTGTTTTGTCAGGAAGAGTTGATTGCATATTGTAATTTATTCTATCTTAAACCGCTTTGCTAATCTTCATCGAGCTAACATCTCACACAAATACTGCATTTGATAACTTTGCACCATTAAGTAAGAATTATTCAATAATCAGGGTTTGAAACTTTGGATCTGTCCTTTTTGGGATGATCTATTTCTATATCAATGGAAATAGCCAATATACGAGTAGACAGCATACTTACATTACCTCTTTCTACTCAAAAATATGCAAAATTTGGATGCATTTAAGCCGTGATTTTTCGTATTAGAAGCCATTTTTGGCCGTCGGAATATTACCAAACAATTGCTCTCATCTAGTACTTACTTTCTGTCACTGCTCAATTTTTTTGGACAAAGAAATCACCACCAAAAAGCATGAGAGGTACCTCATGCTTTTTGGTCGATCTTTGTCTATATTTTTTTTGGTCCCCAAAAAATTGGGCAAAGCGGTAAGGAAGTAAGTGCTAGATGAGAGCAATTGTTTGTTGCTATTCTGACGATCTAAAACTGCCTTGAACGCGAGAAAACGCGGCTTAAATGCACTCATATTTTGCTGTATTAGGCACACTCTTGACTAAAAAGGAATAATATCTGTATGATACTTGCCCGTATATGAAGTAGCTACGCGTATATGGATGTAGAGCATCACATAAGAATCAGATCCACAGAAAATATGAAGGGTTTTCATGTGTAATTAGAGGGTCAACATGAACGTAATAGTATTATGATAAGATATGCAAGGGCAATCGGTAGCGCGAGCTGCCGCTGTGCAGGCTGGTTCTCACTGAAGCGAAGCGAAGGTAGAGAACCACTTGAAGCATAAACACTCATATGGTTAGTGATTATATATCAATCAACAATCAGGGCTCTTCTAACATTTTAGCTATATAAATTTTGCGATATTAGCCAAAGGCCCGCGGCAGCGCGAGCCGTTTGAACGTAGGTTGGTTTCCACCGAAGCGAAACGTAGGTCAGGAAACCACCCAAAGTGTCGAAAGGCTCGTAATACATAAAATCAAATCCGAAGGATTGCCTCTCAAAGTGAATTCCAATGCGAAATGCAAATCCGTCACCCTATTACCACTTTCACTTTGAAATTGCGTTTGGGGAGCTAATTTCGAAATGGAATTCGGCACAAAAGATTCAGAAACTGTACAAAGACTATTTGGAGATGAAAATCTATATATTTATATTTATTATTACAAAGAAAAGCAGCTTTTCTAAGCTACTAGAATTTTTTTTATCGTAAAATTAAAATGAAACAAAAATTTACACGTTTTTGACAGTGGGGGGAAAAATAAGAAAATACTATGCAATTTAATCAACCTCCTCCATCTTGGAAACCTCAGCGTTATCATCAGCAGCGGCTTCAGCAGCTGGCTCATCAGCGGTAGGAAGCTCGTCTTCGTCAATAGAGAGACCGAGAGAGACCATACGGTTGATACGGGTAGCGAAAGAGCTAGGATCATCAAGAGTGAAACCAGAGGTCAACAAAGAGGTCTCGTACAACAAAGTAACAAGATCCTTAGCAGTGCGGTCGTTGGCATCAGCAGAAACCTTAGACTTAAGGGCCTTGATGATGGGGTGATCAGGGTTCAACTCCAAAGTCTTCTTAGAAGCCATGTAACTGGACATGGAAGAATCACGGAGAGCTTGAGCCTTCATGATACGTTCCATGTTGGCGGACCAACCGAATTGACCAGTGGTCAAAACACAAGGGGAATCAGTCAACATGGAAGAGAGAACAACCTTCTCGACCTTCTCACCGAGGATATCCTTGACGGTCTTACAGAGACCTTCATATTCAGCCTTCTCAGCTTCACGAGCCTTCTTCTCCTCCTCATCTTCTTCGAGTTCAAGACCATCCTTGGTAATACAGACCAACTTCTTATCCTCGTATTCCTTGAGTTGAGTAGTGGCATATTCATCAATGGGGTCAGTCATCAAGAGGACCTCAATACCCTTCTTCTTGAAACCTTCGAGGAAAGGAGAGTTCTCAACAGCAGCGCGAGATTCACCAGTGATGTAGTAAATGTTCTTTTGCTTCTCGGGCATACGGGTAACGTAATCCTTGAAAGAGGTCATCTCATCACCAGACTTGGTAGAGTGGTAACGCAACAACTCAGCGAGCTTGTTACGGTTTTGAGTATCTTCGTGAATACCGAGCTTGATGTTCTTGCTGAAAGCTTCATAGAACTTGTCAAAGTTTTCCTTGTCCTCAGAGATTTCTTGGAACATTTCAAGACACTTCTTGACCAAGTTCTTACGGATAACCTTCAAGATCTTGTTTTGTTGGAGCATTTCACGAGAAATGTTAAGAGGGAGATCTTCAGAATCGACAACACCCTTGATGAAGCTGAGCCATTCAGGCATCAAATCCTCACAGTCATCCATGATGAAGACACGACGGACGTAGAGCTTGATGTTGTTTCTCTTCTTCTTGGTCTCGAACATATCGAAAGGAGCACGCTTGGGAACGTAAAGAATGGCACGGAATTCGAGTTGACCTTCAACAGAGAAATGCTTGACGGCCAAATGATCCTCCCAATCGTTGGAGAGAGCCTTGTAGAATTCAGAGTATTCCTCGTTCTTGACATCCTCAGGGTTACGGGTCCAGAGAGGCTTGGTCTTGTTGAGTTCCTCGTTCTCAACAACGGTTTCCTTGATGGTCTTCTTCTTCTTCTCATCCTTCTTGTCATCTTCATCAGTAACCTCCTCAATCTTGGCACCTTCCTCAGCGACAATCTCTTCCTCATCATCAGAGACCTCCTTTTCAACTTCCTTCTCAACAACGAGTTGGATAGGGTAAGAGATGAATTCAGAGTGCTTCTTGACGATATCCTTGATCTTCTTCTCGTCGAGGTATTCGAGCTAGAAAATAAAAAAAAGTAGGATTAGGAACCCAATGCCAACACTCTCCAATGCCATAAAATAAACCTACTTGATCCTCCTTCATGAAGAGACGCATTTCAGTACCACGACCAATGGAAGGGTTGACTTCATCACGGGTGATAGTGAAAGAACCACCGGCAGCAGACTCCCAAATGTATTGCTCGTCATCGTTGTGCTTGGTGATGACTTGGACCTTGTCAGCAACAAGGTAAGCAGAGTAGAAACCGACACCGAATTGACCAATCATGGAGATATCAGCACCAGAGGAGAGGGCTTCCATGAAAGCCTTGGTTCCAGACTTGGCAATTGTACCCAAGTTGTTGACCAAATCAGCCTTGGTCATACCGATACCAGTATCACGGATAGACAAAATGTTGTTTTCCTTGTCAGGGGTGATACGGATATAGAGATCCTTCTCAGCATCGAGAACGGAGGGATCAGTCAAGGATTGATAACGAACCTTGTCCAAAGCATCAGAAGAGTTGGAGATCAATTCACGCAAGAAAATTTCCTGATCAAAGAGACATGTCAGTCGTCGCGTGTCATTGCAGGCACGAAAACCCCCTTATAGTTACCTTGTTAGAATAGAAGGTGTTGATGATCAAACTCATCAACTGAGAAATCTCAGCTTGGAAAGAAAAGGTCTCGGTTTCGGCAGACATTTTATATAAATTTACAATAAAGAGAACAGAAGCGTGGCTATCAGGGCTTTCCTTTTGGCTTTTATATGAGATTTGGTTTATTTTCAGAATGGAAGGATATAGAATTTCAAAAAGTTTTCACTAGTCACATTTCTTTCTCGCAAATTCGATGTGATGCTTCCCAATCAATTCAATTTGACAGGTGAAGCAGGTGGTGGTGTAGCGTAACTTGAGCTATACCAAATCGCGCCATTGTCGCAGTCTCCAGTGTATTTTTCAAACAGATCTTGCACAAATGTCTCTCTGATAAAGCAATCAAGCACATCGGGTATCGTCAAGCTGTAATCTCTCCAGAAGCTAGCCCCTGGTGCGTTGCCATGTCTACCAATGGCATGTAATACGAAATCGGGCGATCTATGAGTGTGGCTAAAAGAATATTTATAATTGGATCTAACATTTCAATCAAGTCAATCGCTCAATTACCCAAATATTTGACCAAGGCCATACTTGTGTTTCTCAATCAGCTCGATTACATTGGCATCTTTGACAATCAGGATGGAATCTGCTTCGTAGGCTAGCTTATCCTCGAAATACATGACAATCTTTCTGTCGTATTGCATGTACTCACTATTTGGCACAGTATCGTTTTTCAGAATCTTGACATGGCTAGGCACATTGTAATATGCAGACATGATTCTCTGCAAATTACCTGCTGCTTGTAGCAGCATTCGCTCTAGTGGTGAAAATGAATCAGGCAACCTCAAAAACACATTTTTCGAGGATACTGTGGGAAAATAACGAACAAATCAGAAAGAATCATAGTCAAATGAATGAGATACAGTACATTCTTCAGTGAATTGAAAGGGTATTCTGCTGTAGTGCTCAGTATTTGATGGTTCAGGTAATCGCCCAGTTGCCATGGTAACGTGTCTGTGTGTATTGGAGATAAAGAGAATACAAAAAAAAAGATAAAAGAACAAGGTCTATTATATGTATGCGAGATAAAGAGGCCCTTGTCATATTTTTTTTTTCCTTCCATCCAAGTTTAGGGTTGTGTATTTATTCCAAAATTAGATTGCTTGATTTTTTATTTGTTACAAAATGATAAACATCATTTTAGTTATTATTGAATAAGGCTAATTGATATTATAATTCAGCCACTGCTCTGGTTGCTCTGCAAAAATGATATTAGGATTGCCAGCTCCATACATGTAACTGACAAAATCAGTATTTACTTGGATGTTATTGTTAGGCGTACGCAAGAGATCGGATGATGAGGCGGAGGAGCTGCTATCCAAACTATCAAATAATTTGCCATATTCATTACTGTAATCTGCAGGTATGACGGTCTGATCCAGCAAGTAAGGAGTATCTTGTTGTTGTTGTTGTTGTTGTTGTTGTTGCTGCATTGCTTGCTGCATTGTTTGTTGATATCCTGATGATTGATGACCCAAGGCTGGATGAGACAGGGAAATAGGTGATTGAAAGTAGTCCAATGAAGGTGTTTCCAGCATTTGAGAAGAAGGTGTAGAATTGCTCAACAAGGTAAACATGGCTGGATCAGTTTCAAAGCTAAAGGAGATGGGTTCAGCAGCATTGATGTCCATGTAGCCATTATGTAGTAAGGCAGGATCAACATACATGGTGGCACTATTTGTATCAAGATTCAAGCCGTCTTCTCCCAGGGATACAGAAGCATAGTTGACAGTAGGCTGAAAATAGAGGGACGATGCACCTTCATTCAAATCTGGGCCTGCATAAGCTAATAATCCTTGCAGTGGCTGATGCTGTTGCTCTTGCTGATAGGAATGCTCTCTCTCAACTCTGCAATAGAATCGGGGTGATGGCATGTAGTCTAGGTCTTTGGCATCTTCTTGAGTGGCACTCTTGTCAGCCTCCTTGGTTTTGGTGACAGCAGGCTTCTTGTTCTTTTTAGGCTTGGGACGGAAAGTATATCCAGGATGTCTGTGCATAAAAAGATTAGTCAGTAGCGTGTATTCGGTCAGTTTCATGTATCTTATAGCTACTTTTCTAAATGATCTTTCTTTGCCTTGTCTGCAATGACTCTATAGACATCTTTTTCCTTCTCATCAATAGCCCTCCACCATTTAGCAATGATCTTGGAGATAACGCGGTGGTTTGCTGTAGGACAAAACTGTCTGATATCAGATTGAACTTTAGATCTGTAAGCCATGAAGCTGTTGATAGGTCGTCCAATGTGGCCAGGCACAGCCTTGCGGACTCTGGGTTTTCTAATACGGCCCCTGGGTGTTTTGGCGCACTGTTCACCGAGATCAAGGACATCTTTTTGTTGATCTGGCGTAAAGCATTTGCTGATATTCTCTAATTCTTGTTTTGTGAAGTATTTGTTGAAAGCATGGTCCTGCATGATTATTTTAAACGAATGTAATGGGAGTATGAAATGAAAGGAAGGGGGGGGGGGGAGGGAGAGAAGGGCTATTATGATCAAATCCCAATGATTGAAAAAGTGCATTTGTTTATATACAAATTTTCGTTTGATTGTGTCTTTATTGAATGCAATAATAACAATCCACCCAATTAATGATATTGGCCAAAACAAAGACCTTTATCATGAAACAATGAATTACACATACACCGTCTCTCCAATTTCACTCAATACAAAGACGCACAGGGCAATATGATGTTGGCTGAACTTTTGACTCTTTATTAACGGAAAGATAACATCCAGTCAAGTGTGAAGAGGCCTCAAAGATGGTAGCTACCTTAAATTTAAGCCTTGACAGCATACTTGCGAAGAGGGAAGTGAGCCAACTTCTTTTGCTCACGAACAGTCTTCTTGGACTTCTCGAAAGGAGTCAAAGCTCTACGCATGGCACGGGTCTTCTTGACACGGAGATCAAGAGGAGTGAAACGCTTCTTTTGATAGAAAAGACGGAGTTGTTCACGTTGGGTTTGGTTGATAACGGTCAAAACACGGGCAACATTCTTACGGGCTTCACCACTAACACTTGCATGAGCACAGAATCCCTTTTTCTTCTCCAAACATGTACACTATAGCACCAAATCTACTTACATTTCTTGAGATCTACCACCAGCAACCTTTTGGACACGGATGTTGGCAAGTTGTTGCTTTTGTTCGTCGAGAATCTTGACAAGCTCGGCCTTGTTCTTGTTGCGGAGTTCGTGTGCTTTGACGGCAGCCTACATGAAGAGAACGAAATGTATGAATAAACGAATCTACAATGAGTCCATCATACTCTCATGTTGTCCACCAATGTAAACGTATCGAAATAAGGTTGAGTTTCTCATTGAAAAATACTGTGTCATGGCTCGTATTTTGCATTTCGTTTTGAGATTGCGATGTGCGATGTTTACCAGTCAAATGTCAAAATTGATTGATTCCATATTCCAGATTTTCAATTCATGTCGACTTCGATACGTTTCATTGATGGATTGCACTGATATGATGAAAGATGGATGTTGGGTTTTTACCATTGTAATGATGCTTCAAGAGTAAGAGGAAGTTCATCCTAGGCATTGGGCTGTATAGTTCTTTTGTTACCCCGAATTTTGAATTGACATTGTAAGGTCGGCGAGCTGAAAAACATTTCTGTAATCCGGAACCTTGGTGGCTAGCCTTCGAACCGGACATTTACCTCTGAGCTTTAGGTGGGATCAAACAACATCTGCATAGTTGCCAGATCGTGAAAATGTCCTACAATTCTAGAAGTCTTTTCAATACGGAGCAGCTATTATGAATAGTCATCAGCACATGTAGATCAAATGAATAGCTTCACTGCTACCTTGTTTCACGGATCATTATTTAGCTCAGCACTAAATGCTGACAATGACCCAAATTCAGCCTATGAATAGTCAAGTACAATGCAACATCTCACAGCCATTGTTCAAAGGTAAATCTGAGTCGATTTCACATATGCTCATCATGTTACTCGTGTGATAGGATGATGGTGAAACATGTCAATGGCCTGCAATTCACCCTCGCATCGCATTGCTCGCTTGTGACGTGAATTAAGGTTGATTCTTGGAGTATTGTGCATGTAATCCAACTTTACTACTACATTTATACAAACACCCCTAATCCCACTAGTGTTGGGCCCAAGTTTCAACGTCCGGATGAAATGCCAAAATAGAAATCAATCAATGTAAACCAGTTGAACCTTCTCTTTGAACCTATAAACGAAATGGTAAGCAAACATCCATCCATCCATCTATGCATCGATCCATCATCTAACATGTTAAACCCATAGGCTAAGCGCACTAAGAAGGTCGGAATCACTGGTAAATACGGTACCCGTTATGGTGCCTCTCTCAGAAAGACCGTGAAGAAGATGGAAATCACCCAACATTCCACCTACACCTGTACCTTCTGTGGTAAGGACGCTGTCAAGCGTACTGCCGTTGGTATCTGGAAGTGTAAGGGTTGTAAGAAGACCATGGCTGGTGGTGCATACACTGTCTCGTAAGTTGAATGGGAAATGTTGGGTTTTGTACAGTATAGTTAATCTTTGTTTACCATGTAATAGCACTACCGCTGCTGCCACCGTCCGTTCCACCGTTCGTCGTCTCCGTGAGCTCGCTGAGATCTAAGGAAAATGCATCATCCATATCACTTTTTCATATATTTAGATATCAATAAAATCCAACTCACACTCGCACACGTTAAAAAACAGAGTCAATTGAATGTTTATGTGTTTGAAAGCAACTTTATACATGGATATTCGGGTGGTATTAGTCTTCGTCATCGCTAAAGGTGTTAAAGAGCGATGCAAATGCTACTTCATCATCCTTTTCCACAGTGGATGCCGCAACAGAAGGCGTTGTGGGTTCTGATCTGCCCTGTAAGCCGTCTCTTAAAGCCTTCTCGGTAGCTGGAAATCCAACTCGTCTACTCATGTCAGCTGCCGTTTGGACAAAGAAGTTGGAAGTGTTTGGTGTCAATAGGATTTTGCACATTTCTGTATACCCATGATTAGCTGCATATAATAGCGGTAAATTGGTGGTATTTGCTGGGTTATTCAGCATGTAGCATGGATCAGCTTTTGCATCGTTGATCAGAAACTGGACAATATCGATTTTCCTCTGTTGAACTGCTAGATACAATGGTGTTTCCTCAAGGAGGTTGAAAACATTCACATCGCATTTACACTCGACAAGCTTCTTGACAATTTCAAGTCGATTCCAAGTAACAGCGTGGTGCAGTACGGTCGCAAATCGAGTTTTGCCATTCACATTTGCACCTCCATCTATTAGCGCTAGTGCTACGTCGATGTATCCAAAACTGATAGCAACTGCCAATGGTGATAGTCCTCGTTGGTTGAGGCTGTCTACGGGTACTCCTTTCGAGATGAGCAGAGGAATTGCTACAGTAAAGTTGTTGGTGGCAGCCAGGTGAAGCAATGTGTTGCCTTGTTCATCGGTCACGGATGTATCGGCTCCTTGTCCTCCATTCTCAATCAGCAATTCAACGCATGGCAAAGAGCAAGAGAATATAGCGTTTGTTAGCGGTGTATGGCCCAGTGAGTCCTTGACATCAAGCAGAGACCCATTTTCAATCAAAAGCTCCACTGCGTCAAAGAGGCCTTTCGAGCATGCAGCGTGTAAGGCCAATTCATGATGGGGTCCATTTAACTGGTTCACATCCATGTTTGGCTGCAACAGCAAGATACGCAGCGCCTCTGCACTCTTATTGTATGCTGCTAAATAGAGCAAACTGTACCCATCGCTGTTTAATATGTCGACCCTGTTGTCTCTTGATTTTATGTATTGATAGAGAGCTTTGATATCGAGTTTTTCCAGGTTGATAGAATCCCAAATGTCGTGTTGATCATCGCCATGTGAAACCTTTTGCTTTTTGTTTGCTGAATTCGAGTCTTCTGATATAGATCTCAAGTCGCTACCGTTCATTATACTAATCCTGTTGTGTTTTAGGGAGAAAGAGAAACCTTAAAAAATGCTAATGATTCTTATTTATCAATTTCTTTGAATCAGGTCCGAACGCCAATTGGCTGGTGCATATCTTGGCAACTGTGGTTGCACGTACATTATACAACTAAAAACTTCTTTATGCCACAAAATTATGCATTTACTAGCCGTTTCTTCTCGCTGATGCTCAGTAAAATCTTGTCAATGTTATTTAATCATCTCATCAATTTATGAAGAAGATAGCATCAATTTTGCCATCCAAACCCACCACTTGAAAGCCCGCTTAACCTCTGCTCCAGATTGGACAAATTTTGTTTCAAATTCGACTTCTTCGATCTATTATGCAAGATTCGACTATGTAAGTAGTGATGATCACCCCATACTTTCTAATGCATTTTAGGAGTACTTTTTACGACGCATCCAACGATGCTAATTATAGCTGCTGCTTTGACTCAATCTATTGAGCAATGCTTGAAAATATGAAATTAGGTTTTAGGCCAAAAAGTCAAAATTTTACATATAAAGGTTCCACAAACAAAGTTTCAGGCGCTGCTTTGGATCAAGAGAAACATTTTGACTCAATACATGCAATAGTAAAAGCCTTCATTTTTGGGGTCAAAAACGCTATCGTTTGATTTTTGATAAAAACCATGAGGTACCCCTCATGCTTTTTGGTCGATTTTGATTGATGTTTTTTCGGTCCAAAAAAAGCTGGGCAAAGGTGTCAGAAAGTAAGTGCTAGACGAGAGCAACTGTTTGGTGGTATTCCGATGGCCTAAAATGCCTTCAAACACGAGAAACCGTGGCTTAAATGCATCCGAATTTCGCTGTGTTTTTCATATTTTTAAGTAGAAAGAGGTATTGCAAGTATGCTGTTTACTCGTATATGGACTTTTCTCATCGGCATTGATGTAGATCATTCTAAAAGAGCTATACTCAGAGTTACAATTTGTTAGCGGAAGGCTCTCACAAAACACACAAGGTTAAAAAGTCAGATTCTAGCATAGATTAGTAGGGCAACAGCTCCACCACTAATTGATATGATACCCACAGCACTTTATTTAAACCAATTACACATGGCCCATCACTACTGTGAATCTCAAAGTCGGTCCACTATTACTGGTCGACATCGTACTCTTCCCAGAGGTGTTCTTTTTCGCGTTACAGCTGTTCAGTGCTGTTTTTAACGTTCTTAAATCGTAGGTGCTTTGCAAATATTGCAGTTGATTTGAAGTGTGTGGTGTGTATGTTAGTGGAGGCGGAGACGAGGTAGCAGAGGAAGACGTCGCTGTATCTGCCTCATTGACATTGTTGTTGTTGCTGCCGCTGGCAGTAGCCTGCTCATTGACACTGTTGGCGCTTGTTGCAGTGCCTACATGAACAGTGCTCGAATCTTCATCAGCACATAGTGTAGTGCTTCTCCATCCCTGAATAACGAAAGCACGTGTGAGTACAGGTATTTGAATATCATCCAATTTTTTTACACTTACCCAACTCTGTAGTACTGAAAAGTTGTCAGGGCTGCTTTGGAATAGCGTCAATGCATGCTTCGGTCCTCTTGTAGGACAGTATATCTTGAACCAGGTCTTGACCACTTTTCGCTTGTCCGAATAACGTGAAAAAGACCATGCTTGTTGATTAAGATGACCAGATGGGGAAGGTGATGTTGGCGATGTAGGGTTAGTGCTGGTATAGGTCTCATGGTGTTGCTGTGGTTGCGGTGGCTGCTGTTCCTCAGCAGTGGATGATGCTGGCGAGCTATTGTAGTTTTGAGACACGGATTGACGGTGCAAATAGACTCCTAATTGTAGCACGCCTTTACGCTGGGATCTCGTTTTCTGAATATACATGTTCCAATTGGATCTATGTTTCCATGTTGAGCGTCATTTGATTGCTGCTTATGATGCTTTACTTACCCTGCGTAAAACACTGTGTCAGAGTAGACTCGCATGCCATGTTTCAGGGATGTCACATCTGCAAATTCAACGCTGAAACGGAATGGAGGGTATATAGAGTATTGTTCAATTGCTATTATAGGTGGTGAAGGCGAAGAGAAGCGTTTTTTTGCGTAGTTTGTGGTGGATGCCGATGACGCTAATGTGATGGCAGACTCGCCCGTGTAGGTTGTTGTATCGTCTGTTGGGATAGGATAGTATTTTCTCAGTGGTTCCTCCTCCTGGTCTTGTTCCCTGTCATCTTGGTCAACATCTGCACGATTTTCATCATCATCATCAAGGCGGTTGGCAACTTTAGCATTCTGTCTTTGCTTATCCATGTTTGACACGACGGTCATGTTGAGGTTGATGTCTCGCTCTGAAGCTGACTCTATTTTGGACCTTAATTGAATCTGCTGCCACAATGCTTCTTTCAAAATTCTCTCAGGTACCAGCTTCTGCTTTGTCAGGGGGTGTATGTCATTCTGTATGGATTCCAGCTGCTCAAACGTCATGTGCATGTAGTAGATGGATTGAGAGATGATGTAGCAGTTGCTGTTTGTGTCTAATTCAGTCAGTACAAACGATGTTGATTTCGAGTTGGAGTAGATGTTGTAGCGCGCACGGATGATTTGCTGAATAAACTGATAGCGTTCGTATTCACTAAAGGACGATAGACGAAAAAAGTTGATGGCAAGCTGTACATACGCAACCCTGAATGATGGACGCTTACCTTGGCACCCAAAAGGCATCACTCTCAATCACTTTCTGTAGCCATTCCAATGGCAGCGATGCCAAAATCGATCGATCCATATGATAAGCTTCTCGGCATAAAAAAGTAAACACAGCATCGCAGATACGGTCGCTCCCTTGTACCATCAGCTCGTTTGTAAACAGCAGATAATCGACAACATTTTGATGATTGAGGTTCTTTAGGATAAAGTCTACGCAAATGCCACACACGTCTAGCTGAAAATAAGAGCTTGTTGCTAGTATCTGCCTCACATTGGATTGAGTGATCAAGGGTTCGTCAATCTTTCCATACAGATATTCTAATACAAACTGAAATGACTCCATTGTGATAAACGGATTGTCCTTGTCGAAATGCAATGTGATTTGGCTGGACTCGGCTTCTCGGAATCCGCCTTGCAGCAGCAACTTGAAATATGGATTTTGGTCCAACACCAGCCGATGCAACTGATATGTCTTGTTCCATGAAGGCACAAACACCTGAATATCGCTTCCAATGCCATCAACCAGGCCGCGTGTAAAAATATGTCGACAAAGCATCAACGAGTGGAGTCTCCAGTCATACTTTGAATTACTAGCCATATTGGCCATGTTGGATGGAGACGACATGGTAGCCATTGAAGTGCTGTAATTGGTGGATTTCGCTTCCATGGAGGAGCTGGGGGAAGGACTTTGATCTGAATAAGGTGTGCTGATGGTGAGCCAAGGATGGTCTGTAACTTTTGCAGTCAAACGTGTATCTCTGATAGCAGAAGAGCTTGTTCTAGAAGAATTCATGTTGCTATTGTTGCGTCTATCAGAATGGTTGATGTCCTCCATAATGCCAAAAAGAAATGAAAAATGAAAAAAAAGGAAAATATGTAAAACTGGAAAAGGGGAGGGGGGGGGAGAGAGAGAGAGAGAGAGTCAACAAGATATCTTGTTTGAACGTACAAGAGGCTACTCTTATATAGTTGCAACGAATGAGCGCACGTGATATACTAGAGACAAGATCATTTTATAAGCATATTAAAAACCGATAGAGAATGAAAGGAAGTTGTATATACATATTTATCAATTTGCAGCAGAGGAATCTTCCAAAGAAGAAGCTACTTCCATCATAGGAGGACTGTTTCATTTGATCAAGAATTGTCATGTTAATGCATGGATTGCTTCTGTTTATATGACTCCACATACCTTTGTCTTCTGCCTTCTTTATAAGGGATTTTCACTGCGGGATGGTCCATGGGTGTCAATAACTCAAAGCTGCATAAAAGCTCCTCGTTCACACTCATGATGGCACCAAAATTGTCAAACTCACCACAATAATTGGGCGCACTAAACACGGTAACAAGTGTTCTTTCGTTAAAGAACTGGTATCCATCCTCCACAACCATGTGCGCTCTACACACTAGGTCCAGATCAAACTTGGAAAGAAATTCATTTACAATCTTCTTTCCAAAGCAGTACGACACACCTCTCTCATTGTCTTCCCAATCAACTGCTGTATCGGATGGATCAGCCCATAGTAAATCGTTGAGTAGGCCGAATTCAGGGACATCGGTGGGTCGAATGATGGTTCGTATATCGTCCATTGCTCCCAGTGATGGGCTGAGACCCCCATGCACGCAGAATATCTTTCCTGCCACTAATCCTGCTATCGGCAACGAGTTGAATACATCCACAAATGTCTTCCACACTTTGGTGTTTGTTCTACGCTTGCATTCGTCGTAAAATCCATACACTCGAGTGACATTGGCACATTCATGGTTTCCTCTCAGCAAAAAAAAGTTTTCAGGATACTTGATCTTGTAACAAAACAACAGCAGTATCGTCTCCAAACTTTGCTTGCCTCTATCCACATAATCCCCAAGCAACAGATAATTCGAATCTGGCGGAAACCCTGCCATCTCAAACAGCCGGATCAGATCATGGTACTGGCCATGGATATCGCCCATGATTTTGACTGGAGGATTCAATTCGATCAGTGTAGGCTGGCTCATAAACACTTCATGCACTGCTCGACAAATAGCCACAATTTCCGAGTTTCGAAAGCATATGGATTTTGTCACTTTTCCACTGGTGCCCACTTCTATCAGTCGATTGATGCATTCATCCACATCCAAGTTTTTTCCGAATGATTGCGCTGATGAGGCTGTCAATTGGTTCTGAGAGTTGATGCTTATCTGATTTGCAGACATGACAGTATCTTGATTAAGATCTTCGTTGGTGCTGTTGGCATTGCTGGTCGACATGGGAGTTTCTACAGTGTTTTTCGGTGACATGGCATTTGGGAATGGATAATCTTGGTTTCTGGCATCTGGCTGATGGTGTTGCTGCTGTGACATGTCGGTGGAAGCGAGGTTGCTATTGTTGTTGTGATTGACGAGTATCGAGTTCATTGACGTCGCTGTTGTGTTGGAGTATTCATTGTCTGGTATATCACTGTCTGTTCGGATGACGCTGGGTCTTTCTTTGCGTTTTTTCGAATGTAGGTTGCCCATCTTTTTATGTTCAAAGTTAAATAGACTGAAAGAGAGGGAAAAGAAGAACGAGAGAAAAAACAGAGCCTGTGCAAGTTTTTGATTGGGGTTTGACGGAGGTTGTTTCAAAGGCTAAATTTGATGGAGATCTGCCAAAATGCTCTAAAAAAGGGAGTCGGGGAAATACCTCGATTCATGCATGTTACATGGATGTGGTGGAATATAGAGAAGATCATGGGGCAATTTCACAAATGAAAAATGGCCCTTTTTATTGGTGATGCAGAGTAGCTATTATTGTCAAGGCAGCGGAATATTCTTACTCTGTCGATCAATTCAACTTTAATTCCTTCAACTCCTTTCGTAGGCTTTCATTTTCTTTCTGTAACTGAGCATTTTCTTTCAGCGTTTGTTGGATCAGCTTGTCCAAATGCTCTACAGTAGCAGCCAAGTCGTCGTGGTGGCTATGGCAACGTGTTAATCTCTTTTTCATCTTGATGGTAGCAGTACTTACTGTTGTGATGAAGCCGCTTCTGTTTCATGCTCATTGGTGATGGCAGGATGAGCACCTGGTTTTTTGCAGCTCAACCTTAATTCCTGTAGTAAAACTCTTTGAGACTCATTGAAACGAAGCAGCTCTTCGATCTGATAGAGAGGGTTCATGAGCACAGGGGCCGTTGCATGCTGATGGTGTGTGTCGAGATGGCTGGAAGAGATGCTTCCTCTGGGAGTGACATCCACAGACGAGCTGCTGGAGCCACCTGTCAGCTCAAATCTACCTATCTTTCTGGAGGATTCAGTCAGTAATGCAATGTTCTCTGATGTCAATAGTTCCTGTGGTGGGTATCGCTTTTCTGTTACTGCAGTCGTGTTGGGCTTGCTGTTGGCAGAAGAAGAGGAATAAGAAGAGCTATCGCGAGACAGTGGAATGGGCTGGTACAGCATGGGCGAGCTTGTGTTGGACGATATTTCAAATCTCGATTTACGATCATGTGTAGCTAGAAAGTCCTGACTAGGCATCTTGTGTAATTGCTGCTGCTGCTGTTGTTGCTGCTGCTGGTCTTCTTTGACATAAAATCTACCCTTCATTACTTCACACTCCTCATCTGGCATGGGGCTGGATGATCTGATAGACGATGAAGTGTCTTGAGACGACTCTTCAATCACAAAGCGAGATTTCTTTGGCGGCGTCATGGACAAGGGCGGAGAAGTGGACGTAGCAGTAGGCACCGGATCAGAAGGATGCACCAGCATGCTATTATTGCGAACAACAACATCACCAAATGAAATGTGCCTTTTGGATGGTTTCGACTTTGTATTCTCTTGTGGCTGGTGGTTCAGAATCAGCTGTTCTGCAGCAGGGCTATTTTGATCTGATAATAGGAGCTCGTCCACTTCTGCATCCGCATCTTCATCATCGTCATCGAAATCCCATTCATCTGTCTTTGTAATGGTAACTTGCTTTTGGGGTATCTTTTTGCGAGGTCTCTGTTCCAGTGGGGGTAATTCATACAAAATGGCCTTGACCAGGTATTCTTTTCGCTTGGCTTGTTTGAAGAAGGGATGCTGCAGTAACTTGTCGGCAGTGGGTCTTTTCAGGGGGTCTTTGGAGAGACAGATATCAATCATGTCTTTGAACGATTTGGAGTACTTGTGGATTGTATTGTCACGGTCTAGAGTGGGTGGTTCGTTTGAAAGTGTCATCATCAGTACCTGTATGTTTGTTTTGGTTTGTTTTTAGTTGATCAGATGGTGTTGCTGTTGTATATGTCGAGTAAACTATACCTTTAAAGGCGGGAACTTTGCAAAAGGGGCATGGCCTGTTGCTAGCTCGATTGCTGTGATACCAAAACTCCAGATATCCGCCTTGTAATCGTATTCAGCTTGTTCCATCACCTCGGGTGCCATCCAGCAGGGTGTACCCACAAATGTCTTTCGCATGCCTCGCTCGCCGGTCTCCATCAGAGAGCTGGATACACCAAAATCACCCAGTAGCACGGTACCGTCTTCGTCCATTAGCAGATTGCCCGCCTTCACATCACGATGGATGTGGCCATTCTTGTGCAAGTAGATCAAGGCTTCCAATGTCTGTTTGAGGATGGTTGCAATGCTGGTTTCATCCAGTCCTTCGGGAAATCTAGTCTTCATGATATCCAGACAGGATCCTCCAGCTAAATAAGGGGTTACAATGTATAGCTTTGATCCATGTACAAATGAGCCGTATACACGCAATACGTTGGTATGTTTTGAGAGTGCCATCAATGCTGTTTCACGCTAAATAAGATTGAGAAGCCGCAGTGTGAGTGTGTGTATCTCTCTCTCTCTCTCTCACCCCTTAACACAACTTACTCGGAGTTCGTCAATCTGATTTCTTTCAAACTTGTCGAGGTCAATCATCTTGAGCGCCATGCGTCTATTCAGAGGTTTATAAATAGCTTTGTACACTATAGCAGACGAGCCATAGCCTAAGAGAAAAAGGGTATGAGGGATCCACTCTATGCCATTCCATCTTGCACACATGTTATTTTACCAATCGCCTCTTTGATTTCAAAATCATCAATTTGACTGAAATGATGTTCAGATAATAACTGAGAGGGCACAGGGGAGGGCGGCATGTTGCTGTCATTATTGAGCGTGCTGCTTGTCATTATCTTGAGGCCATTTAAAATGTCGATGCCACTGATGGATCGTCTCGCATGGTGATGTGGTGACGATACCGATGCTGGTGCGATCAAGATGGGCCTTGGGTTCTCTTTTTCAGAGTACGTGCTGTCTATACGCTCCATAGGAATGTGTGCTATAAAGAGAGAGAGAGAGAGAGAGAGAGAGAGAGAGAGAGAGAGAGAGAGAGAGAAAAGAGAAGAAGAAGAGAGAAAGAAAACGGCCCAAATTTATATAGAAAATTCAAGGTACGAGAAGGTAAAAGGATTGAATGACGCATCTCCATATATATACACTTGATTATACACAGGACACAATTACACAAGCAAAATACATGGTAAATCAAGGTTACACGCAACGAAATTTTTTCTATATGAATACATACATATTGCAACAAATAGTGATACCCACACTCTTTTTTCATCTCTCTCTCTTTTACACCTTTGTCTCTCTATCTCTACAATATGAATATACCACATGCAAAGCACAATCATACGCCCAGCTGGGAGAGTGGCAAAAGAGATGATCTGACATCCAGCAGCACAGGCACCAGTAACAGCAGCAGCAGCAGACACCATCAAGCAACACATAGTAATTCAGACTCTTTCTTTAACCGTGTATTTGGTCATCATTCTTCTGATTCTTCTCGAGGTAAGAAAGCAATAATAGGAGAGATAAAGGAGGGGCATAATATACACACATATACACTCTATTTATACGGGGTGGTGTTTGGGGGGGGGGGGAGAGAGATGTTGATATATAACACCTTACTTTTTGTTATTATTTGCCTTCTTCCTTCTCTCTTTTTCTTTACTTGTTGCTGTACTCATCCGCTCTATTCCCAACTACTAGCTGGATCACCTATACCACCATCCAATTCAAATCATCAGCAGCATCATCCAAATCAGCCTTTCAAAAGTAATACCACCATTGATTCTCACAAGGGATTGCAACACCCATCATTGATACCATCCAGTACGACAACATCAGCAGCTACAAAGAAATCGCGTCATAGCCGCAATTCATCCACAGGACACTTGCCACTGAATCCAGTCTCTATTATACCAACTCATACACCATTCAACAAAATGCATAGAAGACGCTCGTTTGATGGTATGGAAGGTCAGAATGTTGTCTCCAAGAAACCTACTACCCCGACTCCGCTTTCGTCCGTATCAGCACGAGTAACGACTAGTCCTGTACCATCTACTACTACTGCCCATACGACTACGCATCCACATCAGCATCATCATTGCCGTCCTCCTCAGCACCCACAGTCAAGAGGCGGTATTAATGTGCCAAAGATCAATACAGCTGCAGTGCCATTTCCAAGAGGCGGTAGACAGATTGGACAAAATCATGCTGATACAACACATCTTGTGAGAAGAAGCAACTCAATTGAACGCAATCAATTCCGACTTCCTGAAGGTAACATTTCATAATCAACTGGGTAATACATGATAATTAACAACATTTCACATGCCATGTTGTTGTACATATAGATCATCCACCCAAGAAACGACACTTGTTTCGATTTGGCAAAAAGAAGAGTAAGTTGTCAAGCTCTTTATGCGATCCCAAGGGGGGCGAAATTGACCTGTTTCTGCAATTAGACTATCAGGCTACTACACCTTCTTTCACACATGCTCCTGCCGCGGCGTCTGCCAACAACTCGACTTCGACCGCCTCCTCCTCCAACACCACAGCCATATCCACGTCTTCCTCCAACCACAACAACATGATGGCGTCTCCCCGTAAAAAGTCAAGCGATTTGGACCATCGGTCTTTGTTGTTACCAGATTCGCATACACCTGCGTCTGACATTCAACGATACTATTACCAGCAGCAGATGAAGGACGAGCGAAAGCGGTCCGCTGGCTCCAATGGCAGTGGCAACAGTAGCCATAAAAAGAACAGCAAGGACAGTGGAAGAGACCAATTGCTACATCTCAAACGTAAGTATACTATGGACAAAGTGTTAGTCGGATCGGTGGAGATTTTAACTTGTCATAAAGTGGATCAAAACTTTGAAAAGATGGATGGTATTGTCAACAAGGACTATTACAAGTCCAACTCGCCCGCACCCACATCAGCGACTACCATGCTGCCATCCACGCTGCATGTACCAAGTGCTCAATCAACACCCAGTGGCATGGATACAACTGTAAGGACTGAAAGAGAGAGAGAGAGAGAGAGAGAGAGAGAGGCAGAGAGAGATGCTTTTTTGGCATGAATCTTTTTACTAATAAGCTTGCATCATAGGGCCTTGATTTAGAGTCGTGGGCTCCACCTGACAGTTGGGGTGTGCAGCCTCCTTCTATCATGTCAGCCTCTACCAACATGCTGGAAGAGGATCACGCTGATTTCGAAGACTATCAGATTGACGTGCAGGAGAAATGGGATGTGCCTAAAAAGAATGCCAATATCAAGATTTACAGACCTGACAAGACGTACAATACGCTGCATGTACCTCTCAATTCAACTACGCTAGAAATCCTCAAGAAGCTGGCAACCAAGTTTTTCATGTCTGACATGACTAAGTTTAACCTTGTCATGAAAAGACACAACATAGGTAGCGTTGGTATTAAATCAAAAATGGCTTTTGTGTGCTGATGTTGTATCTTAGAGCGTATTCTGGGACTGACAGAGCGTCCACTTCAGATTCAAAAGCTGTTGCAAGAGCAGATGGGTTACATGGATCAAGACAAGATTGACGACAGCACCTACCTTGTGCGCTTTCAAATGATGCCAAACATTGCACAGCCAGTGCAGGAAGACAAGGACTTTGGGCAGCATGTGGATCTCCAGTCCAGATCACTCGCAACCATCCCCATCTACCTCTACAAGCACGCCTCTCGCATCGTCTCTCTGGACATTTCCAAGAATCTGCACATTGAAATACCACTCGACTTTATTCAAATGTGCACCAGTCTCAAGCAGCTATGGCTGGCCAATAATGAGTACCTGTCGCTGCCTCCTTCCACACAGCATATTGCATCGTTGGAGCATCTCAACATCTCTGGCAACAGACTGCGGGACCTGGATCATGCCAATCTGCATGAAATCACTGGACTGAGAACTCTGCGTGCCATCAACAATAGGCTGGAATCCATCCCAGACACGTTTGCTACTTGTTTCGACCACTTGACAACCCTGTTCATCTCCAACAACTCGTTTACCAAGTTCCCCATGGTGATCTGCGACATTCTGACGTTGGCCTACCTCGATATCAGCTTCAACAAGATACAGATGTTCCCAGACGAGATTGGCCAATTGACCAACTTGGTGGGTTTGTTTGCTATTGCCAATCGCATCACAGGCGCTTTACCCGCTAGTTTTGTGCATTTAACTAAACTGCAGGAACTGGATATCCGTCAAAATCTAATCACAGATCTCGATGTAGTGTCTCAGTTGCCTCGCTTGGAGATTCTATTGGTCGACTACAACTCGACAAGCATTGTTAATTTTGAAATCAAAAGCTTGAAGCAGCTCAAAATGTACAAAAATCATCTCACCCAGTTCAACTTGACGAGCGGCCCTGGTGGCGGCACTTGCTTGACTGAGCTGAATCTATCTTGCTGCAAACTATCGAGCTTGCCAGAAGAAGTGTTTAACAATACCCAAGGATTAGAGCGTCTTGTGCTGGATAGCAATACTCTCAACTCCATCCCTTCCAGCATCGGTGCTCTGCAGCGGCTCGTCAAGTTGTCCATTCAGAACAACAACCTGGAGACATTGCCCGCTGAAATTGGCAAGTTGTCTGAACTCAAGGCCCTGGATGCTCAAAAGAACAATCTCAAATCACTACCCAAGGAGATCTGGCTGTGTTCCTCTCTCCAAACGCTAAACTGTTCGTCCAACCTACTAGACTCGTTTCCCGAGCCATTGTCCACAATCACACCGTGCTCCACGCCACTGGCAAACAAAAAAGCAGGCGACGACATATCAGACATGACGCTGATTTGCGATGAGGACGACGACATGATGATGAACATTATTCCTCCTGCACTAAATGCTGGCCAGGGCGTCGTAAAGCGCTTGGATCATTTGCTCGACTACAATTCCATGACGCGCTCCACCTCAAAAGCTACATTCATGTCCTCTAATTCCTCAACCGCATCCCCAGTGACACCTGGCGCAGGCAAGGCTCTTCACTATGCAACTGCATCATCATCCAGCACGCAAAGCCCAAGCATATCGTCCAACGCATACTCAGCAGATCAGCCAATGCACCCTCATCATTTGACCCCACAGCAGATCCAGCAACAACAGCAACAGAAGCAATCAGCCTCTCCACCTCCTGCTCCCAACTTTAACCCGCCAAGCTTCTTTGCCAGCCCCAGAAACCATCCACCTCCTCTGTCGCTGTCTTTGCGACAGCTGTTCTTGGGCGACAATCGATTCACGGATGACATCTGGTCACCGTTGTCGTTATTCCTGGAGCTGCGTACCCTCAACTTGTCCTTTAACGATTTGTATGAAGTGCCTCCCGACGGTCTCTGTCATCAGCACCTGTACGAGCTCTACCTGTCTGGCAATCAACTCACCTCGTTGCCTGCTGACGATATTGAGCGATTGCAGTACATGCGTGTGCTCGCTGTCAATGGCAACAAACTCCAAACACTGCCGGCCGAGATTGGCAAACTGCGCAAGCTGCTTGTGCTGGACGTAGGTAATAATGTGCTCAAATACAACATTGCCAACTGGCCTTATGATTGGAATTGGAACTGGAACTTGGGGCTCAAGTACTTGAATCTGTCTGGTAACAAGCGTTTAGAGATCCAAAAGACCCATCCGGATCCCAACAATCCCAAGGACAAGGACCTAAGTGATTTTAGTGCGTTGACACGTTTGCGTATGTTGGGTCTAATGGATATCACGATACTCGGTGTGTCTGTGCCTGAAGAATTCCATGATCGCCGTGTCAGAACATCCCCTTCTGAAGTGAATAGCATGTCATATGGCGTAGCAGATTGGCTGGGCCCTAGTGATCACTTGTCTACGTGGGATCTGGTCATGCCGCGATTTAGAAGCAAAGAAGACGAGTGTATATTTGCCTTGTTTGATGGCTCCAAACATCCCAAATCCGGTTGTCGTTTGACAAAACAGCTGAACGATACCTTGACAGCGCAGTTCACCAAAGAACTGGCTTCCATCAAGAGTGACGATACAATTGTCTCTGCTGTGCGTAGAGTATTCTTGGGTCTGGAGCAAAGCCTAGGTACATCGCCCTATATTGTAGACAAGGATTCGGGTGCATCAGCTGTGCTATGTTACATCTCTGGCACCAAGCTGTATGTAGCGAATGTAGGCGATGCTCTGGCTGTCATCTCTCGCAACAACGGTCAAGCCTTTGAGATTACACAAAAGCATATACCTCTAAATCCAAGTGAAGTGTCTCGTATTCGGGCAGCGGGTGGCCATGTCTCCAACTCGGGTCTACTCAACAACGAGCTTCATGTATCAAGAAGCTTTGGCCACTTTCATTTGGTGCCTGTGGTCAACTGTAACCCTTTTGTATCCACCATTGATCTTACTGAAAACGACGAGTTTGTCATCATGGCTTCTCGCGGATTATGGGACAAGATGACCTATCAAACGGCTGTTGATATTGCTCGCACGCAAAAGGACGATTTGATGGCTGCAGCACAAAAGTTGCGTGATTTTGCTATCACCTATGGTGCTACTGATAATCTCATGGTCATGGTCATTGGCGTGGGCGATTTGTTTGATAAGCGAGAGAAGCGCTATCGTGGTAACCGCGGTAACAATATGGGCCCTGGTCGTGGCGGTGTAGGTGCTGATGTTGGAGCAGAAGATGGCTTACTGGTCAAGAGCAAGCGCAGAGGGAAAGAGGAAGTGCCTGGAGATTCGGTAAGCCTTGTTTTCTTTTTTTTTTTATATATATATATAGCGTGTTGTATGTATACTCATTTTTGATAGACATTGGCTCGGTTGGAAAGAGAAGTGGCACCTCCTGTCAGCCAGCTGGCGTTGGTATTTACAGACATCAAGAGCTCCACACAATTTTGGGAAACACAGCCCGAAAACATGCGCTCTGCCATCAAGATTCACGATGCCATTATGCGTCGCACGCTGCGTAGTGTCGGTGGTTATGAAGTTAAAACGGAAGGTGATGCCTTCATGGTCTGTTTCAAGAACATCACAGCAGCGCTCCTGTGGTGTTTCACTGTGCAATTACAACTCCTGGAAGCAGATTGGCCTGCTGGTATTCTCGATACAGAAGAAGGTCGCGAAATTGAAAAGGATGGCATTGTCATTTATAAGGGTCTGTCTGTCAGAATGGGTATTCATTGGGGTTCGCCTGTGTTTGAACGCAATCCCATCACACAACGTATGGATTACTTTGGTCCTGTCGTCAACAAGGCAAGTCGTATCTGTAACGCTGCTGATGGTGGACAAATCTGTGTGTCGTCTGATGTGATTGCTGCACTGCGAAACTTTCCTAGCATGTTTGATGAAGACGCTGAGCTCCAGACAAACACCTCTGCGGAAGTTGATGCCTTCTCTGGTACTTTTCCAGTGAGCCGAGATCTGTTGCAGTTAAAACAACTGGGCTTCCATGTCGTGGAACTGGGTGAAAGGCGTCTCAAGGGCTTGGAAACACCAGAAACGCTTAGCTTGGTCTACTCGAAGCAATTGCTGGCTCGAATCGAGATTGACAAGAGTGAGATGATGGCAACAGCTTCATCGCCCATCGTCACTCCCTCCACCATCATATCTCCCAAGGCGATCCAGTCCATCGAGGCTTCTCCTGCACTCGCGACAACCGCCACAACGGACTCCTCCTCCAACGCCATGGCAAGTAATAGCAGTGTCTCAACAACGCCCATGGACTATCTGACAGCAAGGCCTCTCCGGCACACCAACACGCGCAAGGTGGTACGTACCATTGATCCCAACTTGGTCTGTGCCATGAGCAATCTAGCTATCCGTTTAGAGCGATTAACATCGGGCAACGTCTTATCACAACACATGGCTGGTAGCTCCATTAATCGTGAATACACGTTGAACAATGAGGGAGCTGAGGACACTACACACACCGTTAGCACCGCGCCCTCGGGATTAGGCTTAATGCTCGATAGACATATCCGTGAAGATGCTACTGATGAGGAATTGGTCATCATGATGGAGAATTGTGTTGCACGTGTAGAGGTAAATATACTTGATCAATGTGTAGTTTATACGTATCTAACACAGTTTATAGAACGCTGTATCTTCCTTGTATCTACAGAAAGTGGGCCATTTTGCTGGTGTTTTGGAAAAATTGGGTGAGGCGATTGATATGGACCCCATGCACATTATCAAGGCTTTACAAATGTACGCTGAGTCTTCTTCCTTGGCAGCTAAGGGAATGTCTCTCTAAAAGCACTTGATTTACGTTGATATCATAATTACCTTGCAAGCTTGAATAAACATATTGTATACTGAATTTATCGTGTGAGCTGTATGGTGAAAATTTCTAGCTAGGAAGGTGATTGATGGCTGGCTTTATTGTCGTAAGGCATCTTATGTAGCTTAATGAATCCATACCCTGAATATCATCATGAGAATAGGCAAATTATTATGACACCAAAACAAATACAGTCGTCATTGCAAAAAGGGCAGATCCGCCACTTCAATGTGAAGAGAAACTGCTCTTGCATTCAGATCATCTCTACTGCCTTCCGTATGATAGATCGACATCATTCAGTCTGTCATTTCCACATTATATTGAATCCCCTGATTTTGTGCATTTGTTCATGACAGATCACAATGAATCAGATCAGTAATTACTATTCACAGGGCATCCCTCATCTGCTCGATGAAATCTGCTGACCTTTTCATATGTCAAATATTTATTAACCTGGTAAAGCTGCACCGGCGCCCAATTCTGATCACACTCCGTTTGTATCCGTAAATGTCATCACATTCATCCTTGTATCCCTGGGATCGCCCAATTTCTAAAGTATAGAATATTTTCTCAATGGCAACGCATTGCTATTTATAACAGCTAATGTCAATGACTATGCTACTGCTTCTCTCATGGTACGAGCATACCGCTTTCTTTTAACATTGACACAGGGTATTTAAAGCCAATACCAAGAAAACCAAAGGTTTCATGGCGAATCCTTATTAAACCTCCTTTTTTAGCCCGTGCCGAGGTTTCGTGTCATGATATTCAGTGAATCCATTTCATTATTCATCGAAGCAATGAACATATAGTAATAGAAGGAGGCAATGCCCAGAAAACACAAATCTCGAGTGCCTGCCCAATGAAGCATGCACTAAACAATGGCCTTCATCTATGCATTCAGCTACAACCTCACACCCCTTTTCGGTCTGTGTATATATACACAAAATAAAGAAATACATACATGATGTATGCATTCTATCTAACTGACGTTATTGCCATTACTGTAGTTACGTGGTATTCAAATCTTGTACCACATCATTATATGCGGAAAAATGAGACGATGATGATATGTTTTGGTATACAGAAAACAAATACAAATAAAGTATTGAGTCAAACTGATATAATCCCAACAAAACCTACAAGTGATACCTCACTAGTGGCACAAGACATGCTCAAGAGTATAGTGCCGCAGAAAGGTGATTATGGACATTACTAGCAGCTTGTATGACGGATTTAGTCTTAATTTCATCCAGAGAACGTGTGCAAATAGAATATAGGATGATGATGTTTAATAGAGAACACACAACATCTGGTAGACTCACACATTGGATTCCGATGTCATGGCAACAACAGCGCCGTTTGTTTGACTACCATGGCAATAACAGAGGCGATAGATGTGGATTGAACGAATGTCATGTTGAAAGAGACAGGGATGATTAGCCCACATGGATGTAAATAGGATAAAAAATCTAACTTGCTCCTTGAAAGTACAGAAACAACAACATCAACTCACCTGACTTAATTATATATGGTTATTTTCTTTATTTTTACATTTTCTTCTTCTTTCTTCTCTTTTTCACCTTTTTTGATTTTCCTTATTATTCGTTATTAAGTGTTTGTCATAGAGGAAGAACCGCACACACTCCCTCCATCTTTTTTCAAAAAGGAAGCCCATTTTCAAATTATATACCTTGGTTTCCATTTTTCTTTGCGTCTATTTACTCTTACAAACCCCCCCCCCCCTCCCCCTTTTTCCTCCCTTCATCATATTGTACAGTGTAAAAAAAGATGATGACAGCTATGGATGATGATAACACAACACATACCAACAATAACCATAAGAAGCGCAACAGTGATATCACCATGGACATTGATTCAGACAACATGAGTCAGTCAGATTATACCCCAAGTCCTCGACCTGCAAAGAGAAAAGTCTCAATGGCAACACGTAGGCATTCAAGGATGCTGTATTTAGAAAAATATGGTCTCAACCAACCAGGATGGCATACTTCTGGAGATGATTATGACTCTAACAACTCAGCAACCCCTACTGACGAAGATCATGGTATGGATTTCACAAATGAACCTGAAGGAATCGAAGCAGAAGCACCAACATCACCAGCCACTTTTGCTCCAAACACACAAGCCATAGTAGACAATCCTGTGAAACGTCCTGTTTCTATCCGAAATTTCGTTCAAAATAGCACCTTTCAAAAGCGTCCAGCTCGATTCATCAAACCTCAAAAGTCTGAAAAGAACAACGACGTTCCTCCTGCTGAATTTACCGAGGCGCATGTACTGATGGAAGAATACACAGAAAAGGTATACATGGAAGGATATCTCCACAAGAGAAACGACCTCAACTCCAATGGCTCTTCATGTGGATCCAAGAAGTGGAGTCTCTGGTACGTTGAATTGTGCGGCCCCGTGCTGACATTGTGGGAGTCTGAGAGCAAGGGCAACAAGGATGTGTACCCCCAGTACATCAACATCACAGATTCCACTGTTGTCAATGAGAGTCGTCTTACTGCTGAAACTCGGCCCAACCTCTTTTCACTGAATTCAGCTGGTGCCAATCGCTTTCTATTGCAAGCCGCTACACGTGAAGAGACACATCGATGGATACTGGCGATTCGTTTATCGTGCTTTGAATGTTCTCGTATACAGGAAATCTACACCAAATCATTCATCAGTCGTCCCCAGTTCAGCAGCATTTTGGCCGCCAAAAAACCGAACGGTACTACGATCACAGAGGGGTTTGTTCAGGTGAGATTCCCGGGCGCAACAGGATGGAAAAAATTCTGGGCTGTTGTTTCCAATTTCAAGGTCGAGAAGCGATTGTTCAACAAAAAAACAGTACCGACGAATGGACAAGTGATGTTTTTTGAGTCCAGAAAAGCGAAATACCCCATGATGACACTGGAGAACGTGGTACAAGCCTACACTGTGTACCCAGAATCACCGAAATTGATCAACATGGCAACGCTGTTTAAATTGGAAGGCAGTTTGTACAAGAATAAGCCCAACGGTCGAGGCCAACAGTTGGTCAGTGCGTCCTCCAGCGCTTTGATGATGTCCTCCAACACAAATGAATTGGTGCAGTGGCTCGTAGGCTCCTTTGATGCATTCAAGCTGTACGGAAGACCAGCGACATTACTGCAAGATCCCAAGAATCCTCAATCACTGAATTTCGCAGAGAGTATTGGCTTGTTTCTGGAGTTGGATGAAGTGGAGAGCGTTGATGCCGACCATGGAAGCACTCTTTTAGGCTCCAAAAAAGAGTTCACAGCTCTCTTGCAACAGAAGTTTCTTTATGGATTGCCTAGACCCGCCATTAAGACATCATCTTCAGCTCCTGAAAGAGCAGCTCCTGCACCACCAACACCACCACAGAGTACTGGACTTGTCAACAATCGTAGACTTTCAAATCGATCCATCATTCCAGGCCAATCGAGAAGCAATCCTGCTTATGTTCAACCTACCCAGCTTCGCACTGTGACCTGTGCAAGCGATGTCAGTGATGAAGACGAGGAAGAAGAACAAGCAAGCGACAGTGATAGCGATGCATCCTTGTATCAACTTGGTTCCAAGCCAAAGAAGCCACTGAACACCATAGATAAATCATCACTCGTCAAGCCCATTACACCCAACACATCCAAATCCAGCTCTGAGATATCCGAGGTTTCGCCTGCTACTATTCCTGCCACTGCTGATCTGTTCTTACCTCCAGTAACTGACATGATGATTGATGACAGCTTCTCCAACGCCATCTTGTCTCACACCAATCCTCGATTCCAGCCATCAGAAAAATACCCCAGCGACAAGACAGAGGAACACGCCAGCAGCACATCTGAATCTGAAGGATCCTCCAACCACAAGCCATCTGTCTCCATGGGCACACCATTCTATGCTCAACAACGCAGCGCTTCCATGATGCAGCTGTCGCAACCCCCTCAGCACCCTTGGCCCATGTTTGGCTCCACTGGGTCAGTCGTGATGGGCGATTATCCTTCCTCTTTCTATGGGCACAGCAACAATAACAGTGCGAATAAATGGGAAACATCCTCTGTAGATCCTCGTATGATGGCAGGAGGAGAGCAATCCTACTTTAGCAGCCGTGAATCCGTTCATCCACCTCGAGCTCTCTACGCAGGCAGTACAGCTGGAAACGAAGCAGAAGAAGAAGAAGAAGAGGACGAGGACGACAATGTGCCGATTGGCGACAACTTGATTACGCGCGACAGTCTGTTGCATCACGCCGGCAGTGATAGAGTCTCGGCCAAGCAAGTGGAACACCATGCTAGAGCAACTGGACAGCCCATGATCTACGTCAACACTAGCAAAAAGATGGCTCCTCGTGTCGGTTTAATGGGCGTGATTTCTGAAAAGGAACGCGAAAAGAAGGCTGGGCGCAGTAACACCATGGATGAGCAAATGATGATGCGTGAACGTATGATGTTGGAGCAAAGACAGCAGCAAATGATGATGATGCAGCAGGTATGTTTCTTGAGCCTTGTAACACGTAAGCTTGATTTGACTGACTGCTGTATAGTTTATGCCTCCTTACAACAACGGCATGATGCCCATGATGATGCCCATGATGGATCCAAGAATGATGCCCATGATGGACCCCAGAATGATGCCAGCACAGCCAATGATGCTATACGATCCGCGTATGATGGCGTATATGCAACAGCAACAACCTTATGTGTCTTCTCCAGTGGTACCCTCGCCAAGCATCAGCAGTGGCAGCAGCATAGTTAATGGACCTCGTTATCAGCAGCAGCAATACTATAGCAATGACAGCACAGCCAGCCTGAATACAGAACGAAGGGGCAAGCAAGGCTCTCCTAGAAAAGCAACGACTGCCATGTCCTCGGCAGGATCTATATCAAATCAAAGCGTTCGCAGCACAGCAACCATTACACGCTATACACACAACACAAGACGCAACGCAAACCAGCATTAAAATAGCACTGCTTCTTTCTCTTTCTCTTTCTTTCTTTCTTTAATAATCATGTAAATAAAATATCAAGATGCGTTTTTAAAACTTTCAGAAAAAAGGGGTATCATGCCAATGGAAAATTGACTTATCTAGAGTGTATCTTTTCCACTTAAAAACGTTATGTTCTTCGTCAACCATTATTGATCGGTATTATCGTCTCCATCATCGCCATCATCGCCATCATCACCATCACCATCATCTTCGTTGCCTTCAGGTGTAGGTATTGGGCATGTTGCGCTGGTTCTGATGGTAGTTGTAGGTCTGGCTGATGTAGCTGGAATGGAGCTGGCGTGCGTTGCTAATGCTGTCCTACTGTTTGGCTGAATGTTTGTTGAGGAAAACATCACTCGGGGCCGAGCACTGGTGAAAGGAGTAGGTACAACAGCTGAGGACGCTGTAGGAAGAGCACTGACTGATATATGGGCAACAAATGTAGAGATAAGTAATAGTACACTGCTTATAGTAGTAGCAGTAGCAGTACGAGATGCTACAATAGTAGACGGTGAAGCTGAAGACAGAAGAACTGCAGAGGATGCACTTAAAGTAGCAGTGGGTACAACGCTGCTGACACTGATACGTGCAGATTGTGCAGTGATGATTGGAAGCAGGGTAGATGTGATGCTCCTAGACGTCGATCTTACTATGGATGGATGCGCAGTTATCGACAGGGATGATGGCAAAGCAGTGGCTCTGGCAGTGACATGCGTAGTTGTACTGGGGGTCTCGTTAACCTGAGCACCTAGACCGCCTAGAATGCCATCTAATCCGCCTTCGCCTGATGGTCCAGTAGATGACAAGCCAGGTATTTGGCCATTCTACAAATACAAAATGTCAATTACAATTCTGCGATTCTTGTCGTATGATAAAATTACCTGAAATGGACAAGCAAAGCTAGCGGATGATGCTATGGTTGGGCTGACATGCACAAACAACACTTGAGCATTTAGCGATACATCATACGTGATGTCAATGTCAGAAGGCGGGTTGCCTGTAAATCCACACTTGTCTGAAATACTACTCAGTAAATATCTCGAATTTGGATCAGAAGGGTTATAGTCAATCTGGAAGGGATAGGTAAAGTTGATATTACTCTTTTTCGGGATGAATTGGTAGTTCAAATAGCCCTTCCCGATCTGAACCATAATGCCATTGATACGATAATATGCCTACAATTGAGTCGACTGCATCAGCGGTTGATCCAGCGTGTTCGTCATAACAAATTTACCTTTGCTATCGGGTTTGACAGTTTCATACTCAAGATATTGGAATCAATGATGTTTAGAATCAAGCCTGCATGAATAACCACACCCGTACTACTGAATTCAATCTGTTGTGTTCCATTGGGTAACGTCGAATTCAAACCAGCAAGGTCAATGGTAGGCGTCTTGAAACTTCCAAGTATAGCACCGATAACAATGATACAAATAATAACAGCAGTGACAATGAACCACACTATATAGGCAACCCAGGGAGGAAAACACATGCTGCAGCATATCTATTTGAGAAAGCAATTGCGTTTGGTCCAATGTACCTTTTTCTCAGGTTTGTCCACAAACGTAGACCCTGTATTCAGCGCATATGCATTGGTGATGCTTGCTTCACTCTGAGCAGCAGGAGAAGAAGCAGTACTCGACTGATGATCTGTGGTATGGTTGCTATTTTCATTTGGTTTCTGTGCAGAGGCGTTTGTTGCCATTGGGTAGCTATCTAACCTTTTATTAAAATGTCTGTCAACTCAATGTGCATATAAGACTTACTCAATGTTGGAGCATTGGATCCAGAAATGGTTATTTCGTTCAATCGATGGCTTCCATCATTGCCAAAGGCATTCGTATCTGAGAAATGTTGAGGTACAGGAGGAGCAGGAAATTGCTGCAGAATATTCATCAGAGGACTGAGACGATGTATCCAGTCGGTATCTCGTTGTAGACATCCCTCCTTAAATCTGACATGGTCGCAAAGATAAAAAGGAGACAGAGAAGGATTGCACATGGTGCGCGCGCCAGATGCTATACATATCACATTACGGTTATTCAATTGACATATCAAGCCCAGTTTTTGATAGATCTGTCTCACCTTGTGTTTTTGACATGCTTTCACGCTTCTCATGACCCAATATGCTCACAATGACACATTTCATCGATCATTACTGAAACTATCGTTGTGTATAATTGCAATGATGGATGCCTTGACTGCCCTTCTTTTCAATCGATACCCAAAAACAATGCTGAATTGTAAATGTCTATATTTGGTGAAATCTGTCAAACGGTAGAGCTTATATTTATATCTTGGTTTTTGTGTTATTCAGGAAAACCCATTCCGGGTAAATTGCGGATAGTGTTCCTTCCTCGGTATCATTTGTCATGGAGCTATTGATTAGAGCTCTAGTAGATATGTCTAAGATGTAAAGCATGCAAGAAATGTCAATTTAAGTGCATTTAATGATCTTCGATATGAACATTGGATGACCAATAAATAAAATAAAAGACGGTATATCAAATCAGCATTTGATAAAGCTCTGCTATGAAGCATGACACATTTTCCAACATTTTCGTTTAAATTTATTCAACAAAAAAAGATTGAATCTTCATCGCCTGTCCACACTTGGCTGACCCTCTTGTTGCCGGCCCCAAGCTCTAGCTAAAAACGATGTTAAAGATTTCTAGTTGACAGGTTCAGCAGCGGCTTGTGTATTCAAATTTCAAAACTCCAAATTGTGGGTAGAAAATTTTATTTCTCTGTAAACCATTTAGAAAGTGCTTCTAAATTTTTTGATCTCTACCATCAACGTTTGAACGCCCACAGGTTGAATACGTGAAGCTCCTCCACCTCTTCTTTCCAAAATATTCAGAAATTTCGTATAATAAACAATTAATTGACCTAATACGGCATGTAACACTGTGGTTCCGTTTTTGAAGTTGGAAAAGTACTGGATCACGGATGCGTTGATCGATTTGAGTGATTGTCGCCATGTTTGCGCAAAATGGGCCGTGATTCTTTCAAGGTCGGGTATCTCAATGGTGGTCAAGTCTTGCATGTGCTCTGATTTTTTAACGAGGTCAATCAATGCTCCAAAATAGGGTTTAAGCTGCTCATCCACAAACGCGCTCGTTTGCAGGGCAAGCAACTGCTTAATGTAGTCCAGCTCTGCATCTACAGCTCTGCTGTGGGTTTCCTATATGCAATCCCAACTCAGTTGCATGCCAGACAAATGCATATGTCAATTACCTGAAAGACAGAAACAATCAAGTCGTAATTGTTGATGAGAAATGCAATTCGTCTAGGTGATTCTGGAAATTCATGCGACATGCGTGATAAAACTGCCTCAAATTCATCGCGTAATTTGTGGACACTGATATCAGACAGGTTAGCTCTAGTTAATACCAGATAGACGCCATATTTACCTTTTTGATAGAATGGCATCGTCGTAGCCATCATTCAACACAAGCAGGGACGCTGCAAATTCAGAGTATCGTCTTGTAATCTACCACAATTGTGTTAGGCCAGTCTTGTTTTTGCAAGGATGATATAGATACGTTACATAATGTGGGTGAATGTCCTTCACTGCACTCATCACTGATCTGCTGTTGAACATCTTTTTCAGGCTTTCCACATGCAGGGACATCACGTATTGGAATCTGGGCCATATCAGCATGTTTGTCGCATTGGTATACCCCTCTAATGCTGGCACTCTTCTTCGCTGCAACTCAAGTGCTAGTTGTGTGTTGATTCGGATACATAGCAGGAGCCCTACTGCGTCATAGCAGTTTTCGACATAGGCTTTTGTAAAATTCTACAACATGTATCAATAGCACATTCTGATAAATTTGGTCTTGTGTGTTGTATTTACCATGCCGACTTTTTCTGTTGGCTCAAAAATGAACTGGAATATAAGTTTGGCAGTATCGGCAGCAGTTTTAGGATCTCTGGAAAAGAATTCGTAGATGAACAAATACTCTGAGCTGGCATTATCGATCAACGTCAGATTGAAGCTTCTGAAGAGCTGCTCAAATTGATATTTCTAGTGATGTCCATCAGTACTCCATTTTACGCACTGACCGCTATATTACCTGCTCCTTGGCTTCAGCTACATGCACAAGAATCACACCGGGATCTTGAATTCTTAAGGTATTGCTTCTATCTCCCAAGGCAAAAAGATTTGTCTTGTCTTTTAGTGCCACTTTGCTTGTTCCAAATAGGCCTCCTTTACGGTTATTCTCCTCTACGCCAATCAAATCTGTCTTGTCAGCAGCTGCAGCCTGAGTATTGACTTGTGAGTTCTCTTATGATTCAGTACACTGTACTCTTCCACCTACTTACTTGAAGCTTCAAAAGCCCTTTGCTGTATCTTTCAAAGTGATTCTGGAAATACCACCTTAAAGAGTTCATGTACGATTGTCTAATCTCTCTTGCGGCTTCATGATGTCTCTCCAATACAAAAAAGTGCAGTTCCTTGTATTTTAAAAAGACAGATTGTTGCATGATTTGGATGTTGGCGTTGGGCACACATAATAGCTGGATTCGGGACACAAAGAAGTCTCGAATAGTGGCAGCAGCTTTCAAACGTAACTTCTCCAGTTCTGGACCCACATTGCGCAACGCTTTGATGGGTCTATGTTGATTTGCTTTGACGAATCTCATCTGCTTATTGATCGTCAGCAGGTATTCCAGCCATAATTCGTCCACGTCTCCTTCTGTAATCTTCTTGATGACATCGGGTGGGATAACCATGCCTTGTAGTGCTTTTCCCAATCTACTTTCCACTGTCTTTCGATTCCTCAATTTGACGCTCATGAATGTGGATTGCTCCTGCAATGTTTGGATTTCCCCGCTGATATTGCCCAAATCGCTTTGAAACACACTCAGCAATTGTTCCATGCGGCCTAACACCTCATCGCAGGTCTGAATACATGTTATTCGACTGGCGTAATCCGTTTTGCTGTATGTGTAATTGTTACCTGAATTTCTGCGTGCAAGTCGACAAATGATTGCACATGCTCGATATCTGCTCGGCAAAATGTCTGCATTAGTATCTAGGCTTGTCCTCACTATCTTTGTATTTACAGTTATTCTCCAGATCTCGTTGAACTGACGTCTTTTCCTGTGCAATTTGCTTTGCATATTCACGCAAATCCATTTCATTTTCCAGGGCTTGGCTCACAATTTCGTCCTCTTGAAAAGCTACCATTTGATCTGACAGATTTCATTGAGTACATAATGTGGATTGAGCGTTATCTTGACAAATGCATTACCATCCACTTCGTCAAAGGTCAACTGGTTAAAGTCAAAGTCGTCGTCGTCGTCTAAAGAATCCTCTTCACTATCGGATAACGCTTGTGGCTCTTTCATCTGAGGGTGCAATAGTGAGACTCCAGTAGATAGCGCGTGTTTGGCATAGAAAAGGCAACCTACCTCTTCATCTGGCTCTCCTTTAGGTGTAGATTCTCTCAACAATATGTCAAGCTGTTTCAAAGCGTTTGGGCTTGATAGTTGCCCAGGAGATGTTTCAGTATTGTCTTTTGTGTGGGTGTCGATATCTTCAAATGGTATAGGTGGTAGTGTCTTTTGTGATGTAGACTTCCTCATCGTTGGTCTTTCGTTCAATGTTTCTTCCATTTAATATTATATTTACAAGAGAAACAAAGAGTGAATTAATGTAACTGAGACTGAACCTCTCTTTATATTGAGTGGCAGAGAGAAGAGTTGTACGACAGCACCATTAAAATGCTATGTCAAGCCTTCTTTGATGGCTTGGGCAATCAAGTACTAAAACCTCATACTGCAACGACATTAGGCTTATATAATACAATAATAGTTGGTATTTATACAGGAAAAATTAAATGGCATATTGTATGTACAAGAAGAGACATCTCAGAGACCCAACTCTCTCAGTCAGCAGTATATAGTGGCTTGAGTAAAAAGAACCGATTGTCTGTCAAAAAGGCCAATCTTTCAGTGTCGAATAGTCTGATATCAAGGGGGCAGCTGTGAATATTGAAATGCTGAAACACTCGGTTCTTTTTTGCCAAGTTCAAAGTGCCTGACATTTCATCGCCATAGCAAACTATTGGATTTTGCAAGGTGCCTTGGGGAAGGTAAGAATAGGTTCTAGCAAACCCCTTTTGTGGAGCTGCTGAATTAATCGTACATAATATAGAAGGGATATTGCTGCTCTTGGATGAAATATCGAGAAGCTGGTGCTTTGTACTCGCTTTGTTGCGAGATGATAAGAGGACTTGCTGATTGCTATGATCAGATAACGAGTAAGGGCTATAATCTACAGATGACATGAGTGGGCTGTATCCTCACATAGTAATCACTTGTACAAACCTGCATATCCTTCCAGCTTCAAAACAGTACAATCTGACGGCGTATCCCATGTAAAAATTTGATTCAGATTAGAGCAGTAGATCTTTGACTCGTTGTTGATTGTCTTGAAGAACAGGGAATGGAGTGGCGTTTTTGATACAAGTGGAGAGCAAAGTTTTTGCATGTGTGTTTTTGTGTGGCGTCGATCATACACTCGAACCGTACTGTCAGATAAACCACAGGCTACTTTGTAACCATCACTTGGATCGAAACAGCAGCTCCAGCCAGGCAGAGGCAGTGAAATGGTATCTGTCACCATAGTGGATATAGTCGATGTAAACTTTGCTGATTTGTCCAAGCTTGTTGTCATGAGCACGCCAGTGCTGTCGTTGTATTTGACATCCTTAATGAGACCTGCATGGACTGGTATATAATCAATGTTCGTAGGATACTGTGGGTTCAAATGAATCAATCCAGACTCTGATTCTGTCGATTTAAATGATATGTAGAATGTTTGATTTGATGTGTCAACTGCCATGACTCTGGATACATTTCGCTTTTCAGACAGTCGATGTGAAAAGCTGATTCTATAGCTTTGCAGTTGCCGTGTATTCTCTTCTTCTTCCTCTGTTTTTTCACTTGGTATGACACGTGTCTCTATTTCAGCAGCTGTTGGTATTGGGGTATCTGGTTTTGTGTCTGGTGCAGGAGGCGTAGTGATGGCATTGTCTGATCTATTCGAAGGAGGTGATCAGATTCAATATGGCAGTGATATAACAAGAAGGATACTTGCTTGTATTTAAGATTTCGCTCTCGAGATTTGATTTGATTGTTGAGAACAGCTAATGCTAATCGAGAATGATCCAGGAATCGCTCATCCTCTTTGATCTGCACTTTTTTCTTCTCGATTTCCGCTTTTAATTTGTCTGAAATACCAGTGTCTGTGGCAGCAATTCTAGACGGTATGACATGGCGAAGTTCTGTCTGGCGCGCTGGCTTCCTACAAGAGAAAGATGGGTATGTCATTTTAGGGTGGCACTCTTGACAATGATAACATTATTCATTACATGCACATGGGGCAATTGACGCCCTTAGCTCCATATCTCCTTGCTCTATTCTGCATCCATCTCTCAATGCATCTACAGATAATATGTCAATGTTTACTGCCAACGTCAACTGTATCATAATTTTACTTTTTTCCAAACATATGACCGCAAGCCAAACTCACTGCACAATGCGAACCGCTTCGTTTCCATGCCTCCGAGCAGATGACACAACTATTAGAATCCTCAGCGTCTTGCGTACTTTGCGTTTGTATTAATTGATTGCCAACGGAAGCAGATTCCATGGATTTGCACTAATTTGAGTACGCTGCGGAAGAACAGAGTTTCGCTTTCAGGTTCTTTTTTTTGTTCCCCTTTTGTTTGTCTGCAGTTCAAAAAGCCTTTGGATGGCTTGAAATTCAAGTGGCTAATCCTCATCATATAATATATTGCTAAAAGTTAAAAAACGAAGATAAACAAACCAAATCCTTTCACATATTCAAAAAAAATGAGTATCGTACAAGGTGAATAAATCACCGGCGAAGCCGGCATTGGGGAGGAGGGTTTGGAGGAGGTGCTAAGCCCATCCACCAAGAACATAACGCGTCTAATTCAACATTTGGTAACATGGACTTATGAGGCGATTTTACCGTAGCGACGTGAAGGTAAAAAAAAAAACCCCCCCATGGCGACTAAGCATCTAATCCAGCCTTTGGTCATATTAATCTCAATGAGGATTTTACCGTAACGGAGAGAATATGAAAAACCATGGTATCCAAGCAGCAAAGTCGATTTCTCATTTCCATTGTTAATAAGCTTACCAGCAACGTAGCGCATCAAAATTTGCATGAATCAGCTTTACCACAATCAATATGCCTCCTATTCGAATTAAAAATTGCACAGGCTACAGAACTGCCCCTCCAGTAAATTATAGCCACCAAAGATATGAGTCATGCCGTGTAAATAAACTCTATAAGCAAAGCATAACCGAATTTGACAACTTTCAAGCCCTCATTACTTGACATGTAGACCTTTCTGAGCCCCCGGAATGGCACCAAACAATTGTACTCGAGTAGCAGCAACTTCCTGACACTTTTGCTCAACTTTTTGAAGACCTAAAAAAACATGCCCAAAAATCGACCAAAAAGCATGAGGTACCCCTCATGGTTTTCATCGAAAATCAAACGATCGCTTTTTTGACCTTGAAGATGAAGACTTTTACTATGGCATATATCAAATCAAAATGTTTCTCTCGATCCAAAGCAACCTCTAAAAATACTTTTATCAGGCTTTCATATGCAAAATATGGCTATTTTCGCTAAAAATCTCATTTCAAATTTTACCAAATTGCTCACTAAGTTCATTCAAAACACCTGCTACAATCAGCATCATTAAAAGCACCCTGAAAAGCACTTCAAGGATGTATTAGGAAGCGTAGGGTGATCATCACAATTTATATAGTCAAACATCGCAAAATAGATTTTAGAGGTCGAAGAATGACAAAATCCGTCCAATCTTGAACAGAAAAAAATAAACTGAATTTGAATCGATTTTGGCGGCGGCGGCATTGCTGCTGGCTGACCTAAATGCCTTTCTGTTGATGACAATGATGATTGCGATGCTGATTAAACGGGAATCATGGAATTGAAAGGACAATTGTTTAGACCAAGTACTTTTTTGGGGGGAGCTTTGCCTCATGAAGATGTCTTTTTGCAATGACAATATCTCAAAAAGGTCGCGTTGATCTTACACAAGTCCTGTATTTACTTATGACCTGCTTTATGTCGCCATCTTATTAAGAACATCAGCAGCAGCAAAGAATGGTATGACAATTCTACTATCACAAATGGAGATTATGGTGTACAAATGCTGCATAAACTTAGATTTTCTCTCGCATCGTCTCAATAATAGGCTTTATTTGATATCAGTGTAAGCTAAAGGATGCTCAGGGAGATACCTCCTCTTCTCCTCCTCCTGGCTCTGATATAACCTATCTTTTACTAACTAACGATTGATTGCTTAAAATCTATAGGATATACTAAAATTGTATTATATTTATTCTAAAATGTCTTCGGTGAGAGCCCGCAGGGCGACATCGAACGTAGCAAGATAGATCGGCTAGTGTCAGATGTACTGTATATCAGTAATAACAAATGGTCAATCAAAGTGTATCAGTGATGCTTTGAATCTATAATAAGTATGCTATGAAACTTTATTCTCAAGAAAATCAATACTGTACAGGGATTCAACTATTCGCTAGACTTATGCTTCTTTTTAGCCTGTTTTGCTCTGTTCTTTCTGTTTTTTTTGGCTCGTTTACGCTTCTCCTTTAATTTATTCTTGGATGCTACTACAGCTGCCGATAAAGCCTCCCTTTCTTCTGTTTGTGGCTTTGGTTGCACTGGCGGTGCTGCTGATGTAGATGATGAAGGCTGTGAAATCATGAATTCGTAGTCAGGGGCATCGCTGTCATCGTCACTACTACTGCTGCTGCTGCTACTACTACTATCAACAACCGCAGCATTGCTTACATTGTTACTGCTTGTCTTGTTTTGCACCATTTGGTTTCTGGCTCTGTTGATGGTCTCTGTAATGGAGTCTATTTTTTGTGGGCGCTGCGGCGTTGTATCCTCCTCTTCGTCATCTTCATCTGCTGCATCGTCAATGAATCGAGAAACGTCTGACGGTCTTGTGAATGGATCTTCAGGGAAATCATCCTCGTAGAAATCGCTATCTTCATCATCTGAAATATCCGGTCGAGAGTATATATGTCTCGGCGCGTTTCTGTATTCAACTTCGTCTAGATTGTCTTCACTATCAGAAGGGTCTTCGTTGATATCAGGCGTTCCACTGTCACTGAGGTATTGGATCACGTCGTTATCACTTTCTTCGTCACTATCAAGGATAAATCTACGTTTGCGATTCAATCTTGTTGGAGGTGAAGGGACATCTTCGTCTAAGAAGGCAAATGAGTCCAAACAAGCCTGGATTTCAATGAATCGATACCTACCATCACTGATCTCGATTGTGCCCACTGCTGATGGCGGATTACTGTGTGTTGGTGAAAGGCCACCACTCAATGATTCGTCATCTGGATCGTCAATTGTATAGCGTCTACTATTCCGCGTGACAAAGCTACTAGGCGCATCGTCATCAAATTCCACTTCATCATCGCTCACAACAAAGCTGTCCAAGTTTGATTCGGACTCGTTCATGTCAGAATCAATGTCGGATCCGCCTCTCTCTGAAGCGTCCCGTATGGGCAAGGCACCATCGTATTGTATATTACATCGCACGCAGTAATTGTCTTCTGATAGCTCCCAGGAGCATTGGGAACAACGATGACTACATATGTCCATTCAGCACCTCCATACTCAAAATTCATTCTCTGCACTTACACGATGCCATCCTCATCCTCATCCACAATAAAGGTGATATTGTTTTCTATAGGGAATAATGCGACCCAATTTTCACGGATCAATCTCTTTCTCGAAGATGGTGTAGGCCGTATTAGATCAGCTGTGTTTATCTGTTAAAATTTTACTGCGTAATTTTACATTGCTGATCACACTTGCCTAGTTCTTGTAGCGCAGTGACATGTACAGGTTGTCGAACAATCTGTACGCGGCACATGGGGCAGGTTTTCGAGTTTCCTAACCATGCATGAATACACGCTCCACAGAATGAATGGCCTGTTGAAGGAGGTTCAATTGAGCATTCAACTATTGTATCCTTTATCTAGTCATCAACTTACCACAATGTAAGGCACTGGGATCGTCAAGAATGCATGTACAAATGGAACAAGTAAGTTCTAATCATCCCAAGTTAATTTACAGCATTGTATTCGACTGAATGAAATCAAGTACCTTTTGTAATCTTGGCAAGTGTATCAGTCGCTTGGTCAGATGCCATGATTGAAATGAAAGGTATTGACATCAAGAAAGGGTTTAATCAAAAGCCTTTTCAAGTAACCTGTGTATGTGACCGCTGAGACTTTTTGTTTCCACATTGCATTGTGCAATGCAGTGTGTATACAGTAGATGACAATTGCCGTCCAGGTTTTGCTCAAGATTGGCCAGATTCGAATCAAAATCGACCTATTTCAACTGTTTTCTTCATTTCGACTATGCAAATAGTGATGATCACATCATACTTCCTAAAGAATTCTAGGAGTACTTTTCAAGGCGCATCCAATGATGGTAATTATAATGGCTGCTTTGTATCAGTATATTGAGCAATACTTGAAATTATGAAATTAGGTTTTAGGCCAAAAAGTCGAAATTTTACTTATAAAGGTTCCACAAACAAAGTTTTAGGGGCTGCTTTGGATAAATACAAACATTTTGACTCAATACATGCAATAGTAAAAGTCTTCGTTTTTGGGGTCAAAAACGCTATCGTTTGATTTTTGGTGAAAACCATGAGGTACCCCCTCATGCTTTTTGGTCGATTTTGGTTGATGTTTTTTTGTTCCGCAAAAAGTTGAGCAAAGGTGACATAAAGTAAGTACTAGACGAGAGCAATTGTTTGGTGCTATTCCAGCGGTTTGAAACGGCTTCTAACACAAGAAATCACGGCTTAAATGCATCCAAATTTCGCTGTGTTTTGCATATTTTTGAGTAGAAAGAGGTAATGTAGGTATGCTGTCTGTTTCTATATCAACGGATTCTATTGAAACAGACATGGGTCATTGTAAGAGTGTCAGATTCACACTTAAACACTGCTTAGTAAAGGATTTCACTGTGTGGTAAGTGGAATACCTAGTAATCGTGCATTTGTTGCATTACTTTCACTTGGCTATGTCACTTGTACCGACATTCAGTTATAGAGTCTCTTGGTCACATCTTATCTTGTTTTCTTTACTTCTTTTCCATACTGTACTATTTTGAGAACGTGAGAGTAGTACCATTTTGATAGTTGATATTTGCTCTACTTGATCCGCTCCATCCAATGTTTCCAACTGCTTTCCATGTCGAATTATATCCATTTCACTACTGCAAAATGTACCTTTTCCACATTCACATGTAGCAAGCTCCTCCATTTTCTCATAGGCGTAATTAACACGAAGTAATTTAGCACCAAGGTGAACTAAAAAAATAACCAAATCATTTGACTCTGAAACAAGTGTACTTGAAAGCTTAATTCGAATGTTCTTCTCAATCTCTCCTCATTCTCGCTACCAGAAACTATAAGGCTCTCGATTTACGTCTCCTTCTGTTTGCATCTGCTATGAGCTTCTTATTCAATGGGATGATAAGGATAGCGTGCTCTTTATTTGCATCATCTGGAACCAGTTTTCAATGATTTTTGTACCACAAAGCATGCACGTTCAAATCAAGAACCAAGTATACACCTTGGAAAACAGAGCATCGATAAAGGCAAACAATCTTGTGCCAACTATTGTGATTGCTGTCAATGACATCAATCAAGTGTTTTGGCCTACTCATAGGTCGCCTAAACATGTAACAGTGTTTTTTTGGTTGGTAGTTGGGTCTCACACTAGGTACGCAACCCATTTGGCAACATTTAGACTCTCATTTTCTCGTAGTTGCTCCTGTGAGTATCATTGGCATTATAAATGTCTTTGAGAAACCAAGAAGAGTTTTATATATATATATATATACATATAAATATTAAATGTGAATGAATAGTGTAAATGATAATAAATTATGTCTTTAACTCTGTAAACCTCATGCTGTCGTCAATTACTATATGCAACTTTTATATGATACGCGAGATACGTACTTTCATTGATATTGAGTTGGTTAGATATCAATTGCCACTGTTTGTATTTCTCCAGCAATATGCCAACTATTTACGGCAGTGGTACAGTGGAAGGACATACTTCTAGCCATACACTTTGGTTGATGATTTGCTTGATGTCAGAGACAATCATTTCAAGTATATGTGTATCCACCAGGCATGATTTAAGTTGGCCTTCACATGAAATTTATTCACCCTGAAAGTCTCTCTAGCATATGACTGCCATGTCAGGCTGTACATTGATCCCATGTGTCATAATAAAGCCTTTGCCTCCAGATCCTCTATTCCTTCTAACTTTAAGATGCCCGAATCCAATCTTTGATCTCTACAATGACTATATAACTATGTTTTTTGAATTTGAATTGAGCATATGAATTGGGCATGTCGGATAGAATGTAGTTGATGAGCATGCCTTCTTTGGTAATATGCAGCTTTCAAATGATTGATCCCCTTTACCAATTTCATCATTCTAATATCATAGATCAAGCAAACATATATGAGTATGGCCTATTTATTGTGTATCATATACATGGCTTAGATTTGTCGAATATAGGGAGACATGAAAAGATGTTACGGCTCACACTAATCAAGAACTCTCAATTAGTAGTAGGGTGGTGGGCAATTTTTGCATTTTGCATTAGGGTTTGCTTCTTGGATAACCATTTTACAGCAATTGAGCTATTAGGTACAGAATTGATAAAAATATCATTTTGGTTTATAATGAAGCCATTGTCAAGTTTGTCAGCCTAAACCAACAATTTAAAGCCCGCATGGCATTTGCTCCAGATTGGACGGATTTGATCAAAAGTCGACTTCTTCGATCTATTTCGCCAGATTTGACTATGAGAATAGTGATGATCATCCCATACTTTTTAATAATACAGTCTTTTCTATCCCTCAGTATGACATCTTAAGGACTTTAAATAAAACCTGGAGCTCGACTCCCCTACAAAAAAAAAATACTTCCTAATACACTCTTGAAGTACTTTTTAAAGCTGCATCCAATGGTGGTAAATATACTAGTTGCTTTGAAAAAAAAATAGTGAGCAAAGTTTAAGAATAAGAGATGCCGTTTTTGACGAAAATGTTGAGATTTCACATATCAAAGTTTCATAAACAAAGCTTCAGAGATTGCGCTGGGTCTGTAGAAACATTTTGATCTCATATACACCATAGTAAAAATCTTTATTTTGAAGGTCAAAAACGCGGTTGTTTGATTTTTGAGGAAAACCATGAGGTATCGCTCATGCTTTTTGGTTGGTTTTTGGCGAACCCAAAAAAAAGTTGAGCAAAGGTATCAGAAAGTAAGTGCTTAACGAAAGCAAGTATTTGGTGCTATTCTGAGAGTTTAAACCGACCTCTAATGCGAGAAATCGCAACTCAAAGGCATCCAGTTTTAGCTGTGTTTTGCATACTTACGAGTAGTCAGAGGTGATGCAAGTATGCTATCTGCCTTTAATTGAATTGATTCCAACGATACGGGCGTGGGGCATTCCAGAAAAGTTAGATTCACAGCTACAGGCCGTTTAGGAATAATCCGTACATAGCAGTGCAAAGTCAAAAGGCAGAATGTTGATACACATTGCATATTAGAACCCCACAAAATGGCTCAAGACGCTGTAGGTAGCTTTAAGAGTATGTTATTTATATAGACACCAAAGAGATAAATGTTGTATGTGGAGTGGAAAGTATGATCAATTGACTTTTTGAGATATGAGCGTGCTGTTTTTGCTTCAAAAGCGATAAATGCCTTGATTTTTGATGACCCACAGTTTTGAGATACAGTGGTATAAAAAAGGAACCAGCTGGCTCTGGTAATCCAGATAGGTCTGTAGCTGAATGGGTTACAGCGAAACCATACTGTGCTATTAGGTGGATTGCGCTTGTTTTGAAGCAGACTCTTACATTGATGCCCATCTCAACAGTATCTCACAATTTCCATGGTTACAAAGTATGCCTTCTACAACCATATCGCATGTGAAATGAACGAAATTGCTATATTGATAATGAGATTTTTGCTCACGTATCGCCATTCAATGGGTTGTTGTTGTTAAACTGACAATAGAAACAGAGAAAAACTTGAATCAATTGCCAAATACGACCATAGTCAATGTGGAGCAACAGCTAAGGGCAGAGCGTTCCCACGTCGCTTTTTTTTTTACCAGTTTTGATTGCAAGGCAGATAAGAATGCAATGTTCGAAAAAGACGACTCATTGGCAATAAGTGCACTCAATTAACTATGGAAATATCATACATTGACAAGTGCGCATTGGTTAAGAAAAACGCCCATTGGTAACCTCGTTGTTGTAAACAATTCCTGTTCTCCTTGCATACAAATACTGGAAGACATGCCTGCAATGATTGATGGCAAAAGATGGCTACATGCCTGCAAAGATTGCTGACAAAAGATGACTACATGCATTGGGCTTGTATCATTGATTAGATACAGTACCATTCGATACTTTGGATATGTATTGTCATAGTAAACATATGATTTTCATTAAACATCATGTTGAAAGACGAAGCAAGATTTCATACTCATCACGGCGTTCATTGATTGTTTATCGCTTGAAATCAGTAACACAAACAAAAACTTGTATAAAATGCCCCACCCAAATAGATTTTGCTCTCGCCAGCGTCTATCGACCCAATGCAAATAGGCGCACAATCGGTTTCTTCCGCACAACTGGGGGTGTGTGATGATTCTTGATAAAAATGGCATCCGTATTCATGCAAATTTCTTGCGATAGATCCTCGTTGATGGGAATAAAAGCTTATTTTCTCTTTTTCGCAAATACAACCAAAAGGCAACAAACCTTGCAAACCTTAAAATATGCTCAATACACCTTATATGGGAGGCATCATCATCTTTGTTCTTTAATGCAAAAAAAAAAAAAAAAAAAAAAAAAAAAAAATCGCCACCACCACACCCATTCTTGAAAGACGCTTTCTAAGAACCTTTTTTTTTTTTTTTTTTTTTTTTGCGTTACAATTTGTTATACCGGATACTGACTATATATACCATCATTCGGCTGAATAAAATGAATCATGTCAAATATACATCATTTGAATAGTCTCATCTCTTTATAGGAAGTTGAAATGGGCCACTCTGATTTCTACATTTCTATTTTTGATATGTCCTTGTTGTTACGGATTTTGCTATATATGTCCTTTGCTCTCGCTCGCTCCCTCTCGTCTCCCTCCCTCCCTCCCTCTCTTGCTTAGGTTTCTGCGGTTTTCAAGGTGGCACACAAATACTACATCCAGACTCTTCTATGCTTGTGCGTCCATACACACGTGAGAAGTCCTTTCTCAATCCAGATATGCTTTAGGAAACGCCGTAGACAACTGTCCTAAAAAAGTTGCTGTGTAATTGCAAATCACAAAGAGGACCACCACCGGGATTCAACATCCTGTCTCCATTTAGTAATCGTCGGTTGTTGTAGATGATCCCTCCTCTCTGTGAATTGCTATAAATCAAGCGGATAGATAGATCTCTTTCTCTTTCTCCTTGTTTCTTTATCTTATATCATCACAATTACAACTATGAACAACTGGGGAAATAGCCACTGCTTGAATACCAATGTCACCTCATCTCCTTGTGTCAATGCAATGCCTACTCCAGAAGCTTATTATTCTCCCAATCAGAGCCAGATTGAAGCGATCCAACAATCCGAGTACTGGTACCAACAGCAACAGCGTGGGATCTCCCCTTCTTCATCTGGTTTGTCTCGAGAAGATAGCTACTCTCCGTGCTCGACTCCAATCTTTAATGTGGATGATGCTCACATTATGAACCCTCCTCTCTCTTCCTCTTGCACGTCCCAATTTATGCCATTGATTGATCCCATGGTCTATAGTAACAACAGTAACCATGCTACAGCTGTAGCATCTATATCACAGCCTCCCTCTTCTTATCAGCAGCCCATGATGATGCCCTTACTGGAGCATGAAACACAAGCACACCATGAGAAGCTGTTATCACACTACAATGACCATACATCCATGATGGCCACCACTGATATGAACACTTATATGACATACAACCTTCGTTCCCCTACACCACCTATTATATCAAACATGTATTCTATGAATGCTGCCCCAATGCCGGTCAACAGCATGTATGTTTCATATCACAACAACTACGCAAATCAACAACTAGTACATACCCACAACCATGCAACCACTGCCATCCACCGCTCGTTAGCAACACCCTCATTACCACACGCTTACGGACAGCATTTAGTCTACAACCGCTATCCGGACAATGTCAAGTATACACAACAAGTACCAAGTCATTTGATGACAACAACAGAAGCAAAAGAAGGCAATGCATGTGTCTCATCATCACCATCAGTATCCTCTTCTTACAGCAGCAGTAGCAGCAGCAGTAACACCATGCATGGCACAACTTCTACTATACGACACAAACAAACCACCAATGGTACCTTGAACGGATTTCCTTGCTTAATACCTGAATGCAACAAGCTGTTCTCTCGACCCTACAACCTCAAATCACACATGAGAACACACACTCATGAAAGACCCTATGAATGTACATATAAACCTTGCGCCTGGAAGTTTGCTCGTCCTCATGATCTAAAAAGACATGAACTACAACACACTGGCCAAAAGCCTCATGGCTGTCGGTTCTGTCATCGCAGATTTGCAAGAAGTGATGCTCTCAAGCGCCACTGGAAGGTCGATATCAATTGTGCACAGGCTTTGAAGCAGGAAACGGCAATGAATGGTGGACATGAGATACAGACGAGACGCAAAAAGGCCAAAAAGAGCTCCAGTAAATAATTGCTTGTATTGGTGCATTTGCATGCTGTTTCATCTCATGTGGCTCGCAACTGTTTCGTTTTCAAAATATAATATATATTATCACTCTATTCACTTATCTATAATACAACCTACATCCAAACCATACCCTATATCCGCTTAGGTTTGTTCTCGTTTCTTTTTTTTTCTAAACTGTACATCAAGCATAATAAATATCTCATTGTATTCATAACAAAACACTCCCCCCAAAAAAACAACGCCTCTTGATTTAAAGCGGGTTGATCCAAAGTTGCTCATTCCGGATGCTTCATGCATGTCGATCAGCTTGAAGCCTATAGATCTATCTGTTTAATATAGATTTCACGTTTATCATTGGTTTACTCGATTAATTAAACCAGCATTGCGGTTGTCATCTTAGTAGGAGCAGTATCTTCTCCTGCCAGAGCTAATTGGAATGGATTACGCTCTTTGGCGTATGGCAACCCACACATCTTGGCTTATCAAAGCTCTGCCTCAGAACGTCATACATGTCAAAACTGTATATACATGTCGGTCGGCCCAGAATCAAGTATAGGATTTGACTTGGGCATAAAATTGCCACGGATGCTCTTCCTTTTCCAACTACTCTCTGGTGGTACAACAGTTGGGGTCTGGATGATTCAGCAGAATGACCTTTCTCCTTGAATATGATTGATGGAAGAACCGACAACAAAGGAAATATTAATATCAAACCAAGAGTGATACAAAGAGGCTGTTTTGGCTCAAATCCCAAAAATTAACAAAGCCGACACACAGAGAAATATAGAGACCCGAGTGATACAAGGTACCAACTTTATACTACATGATTTACAATTCAAAGTTATCTCAATAGAGTTGTTATACTGTACACATCCTTCAAATGTGTATGAAATCAATAGTAAATATTCACTTTTGAAGACATGAAATACGGATCAGACTCTCTGAACACGTTCAAAGCGAATAAAAAGCAGGTGTGGTAGGGACAACCGATCAATTTTTAGCTACCAACTGGAAGACAGCCGATAGTTTGAGCTATTTTGCTAGGGTTAGTTTTTAGAAATGAGCAATTTCGGTAATAAAACCATCCAGTAGTTTGGAATACTAAATTATGGGCCATCTAGTTGTTTAAACTATTAAATTATAGACCACACGAAGATGTGGGCTGCTAAACTATGAGCTGCCTCCACTGACTATGGCTACTTGGTGATGATTGAGAGTCTTGACGACAGACCTTTTAGCTAGCTAGTGCCATAAGACATGCAACCATGCCACCTCCAAGAAATCCCACCAATCCTTGCCTGGAAAAAGGCTGTGCAAGCCATGTGCTTCATCTGAATTAGTTTATTTGCATACCCATCAGTTAGGCAGTAGCTTCAAGAATACAAAGAAACAAGGGCAGTATTTCTCAAAAAATTGATGAAACCAGCTTTCACTCAAAAAAAGTAATATTGCATTTTCAAAACCAGTACATTGGAGAGTGGCATTACGATAGAGTAGCCCCATTATTTTAAGAAAGTGCCAAAATCAATAAGCCTAACTGTACAAACACAAACATGTACAACAGTAACACAATATCACTGCAAGGAGTAAAAAGGAAAAGAAAACGTATGATTTTTTCATTATATTCTGCAATTGGAAAGCTTGTTGTGGGGGTGGGGGGGGGGTGGGATTTATTTCTTTTTGAATTTCAAGAGTGAAGGTAGTAAGACGTCAATTGGGCCCGCTTTTTTAATGAAATCGTGCTAGAAAGATTATTAGTTGAGACGCCAATAAGCAGCAGGCAATAGACTTACTTCTAATAGTTCGGCAGCCGTGGCTCGAGATTTCACATCTACACATAGACACACTGCAAGATAGCTTTTCAGTTCTTTGGATAGTTTGTCAGGATTCTTGAGAGAAGGCGTGCCATTGGTGGCAATCAGGTACAGTGCCTTCAGTGGCTCCTCGTCGAGGTAAGGCGGCTCATTCTCAATCATCTCAATGGCCATGATACCTAATGACCAAATATCGACTTTTGCACCGTATTCCTTTTGCTTGACAATTTCAGGCGCCATCTTTCACGAGATGTTAATAGCAGGTGGATGAATAGATAAGAGCAACTTACCCAGTAAGGCGTGCCCACCATGGTAGCTCGCTTGTTTCGTTGATCTGTAAGTTTAGCGCAATATCCAAAATCACTAATCTTGACTTGACCAGCAAAGTTCAGCAAGACGTTATCAGATTTAATGTCTCGATGAATGATATTTTGAGAGTGCAAGTGATCCAACCCCTTTGCCGTCTAGATAGGTCTCACAAGCTGAGTACATTACACACAACAGCACACTGGCCACTCACCTCATAACAGACTGTCGCTATTTGTTGCTCTGTCATTGTGTTATGTTCAATTACGTCTGTCAATGCACCTCCTTCCATGTACTCCATCACAACCCATAAATCACCACGCACCAGAAAGGAATCAAGGAAATTGACAATGTTACCGTGATGAGATTCCTTCATGATCATAATCTCATTGACAATCAAATCCAGTCGAGATTGTTTGGATAGATCCATCTGCTTGACGGCTACTTTTGCATTGGTCGTTTTGTGGTCTGCTAGGTACACAGAGCCTGATGCGCCTTGTCCGATTCGCTTGGTGCGCTTATAGATCAAATTGGGGTCTCCACTAGTAACAACCGACCTCAACCGCTCCATGATCTGGTGATCACTCATGGTGCTGATTCTCTGATCTTGTTTTTTGTTTGTTGCTATATCTGCGGCCTTTTTATCTGTGGTGGTATTAGTGGAGGGAGATGGCGTAGTGGTTGCATTATTGGAAGAAGGCACAGGCGTAGATATTTGCGGTTGGGGATTGGGTATAATGGATGATCGTCTTGTGGTCTTGTTATTAGATGGCAGTGTCTGTGTTGCTGGAGAAAGAAGTAGCTTGTCCTTTTGGGCGGTTACCGACATCTCTATGTCGCGTGTTCGCTTCATGAGGTTTTTATCACGATCCAATGCAGCAGCTGCCTCCTTGAGCTTCTCTTTTTCCCTTTCAAATCGTGTGCTACGATCAGACGGGGCTGCACTCCGTGTGCCACCATTACTAGTTTCTGGATGACGCTTGGTCGTATTGGATGTGTTTTTGCGAGGCAGTGAGCCACTGAGTGTCGTAGGCGTAGGCGATGCTGGTGTCGTGCTGCTAAAGGGCGCTAGTGTTGCTGATTTGAAAGACTTGCTCTCATGATTGCTCTTGGCTAACTCTTCTACAAACGTTTGCTTCTCCTTCATGCTCTGTTGCTGTAACTTTAGCTTTTCCATCATCATCAAGACATCTTTATCCATGGCTTTGATATGATTCATATCGACTTTGGGTAGGACCGGCTCTTTTTCGTGGTGGTGTTGTTGTTGTTGTTGTTGTTGTTGAGAGTTGCTGGTAGCAGCAACAGCAGCAGCAGCTGGTTTATGGGTGGGTCTAGCTGGAGCCTCACGAATGTGTCGGGGTGCTGGTGTGGATCGACTGGGCTTGGGATTTGACATTTTCTTTTCTTGTTCCCAGTTGTGATTCTTCCTATACCCATTGCTGCTTGTATTGTTGTCACTTCTCTCATATGCGCTTTTGTCTCTGCGAGTTTGCTCAGTGTAGAATTCAAGTGCTTCCAATACAGCTTGCGGGTTCTTTGCGGCATCCTCGGGTGTGATTTTTGAGCCCTTCAATAATGCATTCCATTGATCAGGCAAGCCCTAGTTTGCGCTCGTGGATAAATATTTGTCCTTTTGATATCCTCCATCACCAAACACACTTACTGTGAAAGCACCAGTGATAGGATCAAATCCCACATGGACCTTGTGAACAAAATTAGTGGGGCCTGATGCGCCCAACGGTGACCTCTTTTACCATGGTTTTAGTGATCATACAGGACCCCATTTCACACAGAAGCACTTACATTGTATATCTCATCCATCCATGAATACAGCTCTTCATCGTTACGACATGCGATATAATATGACTTTGCCTTGGTGCCCAACTCAAAGCAATGTGATTTTAGTTCCGAACGTGCTACGGCTGTGATTTCCTTTAGAAATACGAGTGCTACGCATTGGCCCGTTTGCTGATAGAGAGACAAAGTGTTAGCGTATGTGCGTTATGTTTGGCTGCTGCTTAGGCCTTACTTCGTTGCGATGAAATGTGATTGTCTGCTCACGTAAAACGACATATCGCTTTGACCAAATCCAAGCTCTCAATCCATCCTCCTTGACCTGAAGATTGCCATCCTTCTTTATCTCCGCCATGCTAACACTGAAGAGAGAGAGAGAGAGAGAGAGAGAGAGAGAACGCAAGAAGTTGGAAGAAAAAGAAGTTTAAGAAGTTGAGAAAGAAAAAAGAGTTGAAAAAGAGGAGAGATTGTTGATTGACGAGAGGGGTCAAAGGAGAAGGTCAAAATGGCTGCTCCAAATACAAAGGTTAACTAAAAATCGCTTAAAGGGGGGAGCTAACCTTGGTGTTAACTCAGAACAAGAATCTCAGGGGTAAAATAGACAGTTTCATTTTTTTTTTTTCTTCTTTGTAGAGCGTTATTTGCGAAATGATGAGATATAGCAAGCAGTCAATCAGGGCATGTGCAACTGAGATTTCAAGTACGTTTGATGGATGATTGGGCGTTTTGAGGTAAAGGATGGAGGATCCATGCTTGTGATGGGATTGTTTGACATCGAATGGTCGGTTCATGTGTAATCCATGGGAAAGAGAGCCAAATAAGACGATCCAAGATCTTGAACAATAGAAAATAAATTCGGAAACGCTTCCGGAATGTCGAAAAATTGTTTGTTTCCCCTAGATGAGAACGGCTCATCATCCTGAGGGCTACCCCACTCTAAAATGATGGGCAAATCACAGCATCCACAACAAGAGCAAGCATCAAAACAACAACAACAACAACAACAACAGAATGAGATGCAGTATACATACACATGCAGGGCGTAATATTTGATTGGGAGGGAAACTATGATTACTTAGTGTGCAATACATCATTTATTGTATATGATACACATGTGATACAATAGCTAGTATATAGGCGTGTATGCATAAATACACAACCCAGCAGATTAAAATGGCGGTTACATTGTGTATAGATTGCCACATTGCAATAAGGAGAGGTATATAGAGGTGATTGCAATTTACGCTTAAAGTGAATATCAGCCAATTTGAATGTTGTTGTTACTCCTTAATTACACAGTGATTGGTTACAATCATCGTTGATGATATTTTAAATCAATGCGTGTACTAGCAGGTTTGTTTACCTACAAGGTGCATCTAATTATTTTTTTTCCCCTTCTAACCTTGTTATATATATCAGAAAGAATATATACATATATGATAAACTTGATTTATAGTGTGGAGCCCCACTGAAGTCAGCATTTGGACAAGCAGCGCAAGCAGCAGGTCGTCCACCAACCCCGTTTACATGGATTTCTTTGCACGTTTGCCTTCAATCCCATCAATTATTGTTATTCTCCCCCCCCTTGCTTTTTTCTTCTCTCTTCACTTTCTCTCTTTTGTATTAAATCTACTCAATTCAATTTTACCCTTTTTTTTTTCTTTCTTCTTCTTCTTCTTCTTCATCTCTATTTGTACTATATCTACATATAACATTGCAAGAGACTCTTTTTTATATTCTATACTTATTCACCATCATCATCATTATATATATATATATATATATCTAAAGCAAAAAAAAACACTCTTAAAAAAACCCCACAAAAAAAAATCAATGCAACGATCCAGTATGATGAAAACTCATACTTACAGCAAAAAGCAGATGGAGCAAAAGCCTAATCCCTCTGTCGCGTCCACCTCGCCATCCACCTACGGCATGCCAACGCCCTCCAACAGCAACACTGCTACTCGATTAGCCCAAATTGACGAAATGAAGTATTTCTTTGCCACTGCAACGCAACATTGGGAGCACAACAAATCTTTAAAACGTTTTGCATTACCTGGAGGTTCAGGCTCAGGAGCAGCAGCAGGAGCAGCACCCGGCGGAGCACCGCCCAACGGCACTGGAGAGAGCATTTCGTGTGTGCTATGGAATGACTTGTTCTTTATTACAGGAACGGATATTGTACGCTCGCTCACATTTCGCTTCCATGCATTTGGTAGGCCGGTTACCAATGCAAAGAAATTTGAAGAGGGCATATTTTCTGATTTGCGCAACTTAAAACCTGGTCATGATGCTCGATTGGAAGAACCCAAATCTGAATTACTGGACATGCTGTATAAGAACAATTGCATCCGCACGCAAAAGAAGCAAAAGGTTTTTTATTGGTTTTCTGTGCCTCATGATCGCCTTTTCCTTGATGCTCTTGAACGTGATCTCAAGCGCGAAAAGATGGGTATGGAGCCTACTACCCAGGCCGTAGCTGAACCTGCAGCTTCTTTATCTCTCGATTCTACGCAGGAGCTGTTCGATCAGCTGAGAAAGAGTATATCACAGTCGGCTGCTGCCACCGCTCAGGCTATTGAAAACGACTTGTCTGCCTCCAATTCGGCTTTGAGCACACCCGTACCCAACAGCAGCTTGTCGCTCAATTCAATCCATCAGCGTATGTAGGCAATTTGAATGTCATGACATGTAACTCACCTTGTAGTCATAGATCATTCGAGCTATCTGGACACGGATCCACATTGGCCTACTTCGCCCACACCCAGCTCAACTGCAAATCACACACCATGGTCCTCTTCCCAATCCAGATTGGAACGTGCTGCTTCTCAAGCCAAGAGACCGCGTGTCAACTCTGTGCCTGCAAGTATTGGCCAAAAGCAGCAGATGCAATTGCTTCAGCAGCAGCAAAAGAGCCACCGTTTAAGCTATGGCTCCTACTTTGCCGGCAGCCCCATTAGCACCAGCAGCACAGCATCTCGTCGCAACGGCCGTCGCATCTCAAGCACATCCTCTTCCATGCTGTCTTCTCCCACTACAACAGCCGATGACTTGCTCTTCCGTGATGATGCCAGCAACAGCACAGCAACGCATGCTACAGTCGACATGTCTCTCAAGCCCTCCAATTCGTATCGTCACCACCCTGATTATATCATGGATCCCATTTCCAACGGAGTCAATCAATTAGAAATCACGCCCTCTTTGTCCAACACGAGTCATAGTACTAGCACAAGTAGCAGCATGTTGCAGCACAATAAAAACAGCAGCAGCAGCGTCGTGTTGCCATCCAAATCACTTGACTCGAATGCTATGAAAAAGACTAAAACTATTTTTGGCAATTTGAGCTTGTTTGATGGCTCTCCAACCTACAAGCAACGTAGACGTCGTGCTGCATCCGTCTCTTCATCCGTCTTGAATCAGCCTCATCCCTTACATATCACTGCAGGTGGCCCTGAACGTGTTGTTCGTCGTCATGACAAGTGCCATCTTCGTACGCCCAGCAGTGCTACTGCTAGTAACCAGAATTCGTCCTCGTATGCATCGTCGCACTTGCCGTCCAATATGGTAAATAGTAATAGTAGCAGGTTAGCCATGGCAGCTGTCAAGGCGGGATTTGCCCCAAACCAAATCATCGCGACGCCTGCTGCTCCTCTGCCTCCTCCCATGCCCATGATGACTGCAAACCACTCCCACGGCTGGCGTCCATCTACCACAACGGCCATTGCTCAGCAGCAGCAACAGCAAGACTACCATTGTCCTATGCCTGATTGCAGGCATTTGTTCAAACGGCCCGAGCATCTAGAGCGTCATATGCAGTCGTTACACATGTTTATTTGCACTGTGTGTGGCAAGCACTTTCCTCGATCTGACCATCTGGCTCAGCATCACCGCCTTGAACACGAAATTCAGCAGTACGATCATGTCTCTTCCTTGAGCGGTAGAGGCGACAACAACAATGACGATGACTCGTCTTCTCCAGACGACTATCAACGCAATTTCATGTTTAATACAGCCTACGGCACAAGGCAGCAAAATCAGCATCAGCAGCATCAGCAACAGCAAATGCTCAATCACAATCAACAGCCTCAGGACACTGGGTTTTACTCCAACTCTTCTCGCCATTCATTCGATGATGCTCGCTCCTCTGGCTGGTCTACTGCTCTTTCTGCTGGTGGCAGTGGAAGTATGAGCAGCAGCCACAACAGCAGTCGATGCAGCACGCTGAGTCCCATGCTTGATCTTGATTTTGATATGCCTGATATTCAACCGCCCACCGCTACCACCGATACCGCTATTCAGCCCAACCTCGATGCAGTAAACACGCCCATGAGCTCCAGTCGCAGTAATACTTCACTAACTACCACGGAATCCTCCAGTATCATTCTGAATGGCAGACAGCAGCAACTGTTTAATGCATCGTATTATCCTGAGCCATCTACTATCGAGGACGAGCCCAATTGGAGTTCCAATGGTGTGACAAATGCTGCTGCTGCTGCTGCTGCTGCTGCTGCTGCTTCGGCAATGCGAAAGAGCTCATCTTCCTTGGAGGATGACTTTAGCTCATCATCTGCCTCTTCACCTAGCTCCACATTGCAATACACAGGTGACCCATTCAACAACAAGGTGGGTGTAAACTATGCCTCGTCTTCTTCGTCCAATCTGAACCATCTGCCAATGACGCTATTATCGCCATTCAAACCGACTCAATTGCAACAGCAACAGCAACAGCAGCAACAGCAGCAGCAGCAGCAGCAACAACAACAACAGTTACAAGACGAGCATCATTTATTGCAAACGACCCACCTGAGCGAGCCATATTCCAACTACGCCCACCATCATCAGCAGTTTGACGTTAACATGGACAGCATGTTTGCGAACAACAGCCCCAACTCCAATCCTATGAATGAGAATAGCCCTGCGAACAATTATCAGTCTATTTATGCACCCTATGTTGATCAGCAATACTCTCCTTTTATAACATCACCTGATAATATGAACATCGTTTTTGGCGCCTAAAATATATACAAATAACAACATCAACATGAATCCCAAAAAAAAACAACAAAAAATCCAACAAAAACAATGACACTTTATAAGCATCTCATGATATCGTTTTTTTTTCTTTTTAGTAATTTATTTATTTGTCTCTTTTTTTTTTTTTCTATACAATTTTATTAGTATTATCATTCATTCTATGCATTTTTTCATGAATAACAGCATTTTTTTTTATATGTTCTCTCTTTCTCTTAGAAGGCAACCTCTCTTATACACATTATGACAGCATTTCCTCCCCTCTTTCCCTCTTTATTTTCAAAGGAAATTTATATTGGCAGTAAAATAAACCTCTTTTTTTATATGAAATCCTTCATCACATGAATGATTTTTGTTGTGTTGTGTTGTGTAGCCATAAATTAGCATTTAAAGATAAAAGGCTTGATTTGCTTCTTTTTCTATCTATTCATTCTTTTTACTATCATGAAATTTAGGTTGCTATTGCTGTCGGCATTGCTGCTATCAGCTGAATCAAAGCATATCACGACCAAGGTGGCCATTTTGGGCGCTGGTGCTTCCGGCATTTCAGCTGCTAAATTATTGTCCAAGGCGGGGATGCACGACTACATTATCGTGGATGCGCAATCCTTCATTGGAGGTAACCTCGACAGACGCTTTATGGAGATGATGCTCTGACAAAGTGTGTAGGCAGAGTGCAGCATGAAGCGTTTGGCAATAGCTATGTAGAATTGGGTGCCAATTGGGTATGCATGATGCCATGATTTGACATGCCTATACGAGTGCTGATTTGATGGCAGATCTACGGCAAAGGCGATAATCCCATCCATAGAATGGCCATGCAGCATGGACTAAAGACGACACCCAACGACAAGAACAATGTTGCTTATTTCGATGATTCTGGGCTGCTAAAAGATCAACAAGAGGGGATCAACGTCAGCAATGAATTTGAATCAGTCAAAGTCAAGCTTGTAGATTATGCAGGTATATTTACAGATACACACACAAACACAAACACCGTTAACTAATACACAGTAACAGACAAAAGAATGAAGCGTCAACAAGTGGACCTATCAAGTAGATCAGCTCTGAGTCTACTAGGATGGAAGCCTAACACGCCACTGAAGGCAGCTGTAGAGTACTTTAACATTGATTGGGAGTTTTCTGAGCCAGCTGAAATGTGCTCACTTGATTATGCTACTGGCACCGTCGATTCAGTTACAGGCACTTACCCATTTGGCAATGAATTTGTAGTCGATGAAAGGTGCTGATCATTCTTGTTGTGCTATCCACCTCTTCCATCACTCATCACGTTTCTTTCTTTGAATAGAGGATTTAATTACGTCTTGAAGAAGGAGCTTGCGACATTTCTACACACGGATGACGCCCGTCTCATGCTCAACACGTTAGTTACAGAGGTCATTTACAATGACCAAAATGTGACAGTAATCACTTCAAATGGACATGTCATTGAGGCCGAATATGCAATATGCACATTTTCGTAAGTGGTCCATTGTTTATCTGCTGTTGCTATCCTGACCTGCTTATTTTTTTGCGACAGACTAGGCGTATTGCAAAGTGATTTGGTCCGGTTCACGCCCATGTTCCCTGAATGGAAGAGAGAATCTCTGCTCAGTTTCCACATGACGACCTATACAAAGATATTCCTTCGTTTCAAGAAAAGGTTCTGGGGAGATTGGCAGGTACGTCAGTGTAACAAACAATCAGATTCAATATAAACATATATGATTTACAGTTTGCCCTGTATGCCAATAACGTGACACAGCATGGTGGATACTACACGGTATGGCAAAATCTAAATGCACCAGGCTATCTCTTCAAACCAGCTGCTACAGGAGATAACATCTTGATGGTAACCACGACAGATACGGAATCTCAGAGAATAGAGCGAATGACAAACACCCAAGTGCAACATGAGATTATGCTTGTGCTCCAAAAGATGTTCCCCTCTGTCCAGGTTGAACCACCTATCGACATCTTGATCCCACGCTGGCATCAGCACCCTCTCTTTCGAGGTTCTTATTCAAACTGGCCTATTGGTGCGCTCAAGAAGCATCACCTGAACATGCGAGCACCATTGGAGAATAGATTATGGTTTGCAGGGGAGGCTACATCCAGTGCTACCTATGGCTTTGTGCACTCGGCTTGGCTGGAAGGAGAGTCAGTTGCAAAGAGTATACTGCAGTGCATCACAACTCATTGTCCTGTGTATGAAAAACATGAATACATTACAGGCTGCGATGTCAATGTGAGAGAGAAGCCTCGATTTTTTGGCCAGTTTTCGCATTAGTAGCTATCAAATAAAGATGTTGCCACCTCGAATAGATTACATGTACAATTGGGAAGAGACTGCATCCCTGGAATTTATTCATAACTATTCTTGTTCAACTTGGGGAGAGGCACTGTAATCAGGCATTTTCTCTCTTCTTCTATCACTCACGTCGTGCTGCTGTTGTTCGCTTTGATTTTCTGGGGCCACAGTAGATGCAACGACTTCATCCTGTGAGACAGCATCTTGCACGTCTTGGCTCATTTGCTGATGTTGCTGTTCCTGAGAAGGTGTGTTTAGAGGCATCACACTCAATACCCGTGTCAGTTTGATGATCGTGTCAGATAGTTGCTCGTCCACACTTGTCAACACTTTCAGTCTTTGTTCCAGTGCATCTCTCGTAGAGGTTGACAAGATGCGCAAATCATCTTCTGACAAAGTGATAGGAAGTGTGTTTCCGTTTTGCTGAGAGTGTTGATATTGTTGAGGGTTCAGAGGAACGAGTGGTATCAAACCAGGTATATTGCTCGGTTGGTTTGATGGTGTCAGGATGTTTAAGGATGAAGAAGAGTTTGTTTGATGAGTAGGGCCAGAGGGAATAGGTATGTGGTTGAATAAGGACTGCACAAATGGTTGCTGTGGCGGTTGATGATAATTAGGCTGCTGTGGTGGGGCCTGAGGTGGTTGTGGTGGTTGCTGTGCTTGATCTTGAGGCTGTGGTTGGTTTTGATTGTTTGCCTCAGTCAATACAGAACGACGACTACACACAATCAAAGATAAATAGAATGCGCAGAAATGCTAGTTGTCTCTCACTTACCATGTAGGACACGTTTGCTGTCTCTCGAGCCAACTGCGCAAGCAGTGGAAGTGGAATATATGCCCACAGGGCAGTTTCTTGGGCTGATCCAAATTTTGCTCGGTATCGCCTCGATAAGCTGCTGCTTCCGGGTTATCCTCATCCATCGTTGTATCCACAATCTGCATCTCCTCTCTACAGATAATACAGGTGCTATCGCTTGATCGAGATAAATCTTCGGCAGTTGCGTTGGGATATAGTTCGTTCATGTTGCGAGTCGCTCTTCGGTAACGATAAAGATCTCTGCATTTCTGGATGAATGATCTGAAGGTGACATAAACATCTCGAATGATGTGCAGAGGCAATTGATAGTTCAAGCAAATGTACAAAAAGAACACAAGGTAGGTAATCAGCTTGAAGAAATCTAGTAGACAACATGATGAGCCATACTTCACCGAGAGCTTCTTGCATGCCCATCTTACCTGTTACAAGGTCCAAGTAAAACACATACATGGATTTCCCCTCCCAGGTCTGTTCTGTTCGCATGTCAATCACATTGAGTATGTATTTTCCAATCGTTGACAAGATTGAGCATATCAAAATGGTGTACTAGCCCTCATATTAGCTTTGGCATGCTTGTGTCGTATCAAATGGACTTACTTCGAAGCCAAACATGATCATCATATTGGGGCCCTTTGTCAGGGTGACATGAATGGCATGATTAGCTAATAGTGAATCTATCAGGAGCAGAATTGCCAAGAGATTGATCATTCGAACATGGAATGTAACGCGGTTTGCCGGAGATTGCTCCATCTAATATATATACTGGTAAGCTACTACGCTGCATTGATCCTCGGTATTCAACTTACGAATTCAACACGATCTTGACATAGCCAGTGAAATATCTTCAAGAACAGTAAGGTGGTAAAGACAACAATGAACTGCAAGTCAAACTCTTCTCGGAAGATGGTCATTGCCAAGCATGTTTCTGTCACTGCGTACCAGGATCTCTCGTATAAATGCTACAGAGAGAATGTAAGCTGCCAGAACAACATTGTCTCTCATGCTAGCTAACCTCGACTTCAATTGCTCTTAATCGTCCAAAAAAGATGGCTTGTAATGCTTTGCCGAATAACACTGATATAATAAGACCCATGTTTAATAGAATCTACACCAATCTACTGTTACTGCCTGTAGTTAAGTAAGTATTCTACCAAGCTTACCATCATACATGCGCTGGACTTTGAAAGATAGATACAAGCAGCATAAAAATTTGAGCGTTGATGCATTGCGGAAAGTACCACTCCAATAGCCAGTATGGAGGATACGCAGCCATAAACGGCCAATCTCATTTTTTAAAAAGTAGTTGTAATAGTGGTATTAAACAAGGAAAAAAGAACGGTAAAATGTGTATGCTAATAATCAAATTCTATAATAAAGAGCCACAAAGGAAAATTCAATTGAGCATCACAGAAATGCCCGCCACGTATTCATCACCAAATGACGTACTTTGATTGACCAGAATCCATCGGGTACGGCTACCTGGGTTGCCTGCCTCACCATGCAACCTTAAATCTTTGGAACGAAGGCATCCACATCTCTGACCTCTTTGAACAGATAAAAAAAAAAAAATAGGAGATGTTGGTTTTCACAGCTGAAAACCGAGGTTACTGCTGAACAAGCCCTACTTGCAATATACATCATGACGCACAACCCCATTCACGCAATGTGGTAACACTGATGCTAACAGAGGACGGTCTGTCAGCATATCATATATCTTAGAGTTCAACGTATGGCTATGTTATCCATCTATGAAAGCTGTCTTGACTATTCAATGCGAGACATGTCGAAGAAAATCTCTTAACCAGCATCATTGAAAGAAATTGACATGATTTGATTTGAAAATCTTGGACATATAATGGCTGTAATGTACTGCCTGATTGCTTAATTAATGCAAGCATATATATTTGTCTACTTTTGTGTCTTTTTCAATAATTGCAAGTGATGTGATCAGTCTATTTTTACACAGCAGCAACCCCGCTTTAATTCTCGTGCCTGATTGCCCTCTCCCTTTTGCAATTGAATCAAAGAAAGACGGTTGGTTGGGTCAAAATTTTGAGAAAAGGGAGTATTTAATTGTCTTGTGCTTGCTTTGTGATACGCTTGTTCTTTTCTTTTCACTCCAATAAAGAAGACAACCTTACAAACTGGTTGAAATCCTTGTTCTGATCATCCAGTTTCTTTGTGTACTTACAGCGATCTATATAATCTAAAATGGTAAATAAGCAAGGAGAAAGAGCACATGATGGAGCCAAAATATTGATTTGCACAAGTGTTGTGGAGGAAGCAAAGGCCCCAAATGGAAGCGAGAAGTAGTAAAGGATCACAAGTTTGATTATATTGATATCAATGAATTCTACGATCCCTCTTGTCCAGCACGAACTAGCTACATGTTTATGTACATCTTAATGATAAAGGGCTTTCTGGTCTATGTGGCAGATTTGTGGACAGCAGGTAAGCTATACTACAAATTTGACATGACACCAAGATACTGATACACTGCTCAGTTTCGCTACTTGTCATTGGCAATTCAAGTATCAATGCAGATGCGTCCATCCCACCCGACGTTGCAAAGTGGATTTTCTTGGGCGCAATCATGATTTCATTTGTGCTTTTGTTTTGGGACATTAGGAAATCAAGAGGAATAGTCGAATCGAGAGATATTTCGCTGGCCTTCTTTTCAGTCATTGCCAATCGATGGTACTCGGTCAAGGATTACAAATACTTTTGCTTGTTTGGTAAAATTAACCGCTCAAGAAAGCAAATTGACTCTATTGCGTTTTTCGTTTTTTTCACTTTGAAAGGTAAGACGAATACAAGTATAGTGCACAAAATAATGGCAATTTACAGAAAATGTTTAAATATAGGTTGGAAAAAACTGCTTTTGGCAGAAGCACCTCGACAAGTAATTAACGTTGTTACACTTAAAACGATCATACCCGCATGGATTCAAATTAACAATGGGTTGAAGATATCAAACGACGGTTTGGGAAGAAACACGGTTCAACGAATCATGACAGGCACCATGATCTTCTCTACTGCTGTATTTGCAGTCTCGTTTATATTACTTTGCGCTGCTGCCATCATTTATATTCCCGTTTTGTGTCATATTCAAGGTAATCTCAAGGAGTACTGCTGCCACAAAGTAGATAAAAGGTAGGTTTCTCAGCTACAAAAGGCTGCTGTAAACATACTCATATTTGGTTGCGATAGGATTGAAGAGCTGTTGAAGAAGCAAGCAAAGAAGAGAATAGAAAAGAACAAAAAAGCTGATCAATACAGCCATCATCACCACCAAAAGAAATCCTCAAAGAAGGACAGTATTGAAATGGAATCACTACCTCAACCAACTCTACCTAAAGTGGGTATGAATAGTTTATCTGTGAATAACTATTATCCTCATCAGCAAGCACCTAGACAGCATTATCAACAACACCAGCAACAACCCAGCTTCACAGGAAGCGTAAATAATAATCCTGGCAGGCCAAATTATTACCCACAAGTATCCTCCTCCAATTCAAGCACTCTTATGGGATCGCAATTTACAAGACGAAATAGTTTATCATCTGTTGGCAGTGATCAAGTAGGTCTGACTTCACATGCCCAAGGTCAGCCATGGTCGTCAACACCATACTACCAGAGCAATGGAAGTCATAATGGAAGCAGTAGTAATCTGTCATATAGTATTCAGCATCAGCAATACCAGCAGCCGTACCCACAATACAACAATTATCACCAGCAGCACCAACAGCACCAAAACTATTATTGAAGTGACAGGTGCGAACCGTAAATAGTGCTTTTTAAGTACATATATTCAACAACTTTAACCAGATCATACATACCACTTACAACTACTATATAATCATTATCTTTTTCCCCCTTATTTGTATAAATTGCTATCCACATATTATTTTGCACGGTTCTCTCCTATAGCAAGAGAACGAGATGTAATACTTTTTTTTTGAAATACTTTCACGATAACGAGCAATGCATTCATAGAGATAAACAAGAGAAATCGAACAAAGTTTGAGAACAATGTATATTATTCACGAGTCAACGGAGTAAAAAAAAAAAAAAAAAAAAAAAAGGCGAAGAATTTCCTTCGTTACTTGGATGATGCTTTATGCGTTCTTTTGCCGTTGATAACAGTTTTATCCTCTGCATTGTTCGATCAGGATTAACCCACATTTTGCTTTTGTTGATATGAGACCTGAAAAAATTTACCTTGATCTATTTTTTTTCTGTTGCACGCGGGATACAATCGCTAATTGTTGCCTTCATTTTTACGTAAATCTAGAACTTCATTCTTTGGAAGCTGCATTAATTACTAGCATACTGTTTTTCAAAATTAATTGATATAAGAAGAAGAAAGAGACTGAGAAGCATTTCTTTCAGTATAGAGGATTACAGCAGTAAGGAACCAAGGAACGGCTCTTCAAATTTCAACCCCAGATATCGGAAATTTGGTTGATTTGAGACCCCGCTATTGCCTTCTAAACGATGGTGCAATTGAAATTTGCGTAGGTAGCATGGTTGTTGAGAAAAGGGAGATTTTAGAAAATAGTTCATTTTGAAAAATAGATGCTGCTAGTAAAAGTTTTTAAATTACTATATGAATGTGGAATGTATGTGTAGTAGAGGTTGTAGAAGGTACTTTGATTGAGTAGGGCATGTTTGATGTGGGGTTATTGAGGGCGATGTCAATGAGTAGTGACGGAAAATGTTCCAAATGACCGATTTTCAAAGGGCCATACCGCTGGATCTTACTAAGTGAACGAGAGCTTCAAGCTTAATGACTTTAGCTTCTTTTTTAATTCTCCATACGATGGTATGGTTATTATAGATAAATAAAAAAAAAACGTTGAATATCCCCTGCTTGTAGTACATAAAATATATGATTCTGAGCAAATTTATGAAGGGAACGTACATCTAAAACTTAAAGCTTTTATATTATAATGGATATAGCGTAGAGCTATCGAATGGTTTTTTTTTGTGCAAATCCAGTGAGTATTTGTCGAGATATGTTCAAAAAAGAGTATCATGCAAAATCGTGGATTTTTCTTCGAAATCTACGTGCGATAGCAAGCAAAAAATCTGGTGACGATTTTTTGGTCAAGACAATATTTTCAATATTTCATGATAGAGTCATGTCAGAGCTTCAAGCAATAGCTCATTCGATAGGAAATTTTTTGGTTTACAATGCTTAGTAATGCTTGACAAAATGTTTTGATGGCAGATACTGATTAATCTTCAGAAATCAGCCAAAAAATGGCAAAAAATATCGTATCAAATATCAGGTGAACAATGTACACCAGAGACTTGATATAAATACCATTGTATTTTCCTTTAAATTCTCTACAAGTTTCATATAAGTTTGAAGGGGCGTTTACTATCAAGAAACGCGTATTTTTAAGGTCGATAGATTTCGGAATCCCATGGATCATCATTCAGAACAATAGAAATTGAAGCTCCGTTAAGCTTCCGCATGTGTATACCTCGTATCTATAAATTTGGGAAGACGTTTTTAAAATCGGAGTGTACGAAAAGGGACATATTAACTTGCTAATTTCAAGTTATCAATAGATACCTGACATGTTGAAGAACGTTGTTGTCAAGACTAGACAACTGTAGCTTGCTTTATTCAAGAATAATAATTTTTCCAATTTAAAATATGTATATTTCTCCGCATAAAAATAGCATCTCCAATGTTGATTACCTCATGAAGTAGGCCCTCAGTTAGCAACGCAAAAATGCGAGGCTCCACAAAGTTTGACAGTATTAAACTCTAGTAGCAGTGCACCAAATTGCGATTACACTATTATCAAATGTCCCTTTGAAATTAACTATAGTCGATAATACACAGGTCTGCATCCTAAAACCAGCATGTGGACTTTGAGGCTTTATAGACTAAAATTCACGGAAAAAAAGAATTAAAAAAAACAGTAAAGTCAACTTGATAAAAAAGGTATTTTTTATTAGCAAACTGACAGGTGTAAAGTAAAATTGAAGTATCTCTCTACTGGTCAGATAGATGATCCTTCTTATATACTATAACAATGGATAAAAGTTATATTAATTAGATTGACAAATAAGTCAACTCAGATCAACTAATGTCTAATCATGCTAAAAGACAACTCCAGCACGCTAATCATGATTTAGCTTTTGCCTGGATGAATAATTAGACTCTCATCCAAAGTACCCTGATCTATTCTTTCTATAAGGATAATTAATATCGATCTAGTAGCATGTATCCGATAGGTACAATCTCCTTAGTCTATATCAATAGTACATATCTGAGTGTATTGCAGTGAAATCAGGTTTAAATAGATTTCACAAAAAAAAAATAAAGCAATAGTAAAATACAATAGAAATCAACTGTATTTTATTTTGTGTATAAAATGAACTGAAGATCCTGGAATTGAGTAAAAAAAAGAAGAGTATTTATACATTTGCATCTGGCTTGTAGGATTAGTGATGATAGAGAGCAATAGGTGCTGCTATTGCGATATCTGGCAAATGTTGTTGATGTTTGATTTAAAGTGGTAGTCAATGCAGGAGCACTGGCCATAAGGGTCGATTTGAGTAACCTTGATGGGCTTGGGTGAGCTATCGTCATAGCATGATTTAATGTAACCTTGATGGTTTAAAGTGTGATGTTTGTTATTGAAGCATGGAATCCTTTATCTGGGATATTGTGCAACTATGGCAGCAGGGCATAGTTGTCATATTTGAATATGCTTGTTATTGATTTAATTCTATTTGGATAAAGATACCATCACCTATTACGACCATCATGGGTGTGATTGAATACACTGTGATCAGGAGTGATTCATTCACACGATGTGCGATATAAGCGTGTATCTTTACTTTAGTATTTTTAAATGGGTTTTTGATGTACATTTGAGCGCTTTCATTAATAGATCCAAATAGCATGAATTTGAATGAGTGCTATTTGATGAACTTTGGTTTTCAATTAAGTTGCGTTTGGGTGGCTATTTCATTACATGTATATCGCTGAACATACATCTTTAGCATGTATCTGGATATATGGCATGTCTATAGCATGTCTCATATACAGTACAAGTCTGTAGTACATAAATTATCTGTAGCTAGTATCACGGATATAAGCATGTGACTTATAGCTGTTTAGGGTATAGATCATCTCTGAGAGGCAAATGTATTAGGCGTCGTTTATTACATAAGAGGATCTGAGAATGAGCTGAGATGCATAGTAAAAGTGAGAGGTCTTTATTCAAGCAGCACGAAGGAACATGAGTGGTGCCATCAAATGGCTAATCTATATCCTGGTTCCTGGAGAGTGGTAGCCTATGGCCTTTCGTCCCTGGAAGTGGGTTTCAATTCCGACAAATGTTCTTCCGTCAAAGCTATTAGGAAGAACACTCTATCCTGGATCATCTTTGTTGTTTATCCTTGACTGGTGGTTCATAAGTTCTGATGCAGCACATCCTCGCTACTGGTTCAAGGCTTATACAATTATCCCGCATTCAAGATTAAGTGCCTATTGCTGCGGCACTGTCAAATAACTATAAATACCTTTGATATCCACACTAGTTTTGATCCCCATTCAATCTTGGAATAACATAATAAATGTATTCAGTTCTAATTGTATTTACTCTGTCTATATTTCGTTATTCTAAACAATAGCGTGGATCATAAAGTGCACATCTGAAGAACCAAGCTCCTATTGCATTAATCTTGGTGCTTATCCAGATATAGTAAACATCCGTAGTCAATGTCGGAATACAAGTATAAGTCTATAGCGCCATCCATGTCCGTGGTGCCATTTATAGCCTATATCTTACATAGTATGAATCTTATAGTACTAGCGTACCTGAAGTCCATATCTTCTTGTAGTATAAATCGATATCGTACATCTAATCCAGTGTACATACAGTTTATATCTAAATCTGGTAACTGGATGAACTGTCGGAATGCAGATCATAGTAGATGTATTCCGCAAGCGTAATTGACTTACTCTTCTGGCAATGCAACCGACTACCCCCTTCGTTTTAGGTCGAATTCTGCTCAAATCTAGTCATTTTCAAGCACGAATAACTCATGCCACAAAGCGTTTTGAGGGCTTGGATTAGTACCACACGCCTCCTTTTGGCCACACTTTACTTCCTGATGCTTTATCTCAAATTTCTTTGGGTCATTGCAAATCCATGAAAATTCGCATATTTTTCATGTGTATTAGCAAGGGAAAATTCTTGAAAACCAAACGATCGCGTTTTTCACCTCAAAAATGAAGACTTTTCTTATGATACATACCAGATCAAATTGATCGTAAAGATGGAATGCAACAGTGGAAACCCTTTCTATGAGGCTTGTATATGTTAAATTTTGACATATCCACAGAAAACCTGTTTTCATATTTTTGTAAATTGCTCATTATTGTTGGTGTGGAAGCTGAATGGAGCCAGCATCATTCGATGCGCCTTCATTGACACTTTATAGATGCATTAGAAAGTAAAGTATAACAATGACAATTTTTATAGTCAAATTTAGCAAAAACGATTAAAGGATGTCAGATCAAGCCAGATTTGAACACAAAAATGACAACTGCACAAATCCAAATTAGAGTGCCGCAGCGACAGCTGCTGTGGCAGAAGACTGAGGCCAAAGTTACTAGCCGTGACGTCGGATAGGACGCCCTCTCATTTTTCTATATCCCGTTTTTTTTTCCTTTTGCAAAACGCGTTTAGTATCAAACCATGTTGGTTTGGAAACCGTTCGAATGATAATAAC